GATGTCTAAACCATATCGGTCATGTGATGTCTGAGTGCGTCTTAGTGTTAAATTGAGTGTGTAAACAGCATGAGACATTCCTTCAGCATTGACATGCTTCACATTCCTTCAGCATCTGTAGGCTTCAGGAGACATTCCTTCAGCATTGATATGTTTCACATTCCTTCAGCATCTGTAGGCTTCAGGAGACATTCCTTCAGCATTGATAGGCTTCAGGAGACATTCCTTTAGCATTGATTGGCTTCAGGAGACATTCCTTCAGCATTGATAGGCTTCAGGAGACATTCCTTCAGCACTGATAGGCTTCAGGAGACATTCCTTCAGCATTGATAGGCTTCAGGAGACATTCCTTCAGCATTGATAGGCTTCAGGAGGCATTCCTTCAGCATTTCCTGTTGGCCCAAGTATATATCTTGTTGACAGAAATGTTTATTATATACAAGTCGGTGATAAGTGTACTTCCGCAATGGACAAACACTTGGGAATGAACATTTGAAATTCCAGTACCATAGGCGGATCCAGAGGTGGGGTCCAGGCCTCCCCTCACCCTGGATCCGCCTTTGGGTACTTATTGGACATTGAATTGAAAAGTTAATGCTTGGGTGTGAGAATACTGGAAAGGGACAGACACCTGGGAATGAACATCTTAAGAAGTCTATAAAAGTCCAGTTTCCACCCTTGCCAAACTAGGCTGGAATTTCAGGGGATTGCATTTTGACTTTGTATTAGTCTATGCAAAATTGCATAACAAAATCAACATCCTGTTCGGAAACAACATGGTGATTCTCGTGCAGATTTCAGTCAATCGCAGGATTTGCAAAACGTGTACAGTCAACTGGGCATCAACAGACATTTTCCATATCTTTTCATGTTTTTATTGAATATTGAAGGTCCTCGAGTGTTGTGCTACAATCCACATGCACTGGTTGTCTGTAAGGAGGGGAATGTGAAACCTTTTTTTGAGTTAACTTTATCAGATTGTATTGACTGGGAGCTGCCATTTTTGTTTGAATGAGTGAGTGAGTTTGGTTTAACGCTACTTTTAACAGTATTCCAGTAGTATCACAGCGTGTCAGCTTAATGTGGGAGGAAAGCCCGAAGTGATGCAGGTCTCAGACGTTTACCACTTCGGTGAAACCCACGAGCACGAGTATGGTGCTGACAAACCTAGAAACATAATCCGGGCGAACCAGGATAATTTTTGTTTGAAGTAAATGCAAGTGATATGAGAGGTGGAATCTCATTGGTCAGTAGGTCGGACATAGAAGGGAAATAACTCTATTGCCCAGCTATTGATGGCACTACGATTGAGCCACAAAATTCCAGCCTAGTTCTTCAAGGGTGGAAACTTGACTTTTATAGTCAGTAAATCCCTTGCCTCCGGAAGATGGCAAAAGTGGATGTCAAGGAGACCCAATAATAAATAATTTTTAGGGTCCTTGCAGGCAATATGAGAGTCCTGTAAAGTAATGAAATGGTGTGGTGTACTGTACATTTAGATAATTACTTTATAGCTTAGAATGAATCAAGAGGACAGTGGTCTTGCTTGATGGATGAAATAACAGACACATAATTGCTCTTGGCGTACTGTAGGTACAGTGAATAGTATTGTAACTTGCTATTTCATCCTGATTAGGGGCAGTGGGGTAGCCTAGTGGTTAAAGTGTTGGCTCGGCACACCAAAGACCCGTGTTCAATCTGCACATTGGTACAATGAGTGAAGACCATACTCTCTCACTACTCCCAGATGAGTTCTGAGTAATTAAACACCAAACAGTTTCATCCCGGTGTCCCAGCCAGCTTGATACAGCATATGAGCTTATTTGTGGATCGTGTATCAACCTTGAGGCAGATTGTAGGTCAACAGTTGACTCAGTACAATGAGAATGATTAAGAGATTTGTTGGCGCTTATTTGTTTGTTTCTTGTTTAATGCCACACTCTTAAATATTCCAGCAATATGATGGCGGTCTGTAAATAATCGAGTCTGGACCAGACAATCCAGTGATTGACATGAGTGATGCTAGTAGTTTATTATTATCACACATGCTATCAGCTATCAAATTCTGATTTTTGTTGCTTTCAATTCAAATGGTAAAATGTATAATGTTTGACATGGTCTGTGACTTTAGCCACAAGTCCAAAGCCTGAGTCTAGTAAAATTCTGTTCGGTCTAGTAAGCTCCATTTATGATAATCGGTATAATAACACTAAATTCTACAGAAAGGTATGCTTAGAGTCATGTTATGGTGAGTAGTCTCAAACGTTTGGCACAGACTGTTAGAATCATTTGCAAAATTAGTTGCTAGTCTGACACTAGGTATGCACAGGAAACAAATTTTGTCTTATTTCTCATGATGTCTTTCCAGACTGACAGGGTAGGTAGGGAGGGAGGGAGGATTGTGTCCTTATATATGTAATTCTCTGGTATGTTCCAAATCTATGAAAGTAAACATGATTCTTATGTTCAGGTAACCTCTTGATATGAAAAAAGTTGGATTTTGGTGCAAAAACGAAATTTGTTTTGAAGAAGTTGTTTCAAAAACGAAATTTGTTTGAAAAAGTTGTTTCAAAAAAGAAATTTGTCTTGAAAAAGTTGTTTCATAACTGTGCTTTTGAAAAAATAACATATGAGTGGGAGCTAGTTTATGGATGGGTCATAAAAAAAGAAATCTTGTTAAAAGTACAACTGTATCTGCGGACCTTATAATGGCAGTCTGTTAGCCACGATGGCTGTGTCAAGTGTTTATTTGTGGATGCGATGTCCCCGGGGGAACGAACTCAACCTTTGAGATCTGGAACATTTCCTATCTCAGAGGGGCAATGAGGTTAAAGTTGTGGCTCTTCACGCTGTAGGCCCAGATTTGACTTCCTACTTGGCTACTTTTCATGTAGAGAAAAAAGCAGTTTGTAAGTACCACTTCCTTATTTAGTTCATTTGTGTGTCAGAAGTAGGACACCAGTCGTCGTTCTCAGACGTGGCTTGATCTCCATGTACGTGATGAAGGTGAAGGTCACTCTGGGTGTTCTAACTCTGCTGGTACCTGCCACATAACTACAGCTCACCAAGGCCCGTCTCAAGCTCATCCATCCACCATGACACAGATCAGTCCCAGATAATGATGCAGCTAGTGGTGAGAATTGGTTACAATTTGAAGATTCATCATTGGTTTGAAAAAGCCATTGATCGACTACTGACCATACAAGAATTGGAGCCGAGAACCTACACGCTTACATCAACCTCTCACCATGCCCCTTGTAAAGGATGATACAAAAATAGCAGAACTACTCCCAGAGTAATGCAGCCTTCAATTTAATTATTTGACACAGATGATTATGAAGTGTCCTACCTAAGATGGGTGGAATTATAAAATGTTCCGCAAGTTATCAGGCAAAGTGCTGGCCATTGTAACACGATAATGTTGTTATTTTGCCTGACAACTGGCCATTGTCAATCACATTATGACCCTCCAAGCTAATCTTCAAACTAACGTTAACAAACATGGCGTCTGACTTTCATAATGTCTCTATTAACTCAGGTGATTCTGTGAGCGCCTCACGAGTCAAATGGTATCAGATGTATAGGCAGTTGATGTCCTGTGCATGAGTTGTGAGGTGTGAGTGAGTGGGTATGGTTTTATGTGGGGGATCGAACCTGGGTCTTTGGCATGATGAGCAAACGCTTTAACCACTAGGCTACCCGATCACCCCCATAAACTTAGGAGAATACAGTATCAACTGAGATGAGTAAACACCGGCCAGATTGTATGGCCATGTACACTATGGCCAAGTGCAGCATTGAGGCTGATACTGTGAACTAGCTTGCAGGTGCATCAATCATTGCACTGTCAATCGTTTCCATATCACTTACAAAAACAAGTCAATGTTCAACCTACTCTGAAAGTTTACTTTCAATTTGCTCCTGAACTCTTTCTCTCCGATGTTGGTCAAGGTCAAGTGGCGTCTTGTGACATATAGTGAAGTGTCTGTTGTTGACGACATGTTTCTAGGCCTGTGTCAAACTTGACCTCTGTGGTAACCTACGTGTGAATAACAACTGCCACATTTTGTTGTTTGATTGGATTGGTGTAGAGGTATTACCATGCGATGGACATGATGGACAGATTCTCTCCATTTCCGCTATAATAACGATAACCCTATTGTTCAGGGCATTATCATTTGTTCAACAGCCCTCAATCAACGGGCAGTTAATGGCATACCCTGGGCTGCTGCAAATGATAATGCCCTATAAAAATTCCCGTCTGACTAAAGGCATGTATTGCCCAGTCGAAGGCAATGGCATTAGTATGGAGAGTTGCCTCCCTTAAGCATACTGGAAACCTGTGATCGAGGATTCAGATTGAGATGAGTCCCGATTATGTTTCTAGGTTTGTCAGCACCATACCTGTGCTTGTGGGTTTCACCAAAGTGGTAAATGGCTAATGTACATCAGTTAAGCTTTCCCCCCACATAGCTGCTGCACTGTGATAGAACTGAAATATTGTGGTAGTGGGATGGTTCACTGCTTTAAAACACAATGTGTTTTCTCAGAAATACGTAGCTGAATAACTGTTGTTTAAAACAGATATGAAATATCTACTGGCAGGTCCCTAAAGGGACTTTTATGAGCAATGGGTGTTATTAGATTGGTATTTTCGGAGATGCATTGTCGGGTCTGTTATAGAGGACATCCACCATGATGCATAGAGAATGAGAGACTGCCCGGAGAGTGAACGGTCGGTGATTTGATCCCCTTGACCCAACAAAAGATTTTGAAGATGGTACTTGTTGTTACCCTGCCTGGTGTTGGGCTGGTTGTCTAGGAGTCTTTATGATGAGTCTGAATCTGGTATTCATGGTAAACTGCGACATGATATCTCAGTGAGCTAGTACTATAAAACCGGAAAAAGTCATGTATCGTACATCCGACACGACACTGACGCTGACGCTGACACTTACACTGCAAGCTGCAATGTTACCATCAATGTGGTTGTGTTCCAGGCCTCAGCAAGTCCAGGGCATCATCTGTGGGGGACTTGGGGGACATCGAGACCGGGGATCGGGTCATTGTTGCCGGACAGAGGAAGGGCACAGTCAGATTTGCAGGAGACACCAAGTTCGCCCCAGGTATTGTATAGTAAATAGTTGCACAGTACAGTTGTTGTGGGTCAATATAGTCAGTAATTTTGCCATGTCACTGCTAGAGCTGATTGGGTCTGTCCTGACATCCAGATGTACCCAGGGCAGTTTATAATGTTAAACACACAGGGAGTTTCCAGTGATAGCGTTGCTGTTTGACTAAGTTCACCTCTTTGCATCAACGTGGCTGTTCATTGCTGTTCATGGGCCAGTTAAAAGGATTCCAAACTAATAATTGGAAGCCTATTTTGATACTTGTTCACTCTCATAAAGCAGAAAGCTTCCTGAAAACTGAGAACCTTTACTCCAATCTCCGTTGAGAGGTGATAGATCAGATATGAATGGGATTCCCTGAAGTCACTGTCGTCTCTCTATCCCTGTACAGGTGTCTGGTATGGGATTGAGCTGGACAAGCCGGCAGGGAAGAATGATGGCTGTGTTAACGGAGTACGCTATTTCACCTGCAGGCCCAAGTTTGGTGTCTTTGCCCCGTTGTCAAGGATACAGAAGTAAGAGAAGGAAAAGTGTTGGTGCAATGTAATAACAGACGGAAGGAACGTTCTGTTTATAAGATTAACAAACTAAACAAACCCATGCTCATCTGGTTTTCTAAGTGTGCATTGATCAGTGAGGACATATTTCTCAAAAGTGGAAAAAATAATATGTTCAATGATCCTTGTACTAAAGTTTGTCCTGTTCCAGACTTGGTGACCGCCGGTTTGACTCGGACGAGTCCCTGGACACTATCAGCTGGGGAGCTGTGTCCGAGAGGCTTGACCGGAAGATGACGGGTGAGTCTACCCCTGAAGAGCTGCTCGAGTGTCTGCTGTTTGAGGCGTTACATGGGTAGCTTTAGCATGTATCATATCACTCATTACTCCAGACAATATTTGAGAAAACGAAAGTATCCGGATAAGCAAGGTTTGACTTACATAGAAAGAATTCGTCACTGAAAGGATTTTAAACTTTGATAATCAGCATGTTCTCTAATTCTTAGTCATGTATTGTATTTCCAGCTCCTAGTGTAGCTAGCCTGCTGAATTCCACGCCGGTTAAATCCTCACCGAAAACGTAAGTGTACATCTCTGTAGTGAAGTAGAGAAGTTTCCGAATTTTCTCTGGCTCTGTAGCCAACATACTGTCTCACTGTAAACCTGTTATTTGGTGTTCAGCATGTTCAAAATTGAAAATAAGATTGTCACAGACGACATAGAGTAATTCCCGAATGATCGTCACGGGATTTACGACTGAATCCATACAATCTAGGACATCTATTAGCCATTCCAGATTGTTTTGTTCAGTTTCAAATCTTTAATCGAGAATTCGTCAAAATATGTTTCGAGGTGTAGTCGCCAGTTTGAAACTAGTGCTGTAAAGCACGAAAAAGCTGCCTTCTGATTGGCTAATGTTGACTTCTTCTCAAGTATTCCTTTGGTGTTAAAGTTCGCAAAAGATCGGTCCTCAGATCTTTGTTTCGCTGTAGTGAGAACTAAGATCTGATTTTTATGAGATTGAAATGTTGCCAATGCGAATGTAAATTTTAACTCCTTACTAAAATTAGTGCTTTGAGAATGTATCCTCATTTTTCTGCCTTGTATTGCAGATATAAAGAATGTTGATTAAGGAGTTGCAGGTAGCCCAGTGGTGGGATCGTTGTCTTGTTACACTCAGAAGGCTGGGTTTGATTCCCTACAATTTGTAGGTTCATTATTGAAGTTCCTGTGACCCCGACCTGCATACATGCAATGTTTGAACACACCTAGAGCCCCGACTTTAATGGAGTTGTTTGTGTTGCAGGCCGCGGTCCAGTATGAACATCCTGCGTACCCCTGGTTCCAGTCCCAACCTCAAGCTGGAGCCGGGCATCAGTGTCCTGTGTAACAACGAGATGGGTTAGTAGCTGTCTCCTCCCTTGCCTCCTACCTGTATCCTCCCTAGCCTCCTACCTGTCTCCCCCCTGGTCTCCCCCCTAGCCTCCTACCTGTCTCCCCCTGGTCTCCCCCCCTAGCCTCCTACCTGTCTCCCCCCTGGTCTCCCCCCTAGCCTCCTACCTGTCTCCCCCTGGTCTTGTACCTTGCCAGGCGACTATGCTTGTCATAAGAGGCGACCAACTGGATCGGGTGGTCAGGCTCGCTGACTTGGTTGATGCATGTCATCGATCCCAATTGTGTGGATCGATGCTCATGATGTCAATCACTGGATACTGGATCTGGTCCAGTATTGGTTATTTACAGACTTCTGTCATATAGCTGGAATTTTGCTTAGTGCGGTGTTAAACAACAAACAAACAAACAAAATCATTCCTGGTCTTCTGCTTGTCTCATATCTGGTCTCGTACTTGGTCTCGTACTTGGTGTGGTACTTGGTCTCATACTTGGTCTCGTACTTGGTCTCGTACTTGGTCTCGTACTTCAATCTGCCAGATTTGTCGGATGATATGTCAGTTGTCTATAGTGCTGCAGTTCACTTGACATGTGTTTTGCCAAAACAATAAGTGCATCTGAAAACATGTACCGACACAGCCATACTTCTCAGGCAGTTCTTCAACATAGCTTCAAGGTTTATGAAAAACTAATCTGAAGATGTAAAGCCTACCCCACCACCCTTGTCTTCTAATTCAGTGTAATCAGAACCTTCCTAAATATTTCTGTTGAGGTTAGATTCCTGGTATACATCTCCATTGCAGGTGTTGTGCGGTACGTGGGACCGACGGAGTTCGGGGAGGGGGTGTGGCTGGGCGTGGATCTCCGGGCAGCCAAGGGGAAGAACGACGGCAGTGTACAGGGAAAGAGATACTTTACATGTAAACCCGACCATGGGCTTATTGTGAGGCCAAGCAAGGTGTTTGTACGAGGAATAAACGGAGCCAAACTAATGACTGACAGCCATTCTCCACCAGATCTGACGAAGCACAGTAGTGATCAGCGAGTAAATGGCGACAGTCGCATAAACGGGGAATCTAGCCATCACAGTCACTAAGAGAAGGAAGAGTCGGGATATGAAATACTAGCAATGAAAAATATATCAGCCGAACGGTTTCAACTGTTCTGCTGAAATTCAAAACCAGTCTTGATGCAACTAAATATTGCATATGTAGACTTGCATTTACACTAAAGATCTAAGGGAGCAGTGCAAAATTTCAATGTTGGACCAAAAAAAGTACTTCCCTTAACCCATCCCAAAATATCTGACTGTGGAACTGTCAAGCCACCTGGCACACTCTGCCTTGTATCTATTACCGACAGCTCCCAACAGCTTACGTCAAGTGAATACTAATTCCAAGTGTATTGTATAGCTGTCATGCAGCAGTGCTTTCAAGTATGCCAAGCTTATTGTTTTATCACTGAACCCGTATGCCTACGATGAGGATGCCAGGGAGAACCTGACTTGCACTTTAAATTGCATGAAAATTAAGTAACCTGTACCTCCCCAACCCCAATCGGATTTTATCTGAGCTGCTCTCTTAGCAAGTAGTTTACACATGACCTTGTGGGAAGGTCACTGCTCATTTGGCATTGTTCCGATGAACCATATCTGAGAGTAAGGCTTCAAACCATCATCTGATGCCTATGACATTGAAGACACTTTATCTTGTTGATGATGTTGGGCTGTTTGTATTCTCCACGATGTCCCTTCAGTGTCTCATCACAACGACCTGCCACTAACTCCACCATGCATTCCGTCTACCTGGTGAACCAACAACATCTTGTCCATAGAGGTGCTGTTCCATACACTTTACAAACCATACAGCAGCTTTAGAAGTTGGCACTAGTCCTGTAGTCCTTGCCAAACTGCCAATAGTTAGGTATCATAAGAAATAGTAGACTTTTGCCATTTTAAGGTTTTGTTATATGTTAACATTATGAGGACTAGTAGACTAAAAATGTTAGTTTCTGTCGCTGCTGACAGTGCGTCCACTTTGTCCTTTCGAAAATCCTTGTTTACTTGAGTCTTGTTGGAGCCATCCATGACTATCCAGTGTATTGTATCTCCAGTCTATTAGGACAAATACCATGGAGCCATTCACCAGCACTGTTCCATTACTGACTCAACTTGTCAATCACTCACTTAGGACATAGTTTCCATCTCTCTTGTGCTTGAAATTACATAGATCTGCATAGATCTACGATCAGAATCTCCCCGTCTGAGCAAAGCCTCAGCATTTGAGGCAGCAGTGATGTCGCAGCATGTTTCAATCCTGAATGAACAGTGTATTGGATTAGACATCTGTAGTTAGGATTGTTTCATTCTAATCAGATGAAAAACAAGGTATTTTGATAAACGGGTCAAGTCAGGGACTTGTCCGATTGTGACTGCAAAATGTCCAAATAGTGCAAATCAGCCATTTTAACATTTGCCAACAGGACATTTTCGAAATCCGTCAGTGGTATTTATTATAATTGAATGAAGGTATGAGGAGGAGTATAGCAGAGGGGGAATCAGAGCATGTCCTGACATCTCTGTCACGCTGAGGCTGGCCGCGCAGGTGCTTGCTCCTTCCTTGTTGCTGTAGATATGTTAGAACTGCTGGAAGCTGCTACCCGCTGTGATGCAGTGTTGCCATGACTACACAAGACCAAGCTGCTGATGAAACTGTCCAGAGTCTTTACCAGTCCATTGCTATTATTGGTTAATCTGTTACACGGGTTCTTGAAATTATACCCTGCTAGGATTCCAGGATAGAAATGTCCAAAGTACCCAGGTCAAGAGAGGCTGCTTAACTGGATCAGGTGGTCATCGACTGATTGTGTCAGCGTACCCCAGTGGGGAATGTTGCTCATAGTGTCGACCACTGGATTGTCTGTGTTATTGCTGGAATACTGCTAACTGTAGCGTTAAACAACATGCACTCAACCTCGCAACATACAAGTTTCAATTTGATGAGGGTCATCTGTATAACCAATCAGGATCTTGCATTCCTTGGCAGTGAGTGGGTGGTGTATCTGCAGCCAGCACTGTAGTGACCTGATACTGTGTAACTAGGTCAGGACATCTTAGCTTGGAGGGGGCACGGGTGGCCCAGTCGTCTAAGGCGCCGCCACTCGCTGTGCAGAGTTGCGTCCCTTGGGCACGCCAGAAACCTATGATTGTGGGTTCGAATCCCGGTTTGCCCCAAATATGTTTCTAGGTTTGTCAGCACCATACCCGTGCTCGTGGGTTTCACCGAAGTGGTAAACGTCTGAGACCTGCACCACTTTGGGCTTTCCTCCCACATTAAGCTGACACGCCATGATATAACTGGAATACTGTTTAATCGGCGTTAAACCCAACTCACTCACTCACTCACTCACTCTTAGCTTGGATCACATGTCGTGTGATGAAAGGCAATATCCAGCCTGTTGTGCTCATCCTCGTATTGTCACCAAGTCAGAATGTACCAACTGAACAACTTTCATCCGCTATTACCATTCCTCTGTCCAAGTACCAAAACATCGCATTGGTAGCTTAGTTGGCCCCCATGTGTACTGAATTCACTTGGCTAAGCCCTGATTGTGTGTACCGACTCAGTTGGCCCTGATTGCGTATATCACATTCAGTTGACCCTGATCATGTGTACCAAATTCAGTTGGCCCTGATCATGTGTACCTAATCCAGTTGGCCCTGATCATGTGTACCTAATCCAGTTGGCCCTGATCGTGTTACCAAATTCAGATGGCCCTGATCATGTGAACCTAGTCCAGTTGGCCCTGATCATGTGTACCTAATCCAGTTGGCCCTGATCGTGTTACCAAATTCAGATGGCCCTGATCATGTGAACCTAGTCCAGTTGGCCCTGATCATGTGAACCTAATCCGGTTGGCCCTGATCATGCCAAAGAATGCCTAGAATACTTGGCAATAATGATTCTTCATTAGGGACCAGTCATTTATTACATATTAGGGAGTGGGATGGATCACTCACACAAAATGACAGGTTAAGGGGGAGGTTGTGTTCATTAAACTCAATTTGGGACAGGTAATTAAACAGGTATTTATTGTTAAATAGTGATAGCATTTATGTTTCTCTGATGTGGAAGATGGGGCGAGTTCTGTTTTCTGTTTTATAATCATGGATGAAAAATAATTAATGACTGATCCCTAAGCATACTTCAAATTGACTCCTGTCAAAACATTTTATGAGAAATTTGCAGTATATTTTATCAACACAAAATTTTACTTCAAAATACCAAAGCATCTGTTTATGCTAGTTTTGCTACAATTCACTAAACATGATGAGGGCTTTGTACCTTATTTTCTTGAGTATAGTGCACACTTTTTAAAAAACAACAACACATGCCATAATGAATTATACTAGTTATACTGAGCACTATACTCAAGAAAATACGGTATTTAATACATAAATAATACAATATCTCTTGGTGAGTGAGTGAGTATGGTTTTATGCCGCTTTTAGCAATATTCCAGCAATATCACAGCGGGGGACACCAGAAATGGGCTTCACATATTGTGCCCATGTCTGGAATGGAACCCGGGTTTTCGGCGCGACGAGCGAACGCATTAACCACCAGGCTACCCGACCGCCCATATCTCTTGGTGCCTAAGTGTGAGTACTTGTGCCATGACAGAACAGAAATATTGTTTGTTCATGTGGCTTTAGTCCATTCCTGACATTGTAATTCTACGGAGCAGAACAAGCGTAAGACTATTGTATGCGATGTACAAAGGTCTTTTTTAACCTTCCTCCTTTAATATATTTACCATACTCTTTGCAACTCAATGAGACAAATCTCTGCATATTTTGCTAACATTTTAACTAACATTTTAAAAATATGTCATTGTAATGTACCCATGTACGTTTGAATATAAAACATATTTAAATATATATTTTTAAAATATCAGAGTAAATTTTATTATACTGTTACAGTATATACTTCATCAGATCCTGTATACAAACTACAGGGCTTTTGACGAACTGTTGAAGGAAATGTGTAACTCATATATAGAAACCTTGTCAGTCTGGAATCTGTTAATTCCAACCTTTTGGATGATTACCGCAGGGGCACTTGTATGTACACCAAGTGAAATGACTCCATACCTGTGCGTTAATTTGTTAATCTGGACATTCGTTAATAGGGATGATATCAGCGAAAACTCAACTGTCCGAATTATCAGGGTTTTCACTGTACATTTGAGAGCTTGTGTCCTGTTTGGATGTTATTGTGTATTAACGGCTTTAATATATCAGCCTGCATGTATTATGTTTAATTTGTTTATGGACATGTTTGTCTCGCTGGTGTGACCACCATAACAATCTGGAGAAGTGTTCCGTGAAAGAACCTTAGTTCAGTGTTCCCTGTTTAAGTGAGGATTACGCTCCACAGCCTGTGCCCAGTCTTTTGTCTCGGCCATGTTATTAGTGCACTGAGTGAAATAAGATATTGTAGCTGAGAAATGTAGACGTCATAGTCTGTGTTAGCAAGACTACCTAGTCCGGCTCTAACATCATTACTACCCAAAGAAGTTGAAGAATACCCGATTCCTTCAAATTACTATAGTTAGTCGGTCATGTTATGACATTAACTACAGTTGAACCTCGCTCAATCTGGACACCTGCATTTTCTCAAATATTGTATGGATAAATGAGTTTCTGAATCCCTTGCCAACTGACCAGAGTTATCTCCCCTACCCATATTCTACTAAGGCATTACCGGTACAAATGTCACCAAATGTTGTTTTTCTGATGTTATGTCAAACTGGTTGCTGAAGTGTTAAGGTTAGTTATAGGATTAGTATTCTTCCACAGACAGATTTCCAGTGGAGTCATATGAAAAAATCAGGTGTTCTTTAACTTCTTTTGAGCAGTGTGTGTGTTAAAAGTACATTGTTCGAAAGGATTATTTCCTTCATAATGTTAATGTTATGCAGTGTTAAGACCGTGATTTACTTGAATAATTCCATATTCGAGTAATCTTGTTGTTTGAGAATGGACACTTACTTATCATGTTAAAGGCTTGTAAATTAAGATGTTATGATGCTGTAACAGAAATAATATTCAAAGCAGCATTATATCTCACTCTCAAAGATGTTATAAATAATGGAAAAAGTATTTTATTTCACCAAGGATCTCATTGCAATTTCATGTATTTGTACAACCCTAACCAATGTTTTGCTATCCTGATTTGTTCATATAAGCTTCTTGTGTGCGTCTAGTATTTTATTGTAGCTCTGGCATATTTTTGTTTGTATGTTGTGTTTCACATGTTTCATTTAAAGTAAACCACAAAATGTATGTTGTATTCATCTCCATCTCCATCCTTGTCCCAAGTCCCCAGTCCCCAGTCTCCAGTCTCCAGTCCCCAGTCCCCAGTCCCAGTCCCAAGTCCCAAGTCCCCAGTCCCAAGTCCCCAGTCCCCTGTCCCCTACCAACACGATGCTGTCACCACATGCTGTCAGCGCCCATGCAATGTGGCCACAGGGCAGTAGAGTAGCAGAGATGCCGGCCATTACCCCACTGCGGTGGAATCATTGCGATAGTCCCGAACCAAATATCACCAATATGATTAAGTGAAATAAATTATGAATTTTGTTAATTTAAATGAAACAAGATACTGACATATTGCATAAACAACCAAATCATCAATTGTTTCTGCTTGTGATGGGAAGGTTTACAGATTTTGGGTGATCAAATACAATGAATATATACCTTTTTTTCAAATTAAGTTTAGACATCAATTATGCGAACTTCTCCAATTAGGTTTGGCATCTCTGGTTTTGCTTTCATTCTTCTCATTAAAGAAAGATGTGTGTGCTCAAATGTTTTGCACAAGATTTATCATCAATATCAGTTCATACATCTGGTCATGAATTATGGTCATGGAGAATGACGTTCTGTATTAACGTGTCACACAGGTATACAGTACCATACATAACATGTATCTAAAGGCACCAATATTTATTCGATTTTCATCCAAGCAGTTTAAGTGTAGAGGGAGGTACTTTGACACTTGTACTAATTTATGATTTACAGAATTTTGATCAACAATTAGCATGGGTCAGTCAATATAGAAATACAAATACTTTTTTCAGCTCAATATATTTAGCATAAAGTTGGTTGGGATGGTTGGTTTTGTAGGAATACATAAATGCTAATATTTATGTCAGGTAGTTTTACAGTACTGTGGCCCAAAATGATATGCAATGGATTTGATAAATTATTTACAAGTTGCAACTACAGAATCTTATGTAGTTGTTGGGTAAATAATATATTTGTTTTCATATTTTTTTTTTTAGTGTCAACTCTGTAAACCATATAATTTTTGAAATGTCACTCCCTGGGGAAAGTGTTTGGGGTTACAGAAATAACATGGTTGTTATGGTTTCTAACATCAAGTGCAGCGAGACGGATGAAAGTCTTATAAATATTTCATTATGACCTCATTGTTCAGATACCAACATGCTGCCTTTGTATACTGATGGATATAGGTAAGGGTAGCAACATACGGTTTAGTGATACAAATATTGATTCATATTGACGAGAGGGTCTGGTGTAGGATTGCTGTTGTCAACACACAGGATGTCACTCGCTTCATTCTACATGTTCCCTTACTTGTTGCCATCAGTATACATGGACAATTCATTCACTTGGTGGCAGAACTTCTACAGAATGAGCATAATCCTGTGTACAGCACTTCCGTGCATATTGTAAACCACAAGAGCACCTCATCTGTTTTGTTGAACTCTTACTTGTTTATGTGGAGCTTCTCCTTGGGTTTATTTCAGATGTGACAAGTATATTTGATCTTAATCAAACGACTATTCTCAAGCACTTCCAGTATATAAGACCACACGAAGAAACTTGTTACAATCAAGCACAAATTTATCAAAAAGCACCCAGGTTTCTGTCAATCTTGTGTAAAGCCTGTTTTCCTTGTGGATGTAGGCTGCCGTCCTCCCCTGTGATAATGTGACAGTCTTGCCCTCTGTATACAACTGTCCGTACTGTACATTCTGTCTAATAAAGTGCCTTACAACTACTTTCAACTTGGTTTCATTTCTCCCATATACAGAACAGGGACAGTGACTACCTCCATGACAAGTCTGTCTCCCCATGCATGTTCAGGATTTGTTGGCAACACATTCAGACAACTCTACAACATTGTATTACTGTTTATTGTACAAAGTATACAAAACATTGTATTGATGAACATTGAGAGGTGGGATGATAGATGTAGTTCTGACAAAAACATGTTGAACATATTTTCGTTGATGATTTTGGTCAACATTCTTTTGATTAAGGAATCATCTACATAAGACATAAGACATAAGACAAAAGAAATCGAATGCTCCTGCTACCACCACATCTCTGTATTCAGATCTCCGTGTATAACAAGGAATACATGCTTAATACCAAAAGGGTACTAATTAGAATATTCTCATTCAAAACACTACATAGCTGAAGTATGTAGAACATGGTCCATGGTAAACGTAACAGCATTTGATGTGCCCTGATTAACAGTGAGACAGCTGACAAGATGGCTACAACTACATGGCTTGGGCCCCTGCCACCATCACCAGGCTCCCGGACATCTTAGACTATACTACTCAAAAGAAGTCGAGGACCACCCAATTCTTTCATATTTATTACTATATTTAATCTGTCATGACTATAGTATAATGAAAGAATCACCCAATTCTTTCATATTTATTACTATATTTAATCTGTCATGACTATAGTATAATGAAAGAATTGGGTGGTCCTTAACTTCTTTTGAGTAGTATAGATTATGAAAACTTATCACAATCATAATTGAACATTGCTCAAATTGCGGCTTAATGAGTTCAAACATGATGCAATATCCGCCAACATTTTGATGGATTAATTGTGAGGCAGGTATCAATAAATACAGACATTAAGTTACTATTTACAAAATGTTATATACACATGTGAGTTATTGCACAGAAAGACTAGATAGTATTATGCAATGGTAAACATTTGGTCTCCTTGTTATTCTTCAGATATGAATTAAGCCTACATATTTCGTAGACAGATAATTTTTATGTCTTGATAAATTTTGCCTTTACATGACATCCAAAGGAAGCATCGCACACCTACAGATTAGCAGCAACTCTAAATAGCTGTTGATCTTCATCAAGTTACATTTTATACATTTGAAAGACATTTCATTATGAACATATGCATATATGCAAACATAGATTAAGATTTAATAAACATACAATACAGGGTTAGAGAAAAGAGTTTCAGTCAAGTTACAGAAGTGTACATCAATAGCTTCCTTCAAGATATTCAGTTATCTTATTGGATGATTTAGATTTGCATTTACACTATAGGTAATAATGGGTATTTATTCAACAATACCAAGATTCCTGCAATAAGCAATGCAATGAAAACATCTGCATCAAGCACTGCCAGTAATGGCAAAAGTAAAGACTACAATGTCAACAGTATTGCACAGTTCCTTTCCTAGCAATCAACAGCAAGCATTGGCGGATCCAGAGGGAGGGGGCATGGGGTTTGGCCCCAACCATTTTGAAAAATCACACATGGAACCCAATGACAAGAGCCATCTTTGTAGTACTGACATACATTCATCAGTATCCCCCGCCATCTTGTCTTTTTTAACCTCCCCACACACTGAAGCAAAGAATTCAGAATTTGAAACACAAGCACCCCACAAAGGTCAGGAATTCAAAATGTGAACCTGTTTCTCCCCTCACAGGCCCTGGATCCACTCTTGATCCGCTCTGGATCCGCTCCGGATCCACCTCTGGTAAGCATGTTTCTAATTGTGAGGACAGGTCAGCAGCCAGGCAACTGAAACTGGAGGCCATATTTGGTGGTGCCGATGGCAGCAGAAACATCCACACACTCCTACTGCAAGTTACAGAAGAGATTGATTCTACTTTGTATAGACACCAGTGACTAGTTCTTGAAGGACAGGGGGCGGTCGGGTAGCCTAGTGGTTAAAGCGTTCGTTCGTCATGCCGAAGACCCAGGTTCGATTCCCGACATGGGTACAATGTGTGAAGCCCATTTCTGGTGTCCCCTGCCGTGATATTGCTGGAATATTGCTAAAAGCGGCGTAAAACCACACTCACTCACTCTTGTAGGACACAGGACCAGTCACATCCACTGCCCTACTCCAGCTCCTGAGAGGATCTGTTGTAGTTCTACATACACTGACAGCTGCAGTGTGTACTGAACCAATCTGGACACTGCTGTGGATATATTGGTGATATCAGTTCTTATTCTACAAGTCAGCATTTCAATGTGAGACAGGAGTCCTGATAATGTCAGTGGGCCATGATCCCATGGTTGAGGATTTCAACTTGATCCATACATAATACTTGGCCTGAACCAAGTTGAGGTGACGATGTGACAGGACTGGTCAAGCCAGCCGGTGTGGTGGCACATGCTCTCGGACTCGTGTTAGGAGGATTCCGGGACTCGGCAACTCAACACTGGGATGTGTTCACCTCTTGGCGCTTCAAACGTTCCTTAGCCTCTTTGCTGAAAAATGAAATGACATGAAGTATGACTTTTCCAAAATGAATAACCTAAAAAATATTCAAGAAAATACGACTATGTACAGCAACTGTTGTTTATGCTAAAGTCAGCAATATTCCAACTGTATCATGACGACCTGTAGGTACTAATGTCAGTGCCATGCAAACCAGTGGTTGACAGCATGAGCAACAGTCCACACAAGTCAATATTTGTGCAACATTCAGCATTATACCACCCTTACGACAGGTGTTTGTATATAATCGTCTCTGGACCAGACAATCCAGTGACTGATGTTAGGAGAAGCACACACATCATCAGGCTACATTGACATGACATCAACCAAATCGACCGTCCGATCCATTAAGTAGCCTCTTATGACCAGGGACCTTTTCCAACCTGGGTCCCCAAGGGAATAGCATGGGATGCTGGAGATCCATACTGGAAATCCATACTGGAATCCCAAAGAGGGTCACAGTGTGCAGCAGCATCAACATTCTGACACACTCATACAGGAATGTCCATCAGAAGCATCTGCATAGTCACTGTTCGACAAACATGGAGTCACACACTTTAGAATACAAATGGTGATTCCCTTCACACCTACATCTTGTGGCAATGTATGTATGTCTGTTGCTGAACACCGCACACAGCAATATCCCAGCTAAATCACAACAGCCTGTTGATAAATGAGTCAAGACAAGCAGTGATTGATATTTTGAGCATCACTCCACACCATTGGGTCCTATTCTAAAGGACCATAAGCAGAGATTAGATGGGTTTCTGTACACACTTACTTCTTGTGGCGAGATCGTTTGTTGAGTGAGACAATGTTGGAGCAGATCATAGGCTGCAATTTTTCTTTGAAGTTGTGGTAGTTCCGCTCCAGCTCTCGCTGATACTCCTTCTGCTCCGAGGCAATGAGAGCCTTGTTACGCTGCAGTGAGTCGCTGCACCTGCCAGGACATTGCAACACCATCAGCAAACTACAGTGTAAGTCGGGGTAGACATCATCGGTCACATCTAACTAATCCACAGGTAATTTAGGACTACTAAAACAACCTGATTTGGGGAGAAAACAACTAGTCCATCTACATTTTGACTAGTTACCGGCTATCAGAATAGTTACTGAGTTGAGGTGAAATGGGGTTTAACCTCACGTCCAAGATTATTGCACGTAGTTCTCGCGATCACGTGCACGGGAGCCTTGACAGTGACTGGTCAAACTGATTCCATGTGAAAAATAATAACCGGCAATAGTGATCAGCTCCTTCGCTTAGGGTTATAATTATTTTAAATATATTTAGTAAAAGCTGCAACTAAAATAACAAGATATTGGAATATATTATTCCTGTTAAAAAAATAGTTTCAGATACAATTTTTGCCGATTCTTGCATTAAAATCCTGCAAAGTTATATCACTGGGTGTGTCTTGACCGAATCACCGCTAGATTCCAAGAAAACATGTGTACAGCTGATTGCTGTTTCCAAGATTAGTTTATGAGAAAATACACAAGGTAATCTTAATCCCTGGATGTAAAACAATGCCTTGCAGAACAAAAAATACAATTTTTTGGTACGACGTGCCGGGGATCGAACCCACGACCATCCACTCTCCGAGCGGACACTCTACCACTTGACTTGCACAGTCACTAGACTTACACTGTGTGTGGACAGGGTACACCAGCAGTCGATACTGCAGAGTCAACACCAGATCCACATCTTCATCACATCTTATGACAAACTGAGACATGAACTTAGGACCCCAAATCCCTAATGCCAATGGACACCAAAACTGTGTACCACATATTGGTGCATGGAGTTACCTAATGCCAATGGACACTAAAACTGTGTACCACATATTGGTGCATGGAGTTACCTAATGCCAATGGACACCAAAACTGTGTACCACATATTGGTGCATGGAGTTACCTAATGCCAATGGACACTTAAACTGTGTACCACATATTGGTGCATGGAGTTACCTAATGCCAGTGGACACTAAAACTGTGTACCACATATTGGTGCATGGAGTTACCTAATGCCAATGGACACCAAAACTGTGTACCACATATTGGTGCATGGAGTTACCTAATGCCAATGGACACTAAAACTGTGTACCACATATTGGTGCATGGAGTTACCTAATGCCAATGGACACTAAAACTGTGTACCACATATTGGTGCATGGAGTTACCTAATGCCAATGGACACTAAAACTGTGTACCACATATTGGTGCATGGAGTTACCTAATGCCAATGGACATTAAAACTGTGTACCACATATTGGTGCATGGAGTTACCTAATGCCAATGGACACTAAAACTGTGTACCACATATTGGTGCATGGAGTTACCTAATGCCAATGGACACTAAAACTGTGTACCACATATTGGTGCATGGAGTTACTACTGTACTAAGTCAAGGATGTTGTATAGAAGCATACAGACAAGGAAGGTATAGCTCACTTAATTTCATCCATTTGGTACGGAAACCTTAGTGTCGCAGCAACTGGCCATGGGGCCTATACTACATACCGTATTCGACGTAATAAGCGCCCAGGGCGCTCTCAAAATTAGGAACAGGGGGCTCTTATTAGAATATTATTTTGGTGAAAAAATAAGTTGAAAGATAAATTTCGTGGTTTTATGCTGACAGCCTGAACTGTTTATGAACGACAGATATATTTTTTCAGAATTTAATTGCCCATAATTAAGGGTACATATAACACATGAGTGCGTATCATACACAAAAAAATAAGTCTTGTGTACAGTGATCAATCGGAAGGGTGCCAATTGGGATTGTTCACAAGCCAATATATTAGGAAATATCGCCGTGGGCGCTTATTAGAGCGGGGCGCTTATTACGTCGAATACGGTATATGTCCAAACCATAATGGGGTGGACTGTTACCATTGGGTGGGCCGCAACACGACAGTCTGTGAACCTTACTTTTTGAGGAAGTCCTTGAAGCACAGCCTGAGCTTGTTGTGGTGCTTGCTGGGGGGTTGTGTTCCCCCTGCTACGTCTGCCAGGAACACCAGCGCCACCTCCAGGGGACCCTGTTGATGAGACAACTCTTACTTACAATCCCAGCCTAGGCGCAACTTGATGTTCGACAGACTTCACATACAAGACGCCACACAGTCAAAACTACTGTCTAAGAACCACCCAGAAATTGAAGCAGATAATCCGACGTTTACTGTTAGCCTGAAAACTATACCACAATCAAGGGCATTGCTGCCACGTCTGTAAAGAACAAAATTATTTGGTACCTCCTCACCTCTATTTCAGTGACAACATAGTTACACATTTTGACTCAAATGTTTAACATTATCTCACTTGCACACTGAGGTTGTCATTTCATAATTAGAAATCTGTTCTTTAAGGAATATCCATTTCATGTTTCAAGGTATCAATATACCAGTCACAATTCTTCCCAGTCAGCTGGTGTAGAGTGTGAGTGTCTGATCTGGGTGTGACTACTGTACCTGGTTGACTGTCGTGCCGATACATCCCTGCAATACCATCTGCAGAATCTTCAGGTCTGGAGGCTCCTGGCACAAGGCCAACGCCAGCTCCCGGGTCTTCTTCTGTACATCCTCGATTGCCACTTCCACAGGCGACAAGATGATCTAGAGACAGAAAACATGCACAGAGACCCGCATGTCTGGAGACAGGATTACCAGAGACCTGTATGTGTGCAGACAGGATTATCAGAGACCCGTATGTGTGGAGACAGGATTATCAGAGACCTGTATGTGTGCAGACAGGATTATCAGATACCTGTATGTGTGCAGACAGGATTATCAGAGAACCATATGTGTGCAGACAGGATTATCAGAGACCCGTATGTGTGGAGACAGGATTATCAGATACCTGTATGTGTGCAGACAGGATTATCAGAGACCTGTATGTGTGCAGACAGGATTATCAGAGACCTGTATGTGTGCAGACAGGATTATCAGAGACCTGTATGTGTGCAGACAGGATTATCAGAGACCCGTATGTGTGGAGACAGGATTATCAGAGACCTGTATGTGTGGAGACAGGATTACCAGAGACCCATATGTGTGCAGACAGGATTATCAGAGACCCGTATGTGTGCAGACAGGATTATCAGAGACCTGTATGTGTGCAGACAGGATTATCAGAGACCTGTATGTGTGCAGACAGGATTATCAGAGACCTGTATGTGTGCAGACAGGATTATTAGAGACCTGTATGTGTGCAGACAGGATTATCAGAGACCCGTATGTGTGGAGACAGGATTATCAGAGACCTGTATGTGTGGAGACAGGATTATCAGAGACCTGTATGTGTGCAGACAGGATTATCAGAGACCCGTATGTGTGCAGACAGGATTATCAGAGACCCGTATGTGTGGAGACAGGATTATCAGATACCTGTATGTGTGCAGACAGGATTATCAGAGACCTGTATGTGTGCAGACAGGATTATCAGAGACCTGTATGTGTGCAGACAGGATTATCAGAGACCTGTATGTGTGCAGACAGGATTATCAGAGACCCGTATGTGTGGAGACAGGATTATCAGAGACCTGTATGTGTGGAGACAGGATTACCAGAGACCCGTATGTGTGCAGACAGGATTATCAGAGACCTGTATGTGTGCAGACAGGATTATCAGAGACCCGTATGTGTGCAGACAGGATTATCAGAGACCAGTATGTGTGCAGACAGGATTATCAGAGACCTGTATGTGTGCAGACAGGATTATCAGAGACCTGTATGTGTGCAGACAGGATTATCAGAGACCCATATGTGTGCAGACAGGATTATCAGAGACCCGTATGTGTGCAGACAGGATTATCAGAGACCCGTATGTCTGGAGACAGGATTATCAGAGACCCGTATGTGTGGAGACAGGATTATCAGAGACCTGTATGTGTGCAGACAGGATTATCAGAGACCTGTATGTGTGCAGACAGGATTATCAGAGACCCATATGTGTGCAGACAGGATTATCAGAGACATGTATGTGTGCAGACAGGATTATCAGAGATCCGTATGTCTGGAGACAGGATTACCAGAGACCCGTATGTGTGCAGACAGGATTATCAGAGACCTGTATGTGTGCAGACAGGATTATCAGATACCTGTATGTGTGCAGACAGGATTATCAGAGACCCATATGTGTGCAGACAGGATTACCAGAGACCTGTATGTGTGCAGACAGGATTATCAGAGACCCGTATGTGTGGAGACAGGATTATCAGAGACCTGTATGTGTGCAGACAGGATTATCAGAGACCTGTATGTGTGCAGACAGGATTATCAGATACCTGTATGTGTGCAGACAGGATTATCAGAGACCAATATGTGTGGGGACAGGATTATCAGAGACCTGTATGTGTGCAGACAGGATTATCAGAGACCTGTATGTGTGCAGACAGGATTATCAGAGACCTGTATGTGTGCAGACAGGATTATCAGAGACCCATATGTCTGGAGACAAGATTATCAGAGACAGGAAAATGCAACCTGGCACCACCACACTTCCTGGATGCATTCAAAATTAATTCAGATTTTATTTCTTACCCAAATACATGACTGCTGTACAACAGGGTGTCATAATACACCTACCTCACATAGATTCTAGATCGGTGGCAAAACAATCCTAGTGATTGTAGTCATAAGGCCAGCTAATTGAAATGCTTAAATATCACATTTTGAAAACAACATAGAATCACTTGAAACTAGACAGATGAGCAGGTGTATGGTATGATGAGTGATATATAACTGAGCAGTATCTGTAGTGATGTAGATCCCCTACCTGCTGCCGCTCTATGACTGTCATGCGTGTCTTGACGTAGGGGAATGTGTGGGTGGTTGTGAGGATGGTCTTCCTCTTGTACTGCTCGTGAAGCTCCCCGTGGGCGCGGCCGTCCAGCGTGAAGGGCGTGGCGTACATGAACCGCTCTGACAACACGATGTGGAGAGATAAGCCAGCAGCCAGTGAATGAATGTGGTTAAATGCTGGAGCGGCTTATATCACAGCTAAATCATGATCAAAATCAGTGCATACAGGTCTGGAGCCACTTTGGCATATCACAGCTAAATCATGATCAAACTCAGTGCATACAGGTCTGGAGCCACTTTGGCATATCACAGCTAAATCATGATCAAAATCAGTGCAAACAGGTCTGGAGCCACTTTGGCATATCACAGCTAAATCATGATCAAAATCAGTGCATACAGGTCTGGAGCCACTTTGGCATATCACAGCTAAATCATGATCAAAATCAGTGCATACAGGTCTGGACAGGATAAGTTCCTAGGACCACATATTTGTTGAAAGAGCTACCAAAGAAAATCACTAGATCACAATGACAGAGTTACTGTTCCCCACCAGGAAGGCTTGCTGCCTATGTTACACCACTGGGTTCTCATAACTAGTCTTGACTATTAAACAAAACATAAGATAAAACACTCTGTTTCTTTGACTCAGTTTGGTTTCCTACTGCTTTGAACTGTATTCCAGTGTGTCAGCTTGATGTGGAGGGAAGCCTCAAGTGATGCAGGTCGTAGACGTATACCACTTTAGGATGCAACTCTGCACAGTGAATTGCAGCTCCTTAGATGACTGGGCCACCCATGCCCTGTTAGCTGCCTTGGACAGTGTTTCAGTTTAATCCTGGGAGCATGGCTATGTTACTCACAAACCAAGGATCATAATTAAGGCAAATCTATAGTTCAAAATCATGATCAGCGCATCATGCTATGACAAATGCAGGCAGACATGATATAGCTGTAATACCGATGAGGCATAAAACAGCATTCAGTCATGAAAGTCAGATGCATGTGAGCTTTGAGTTGAGTTTGGTTTAATGCCGCTTTTAACAGTATTCCAGTTATATCAAGGCTTGTCAGCTTAATGTGGGAGGAAAGCCAGAAGTGATGCAGGTCTCAGACGTTTACCACTTCAGAAACCCACGAGCACGGGTATGGTGCTGACAAACCCAGATACATAATCGGGGCGAACCGGGATTTGAACCCACAATCATAGGTTTCTGGCGTGCCCAAGGGACGCAACTCTGCACAGCATGTGAGCTTTGAAGCCACTTCATCAACATTACAGTCACATCACAGCAGCGAACACCAGATATGGGTTTCACACTGTACCAAGTTTTTGGATGACAAGCTAACAATCTGACCAATAGGCTACCAAACTATTCTTTGAGGTCCCCATCTAGTTGCCTCCACAACAAACAAGACAAAGTCTTGACCTTTAACTGTATTTTGTTTGTTTGTTGCTCAACACCATGCTCAGCAATATTTCAGCCATATGACGGCGGTCTGTAAATAATCAAGTCTGGATCAGACAATCCAGTGATTGACAATATGAACAAAATGTTTATGTTACAAACAAGTCTGCCAACTCACTGATGTTGTAGTTCTTGTCAAAGTAGGTGATCCTGTCTCTGTACTCGTACATGTCGAAGTACGGCTCAACATAGGTGATCTGTATGTAGGCCTGCAACAAACACGCCATTAGAATCAATGAACACCTTCGTGTCAAAACCCCAGTGAGTGATCAGAGACATTTCACCAATATGACAATACTTTAGTTACAACATGACAACACTTCAGTTACATCATGACATTACTTTAGGTATAGCATGACAATACTTCAGTTACAACATGACATTACTTTAGGTATAGCATGACAATACTTCAGAAATATGGATAGCATTTCAGTGATATCAGTTTCAATGTTGGAAGAATGACTTGTACTCAAGACTTCACACACGCTGAAATAATTATCCAATACAGAGTGGTCCCCCTTGATTACCTTGGCAGGGTCCAATTTTTCCTTTTCTACAGTGTTGGAATCCTTCACAGTTGACACAACGTCATAGCCGAACCGGTCACCATAGAAACTCTACAGCAGAACAACAGAAAATATCAGCAAGACGTGATGAGTGAGTGAGTGAGTGAGTGAATCCTTACTGAAGTCACAATCAGCAATATAACAACTATACAACAGCGGCCTGCAAATAATCTGTCTGCATCAGGCAAACCAGTGATTGATATTCTGAGCAACTTCTCACACATAATTGAAAATCATTCTTACCAAGAAGAATTAAACTTCTTGGTTTCCCGGAAAGAAATAAGGACCCTTTAAATATATTAGTTATATTTGTTAAAAAACTCATTTACGAAAATAACAGCAAAGACTTTCCAAAAAATTCAACTTAAAGTGTCAGAATACTATAATGTAACAATATGTGCTGCAGCTATGACCAGCAATATTGATAAATTCTGATCAACACGTCATATGCTTTTATGTAATTGTGAAAATGATCTATATGCAATAAAAACGTAAAGGAAATAAACCCCAAAACTTCCCACATGGATTACAAGGGCATGCAAATCAATCAAGTCACTGAGCTAGACCATCTAAGATGCATTTTTTGACAAGTTCACGTTACTAAGGCCAATTCGAAGCTGGAATCCCCACATAGAGAAACTCATTAGAAAACAATGCTACATGAAACACATATACCATGCATTTGCACCATACAATACTGACATGAGAACTGGATATATTGAGTGGTCTGGGTGACACACACTGGACTACAGGTGACATACCTCGAGTCGGTGAGATATTTCAGGGAGTTTTGTGATGGCAGGCTCCTTGTAGATAAACTCCTCCCCATCCAAGTCCCCGAACAACGAGCCGTAGAACCCAACGCGGAAATACGTCCCAAATATCCGCTTCCCTTCCTGAAACACAGCATAGAGCTTGCATGGGGAAGTACCAAACAGATATGAGTCAATGACATTATAGCTAACTTGATTAACATTTTATGGTACTAAACTATCTGCTGGATCACTCAACACATATGATATCAGTAACATGGTGTGTGGATATTTGCCTTATTTATTAACATCGTCAAATGTATGCAACATGGCCACAGTTACTGTCAAATTCAGCTGGCTACCACAATAAGCATGAGGTAATGGGGACCTATTTTGTGTCAGCATCCCCATACAAGCATGAGGTACAGGGACCTTCCTGTCCTGGAATCCCTACAGGGACAAGCATGAGGTACAGGGACCTTTCTGTCCTGGAATCCCCATACAGGGACAAGCATGAAGTACAGGGACCTTTCTGTCCTGGAATCCCCATTCAGGGACAAGAATGAAGTACAGGGACCTTTCTGTCCTGGAATCCCCATACAGGGACAAGCATGAAGTACAGGGACCTTTCTGTCCTGGAATCCCCATACAGGGACAAGCATGAAGTACAGGGACCTTTCTGTCCTGGAATCCCCATTCAGGGACAAGAATGAAGTACAGGGACCTTTCTGTCCTGGAATCCCCATACAGGGACAAGCATGAAGTACAGGGACCTTTCTGTCCTGGTATCCCCATACAGGGACAAGCATGAAGTACAGGGACCTTTCTGTCCTGGTATCCCCATACAGGGACAAGCATGAGGTACAGGGACCTTTCTGTCCTGGAATCCTCATACAGAGACAAGCATGAGGTACAGGGACCTTTCTGTCCTGGAATCCCCATACAGGGACAAGCATGAGGTACAGGGACCTTTCTGTCCTGGAATCCCTGTACAGGGACAAGCATGAAGTACAGGGACCTTTCTGTCCTGGTATCCCCATACAGGGACAAGCATGAGGTACAGGGACCTTTCTGCCCTGGTATCCCCATACAGGGACAAGCATGAGGTACAGGGACCTTTCTGTCCTGGTATTACCATACAGGGACAAGCATGAGGTACAGGGACCTTTCTGCCCTGGTATCCCCATACAGGGACAAGCATGAAGTACAGGGACCTTTCTGTCCTGGAATCCCCATACAGGGACAAGCATGAAGTACAGGGACCTTTCTGTCCTGGAATCCCCATACAGGGACAAGCATGAAGTACAGGGACCTTTCTGTCCTGGAATCCCCATTCAGGGACAAGAATGAAGTACAGGGACCTTTCTGTCCTGGAATCCCTGTACAGCGACAAGCATGAGGTACAGGGACCTTTCTGTCCTGGAATCCCCGTACAGGGACAAGCATGAGGTACAGGGACCTTTCTGTCCTGGAATCCCCATACAGGGACAAGCATGAAGTACAGGGACCTTTCTGTCCTGGAATCCCCATTCAGGGACAAGAATGAAGTACAGGGACCTTTCTGTCCTGGAATCCCCATACAGGGACAAGAATGAAGTACAGGGACCTTTCTGCCCTGGAATCCCCGTACAGAGACAAGCATGAGGTACAGGGACCTTTCTGCCCTGGAATCCCCGTACAGAGACAAGCATGAGGTACAGGGACCTTTCTGTCCTGGAATCCCCGTACAGGGACAAGCATGAGGTACAGGGACCTTTCTGTCCTTGAATCCCTGTACAGGGACAAGCATGAAGTACAGGGACCTTTCTGTCCTGGAATCCCTGTACAGCGACAAGCATGAGGTACAGGGACCTTTCTGTCCTGGAATCCCCGTACAGGGACAAGCATGAGGTACAGGGACCTTTCTGTCCTGGAATCCCCATACAGGGACAAGCATGAAGTATAGGGACCTTTCTGTCCTGGAATCCCCATTCAGGGACAAGAATGAAGTACAGGGACCTTTCTGTCCTGGAATCCCCATACAGGGACAAGAATGAAGTACAGGGACCTTTCTGCCCTGGAATCCCCGTACAGAGACAAGCATGAGGTACAGGGACCTTTCTGCCCTGGAATCCCCGTACAGAGACAAGCATGAGGTACAGGGACCTTTCTGTCCTGGAATCCCCGTACAGGGACAAGCATGAGGTACAGGGACCTTTCTGTCCTGGAATCCCCGTACAGGGACAAGCATGAGGTACTGGGACCTTTCTGTCCTGGAATCCCCATACAGGGACAAGCATGAGGTACATGGACCTTTCTGTCCTGGAATCCCCATACAGAGACAAGCATGAGGTACATGGACCTTTCTGCCCTGGAATCACCATACAGGGACAAGCATGAGGTACATGGACCTTTCTGCCCTGGAATCACCATACAGAGACAAGCATGAGGTACATGGACCTTTCTGCCCTGGAATCACCATACAGGGACAAGCATGAGGTACATGGACCTTTCTGCCCTGGAATCACCATACAGAGACAAGCATGAGGTACATGGACCTTTCTGTCCTGGAATCCCCGTACAGGGACAAGCATGAGGTACAGCGGTTTTGTCTGCACTCACCATTCTGATGACATTGTTGAACGACTCCTGCAGCTTCTGGTGGATGTGGGCCAGCTTCTTGTAGTCCCGGCTTGCTTCGTGGATCGGCAGCAGGATCTTGTACACCTCGTTCACAGCCTCGTACATACCGGCCTGGCAACACAGACATTAGTGTAGGCATGATACATAGCATACATATTACTGCTATTGAAATAACACATCTGAAAACAAGAAAAGAGTTTGCACTCCTTCAAAACTTAATCATCTCTTATATTCAGAACACTTAATTTCTTTACAGTTACAACATATAAGTTAAGTGACTGAGTAGTTGAATGAGCACGCCCAAAGGGTTCATCCAGCTTATGGAAAGAAGGTGGTGAGGTAAAATGGGGTTGAATGTCGTGTTCAATATTATTTCACATATATAGCGACATGCATGCATGTGTTTGTGGCTGCTTGTTCTAGTCCAGACTTATGCCGGTGTTACAGAGCTAGCCCACTGCCATACCCAGCTGCAGGTCAACATGGATCACCTGTTGATACGAATGGACTCATTATTGTGCACACAGTTACAGGTATGATGGGGACTCACTATCATGCACACAGTTACAGGTGTCACAGGGAACTCACTATCATGCACACAGTTACAGGTGTGACAGGGGACTCACTATCATGCACACAGTTACAGGTATGACAGGGGACTCACTATCATGCACACAGTTACAGGTGTGACAGGGGACTCACTATCATGCACACAGTTACAGGTGTGACAGGGGACTCACTATCATGCACACAGTTACAGGTGTGACAGGGGACTCACTATCATGCACACAGTTACAGGTGTGACAGGGAACTCACTATCATGCACACAGTTACAGGTGTCACAGGGAACTCACTATCATGCACACAGTTACAGGTGTGACAGGGGACTCACTATCATGCACACAGTTACAGGTGTGACAGGGGACTCACTATCATGCATACAGTTACAGGTGTGACAGGGAACTCACTATCATGCACACAGTTACAGGTGTCACAGGGAACTCACTATCATGCACACAGTTACAGGTGTGACAGGGGACTCACTATCATGCACACAGTTACAGGTATGACAGGGAACTCACTATCATGCACACAGTTACAGGTGTGACAGGGGACTCACTATCATGCACACAGTTACAAGTGTGACAGGGGACTCAATATCATGCACACAGTTACAGGTATGACAGGGGACTCACTATCATGCACACAGTTACAGGTGTGACAGGGGACTCACTATCATGCACACAGTTACAGGTGTGACAGGGGACTCACTATCATGCACACAGTTACAGGTGTGACAGGGGACTCAATATCATGCACACAGTTACAGGTATGACAGGGGACTCACTATCATGCACACAGTTACAGGTATGACAGGGGACTCACTATCATGCACACAGTTACAGGTGTGACAGGGGATTCACTATCATGCACACAGTTACAGGTATGACAGGGGGACTCACTATCATGCACACAGTTACAGTTGTGACAGGGGACTCACTATCATGCACACAGTTACAGGTATGACAGGGGATTCACTATCATGCACACAGTTACAGGTGTGACAGGGGACTCAATATCATGCACACAGTTACAGGTATGACAGGGGACTCACTATCATGCACACAGTTACAGGTGTGACAGGAGACTCACTATCATGCACACAGTTACAGGTATGACAGGGGACTCACTATCATGCACACAGTTACAGGTATCACAGGGAACTCACTATCATGCACACAGTTACAGGTAAGATAGGGGACTCACAATCATGCACACAGTTACAGGTATGACAGGGGACTCACTATCATGCACACAGATACAGGTATGACAGGGGACTCACTATCATGCACACAGTTACAGGTGTGACAGGGGACTCACTATCATGCACACAGTTAAAGGTATGACAGGGGACTCACTATCATGCACACAGATACAGGTATGACAGGGGACTCACTATCATGCACACAGATACAGGTATGACAGGGGACTCACTATCATGCACACAGATACAGGTATGACAGGGGACTCACCATCGTGAAGGAGCTGGCAGTCTGCTCCAGCAGGCCCACAAGGCCATTCTCAGTGAAATACTTCCCGGAACAGATGCCCTCCTCGTCTGGTGACACTACATCATCTGAGATGGCACTCTCCTCTAGCACATTCCAAGTTATTTTCTACAACATCGCCAACAAAGAAATATCATCGAAAAATCCTCCCCAGAATTTCTTTAAAAGAATCGACTGCATAAAACAGTTTCCTTTATATTCAGTAGATTGTATATTGAGATAAGAGTGAGTGAGTGAGTATGGTTTTACGCCGCTTTTAGCAATATTCCAGCAATAACACGGCGGGGGACACCAGAAATAGGCTTCACACATTGTTCCCATGTCGGGAATCAAACCCGGGTCTTTTTCTGCGTGACGAGCTAACGCTTTAACCACTAGGCTACCCGACCACCCCTATAGAGCTAAGAAGTAGCATATCTTCAGTGGTCTTAAGGGGATACCATGATTCTATATTAATATGATGTTTTAGTTAGAAGGATAACACACAAGATAACATATATATCAAGGTCATTTATTAATAAAAAAGTTAGCTATCTCTTTGGGCAGTACCTCCCTTGTTAAAGTCATACAAGCCATTCAACTCTGGACATCATGAAAGCATAACATTAAATTTTAACCCGCCTCGTCACATTTGACTGTGTCATTGAAAAGATGCTAAATATATATCAAATACATAAAAACAGATCTTACTGGTATTTCCCCACAAACATATCCAATGAAAATAGAGTATTGGGAACACAAAATGACAATTTGTTACACGTGCCATTAGCAAATATGCCTTGGGTTCCCAAAAAGATAATCCCACATACCAATTCCAGTTAATAAAATCCCTAACACCTGACTTATGACACACAGAACACCTGGACACCTTATATGCTCACCTGGAAGGCCACACAGCCGACTGGCAGGTAGGGTTTATCCTCCAGCATATTCAGGTACTCCGCCACCAGCCCCGCCGCATGGACCAGACACTGGGCTGCCTCGGCATGGTTGCCCCGCTGACCACACAGTACAAACATCATAATTTGTTTGGAGACATTATTAGCCGAATGTGGCTTTGTACTGTAAATATCATATCAGGAATACAAATTTGGCGAGTATCATACTTTTGATTCCTATCACATCTTATGAAGTCAATTGGAGTGAGTGAATATGGTTTTACGCCGCTTTTTGCAATATTATGGCGGGGGACTCAAGAAATGGGCTTCACACATTGTACCCATGTCGGGAACGAACCCGGGTCTTCTGCGTGACGAGCGAACGCTTTAACCACTAGGCTACCCGACCGCCCCAGAAGTCAATTGGAAGTAAGTAGATACTTAAGAATTCAATATGTTTTTGTGTTTATGGAGGTAAATCCGTTGAATCAATAAATAAGTAAAAAATAATAACTTCACAGACTACTTATTTAACCATTGACACAAAAATACGTAGACAGTGATACGACAACAGTGACAACGTTCAGGGCAATAATACAACGTAACTATCTGCCAATCAGGAAACAGCAGTCCCCTACAGGGCATGGCCGACTTCTTTTTGGTTAATGGAATCATAAACACAAAAGGAATTGCTTGGGTAGCCAATCAAAGGCCATGGAATCACTTGCAATTGATTACTGCCATGTGAACACAGGTTATCTTGCTTACCTCACTGTGTTTCTGGGCCATGTTCTGAAGCCAGGTGAGTCGGAGGTCCGGGGAGGTCTGGTAACCCTTGGCAATGCGGTACATGAGGTCGAGCAGCATCTCGGGGTCATTCTGGTACTCCTTCATCTTGACAGTGTCGGACAGGATCATGTGGAGGTTGAACACGAGGTCTCTCACCTGGAAGGTTCAACCAGTATATACAACACAAGTATATAAAACACCAGTATAAACAACACCGGTATATACAACACCAGTGTATACAATACCGGTATATACAACACCGGTATATACAACACCGGTATATACAACACCGGTATATACAACACCAGTATATACAACACCAGTATATAAAACACCAGTATATACAACACCAGTATATACAACACCAGTATATACAACACCAGCATCAAACACATGAAAAACAGAGGTTATACCTAGATCCAAGTGAAAATGAGAAATCATATGATAATACTGGCATATAGTGGGGTGTACATGATTTTATTTCGTGTAGTCCCCTAACCTATGGTGTTGTGGTGCACAAGTCCATTCAGCTCTACCAATCCTGCACATCCCAATATTGACACATGTAACCAGTGTTCGAAATCAAGGTTCCTTGGCATCTTAGGGTCTTCCATTGTGTTTGATGCTAGGGAACCTCAACATCTTTAACTTCTTTAACCTCCATGCCGTGTCTTGAACACTGTTTGTTTGTTGATTAATGCTGCACTCAGCAATATTCCAGCTATATGACATGAGTCTGTAAATAATTAAGTTTGGACCTGACAATCCAGTGATTGATGTCATGAGCATCAATCCAAGCAATTGGGATACAATGAAATGCTTCAACCGAGTCAGCGAGCCTGACCACCCGATCCCGTTAATCGCCTCTTACGACAAGCAAAGTCGCCTCTTACGGCAAGCATGGGTTGCTGAAGACCTATTCTACCCTGGATGTTCACGGGTTTCTTGACCAGGGTGTTCCTGGGAGTTTCGCCCACCTGTTCTGGGAAGGATGTTTCCTGAAGATCATGGTCGAACTCTGCATATGTGAGTATGGTCTTCAGGGACTTGCGGAGGTACTCCTCATTGAAGTTCTGATTCTGTCCCACAAGGGAGGACAGGGACATTGTCACCTGCATCTTCACACGAGCAAAGTTCTGGCAGCGAGAAAATGACAAAATATCAACATACAAATGTAGAAAAGGTTATTAAAATCCTAACATCATAAACAACAATTACAACTTGTGCATTTACACTTTTATTGTATTGAAGATATGACATTGTGGTACAATACAATAGGTTAAATATATGACACAAAAGTTTTCAAATATGACCAGAGGTTTTTATTTCTTCATTAACTGATTATTTGGAAACAATTACTGGAGCATAAGTGGGGTTTTACGCCGCTTTTAGCAATATTCCAGCAATATCATGGCGGGGGACACCAGAAATGGGCTTCACACATTGTACCCATGTCGGGAAACGAACCCGGGTCTTCAGCGTGACGAGCTAACGCTTTAACCACTAGGCTACCCGACCGCCCCTGCAGTGTTGGTAAAGCCTGTCTTGTATTTTCATCTATTGTATCTTACAACATGCTTGCACAGTTCAATCATGAAACTCTGGTTTGGAACTAGAAAGGACCTTTAATGCAAATTGATACTCTATTTTTCACTATTTAAAATCTTCAGAATCTGCAGAATCTGAACCAACAAATATGAAATTCTTGCCATAACATGACATGTACAAATCCCAGGATACAAGGATACTGACATTGTGGACCCTTGCAGCTCGTTATCTACAGTTGACTGCAGTACTTACATTTCCCAGCTCGAAGTTGTGCCTCATGAGGAGGTAGAGGGACGCGGAGGCCTGGGAGCGGGTGTTGCTGATGCAGGAGCTGCAGTGACGTAGCAGACGCAGACACAGGTCCGCACACTGCTCCGTCTCCTCCTCAAACAACAGATCGAGGAACTGTGGACAGCAACATACACACAATTAGATACATGCTTGAGTGCAGACTGGTACCCTGTCCTTCCCCCCTAGTGGCTGAATTGCGCAAGGAGAGCAAGCACTCAAGGGAAGGCAAACCAGTCTTGCTCGAGTGAGGAGGGCAGGTAACTCTAATGCAGGGGTCCGGAAACGGTCATATGCGCCGGACATGTCCGATTGGGAATCTCAAATGTCCAGTTTAAAATATTGCTTACCGGACATTCTTAAATTTTGACCGGACATGATCTACAGTTAGGGCTGAGCAGTTTCTGTCTGCAATTGTAACACAATAAAGATTATCTACACTGACAAGCTTTGTTTGTTTTGATTGTTGTAAATACATCGTACCTACATGATTGTCCAAGCGGTCAATCACTGTAATAGGCAATAAACTTAGAACAGTCAAGCGGATCTGCCAAACCCTCAAAGTCTGGACGATCATTTTGTAAGTCGTGGTTAACGACTTTCACTTGGTTGACATACAACGACGATTTGCAGATGATGTTCTGCCAGGTAAAAGGAATATTATTGTTTTCAGCAGCTCGTCGTATATTGAATCTTGATCGTCCCCCATTTTGTTTTCTGTGACGATCGATATTTTTGTATCATCAATAATAAAGTACAGAAGAAAAACATATTCGAATAACTATTGCTATCAACGATATTTTAGTATTTGTTGTTATATTATCTATCTTGTTTCTAAAAAATCTTTAGTTTTAAAAAAGATCTTTTCCCATGAGGTCACGTGATAACCAAATATGCAATATAGTCTCGAATCTCTCGATCCAAATGTAACAACGCATACACTCGAGCAGATACAACTCATGAATATTAATTATAAGACTGACCATTCACTACATGAACAAATCGATATTATAACAGAAATAAACGAATGTTTTCAATATCTTTTTAAAAATGTGGACCAAGACTGAACGACTTTGACCCTAGACCGAAGGTCTATCAGTGTTTATATTGTTTATTTCATCATATTATGAATACGTAACAACTTGTAATGTGTGTGAAAAGTCGTATTGAAATACGTTATTTGAAGGAGGCGTGGCCTAAATGCAAATGTCCGATTGGTATTTTAAATTTTCCGGACCCCTGCTCTAAAGTAAACACTCACACTCACTCACACTTCGCAGTCAAGCAGGTAACAATGTTTTTTCCCTTGGAAATATGAACACAACAATTATTTTCAAAAAGTGAAATTGCAAAATAATCTTGACCATAGCCAGGCCTTTGGAAGACATTTTGTCTGAATTCCAGGATATTTCAAGCTAAGTCTGAATTTGAGGCCTTTTTAAGGCAAATGTCTAAATTCCAGGCCTTTCGACAAGGTCTGTGCGAGCCATGCTGAACTTCACCCGAGTGGGAATACAGCTGTGGGGCTGCGGGTGTGGGGTTACCTTGGTGACAAGTGCCCTCTGTGTGGAGAAGAGGTTCTGCAGGACCAGCATGCTCTGGTTGAGTCCGAGCATGTGCAGCAGGACCCGCAGACCGCTGCTGAGGAGGGGCTGCATTTCGTCGGACAGCTGTGCAATCTGGGGACAGTGGAACACTCATGTCACAATGGGGTGCAGGCTGGCCGGGTGTGTGGAGAACACTCTACCACTAGGACTGTGGGGCATACAGACCAACAAATAACTTCCGATGACTATTTCACAATATTTATGAGATCATTTATTTAATCAGCAAATTTCTAAAGTTTACTGCGACAGAGGTTTTCCCGAATCTTTCATTTCTCAAACTGATTAAGCTGTTTGAAAGAAATTTTAAAAAGATAATTCAACGCATTATCAAGTACCACTCAGGAAATCTGTCAAATGCATATGGTTAACTATTTACCCCAAAATTAAGAATACATGTCAGGAATATTATAAGGCTTTGAAAAGTATTTTAACATTTTGAACTTTTCACAAACATTTTGTAGAATTTTCCTATTCGGAATATTCTATAAGTAATACGTTACCACTGTTATACCGAGGCTGTTGTCTCCCACAACTGCTGCTATAGCGAAATCTACCACAGAGATCTCAATTACCTCATGCAGCACGTGCGTAGCCACCTAGCTGCCATGTGACACCCTTCACTCTTGTCTCCTGCGAGAGCAAGTGCTCGGGGGACGGACGGGCGGGCAGCAGCCCAGTGGTAACGTATTACTTATAGAATATTCCGAATAGGAAAATTCTACAAATTACATTAAGTAATACGTTACCACTGTTATACCGAGGCTGACTACCACAGTAGGCGGTGGGGAGCACCTACAACCCGAATCCTGACTGCTAGCGTTCCTTCCGACCAGCGGAAGTAAACACCAAGGCGGAAGCACTCGATGCGCATGCACCTAGCTAGGCGTTACCCTATAGGAATACCAAAGCACTGTCAAGCGCATACCGTAAGGCTCAATCGTCAATGCCAAAACGATTGGTGACTCCAAACGGCCCCACTGGATAGGTATTTCATCGCCGCAGCGGATGAGAACACTGTATCCGCGTGAGCTAAATCTTAGATCAGGTTAAACAGTCGAAAAGAGGGAAATTAATTTCCTTCAGACCGTATATCCCAGAGCAAGCCTACTTAAAGTATGCATTAGGCGCGTGACCTAATTCCAGTATTCGTAAGCATGTATCGCAAGGTTGGAATACACGACAGACAATTAAATGCATAATTGTCAAAATACAAATAAGGACAAAACACACAAAAAGCCGCCTCACCTGTGGTGTGAGTGCGCTGGTTTGCAGGACCCCCACTCCTGTACCCACGGCGTGGGAACATTGGAGACGACCCAGATTGACCACCGTGCAAGGACTGACGACTGCGGAGTTTGGAATTGCGCTGGACACACCCCCTAGATGACCGCTTGTGCCGCGATCAGCGGCCCAAGACGGTGCACCCCCTCCACGTCTTCATCAGAAACCTTTCTGAGGTAATGATTGGCAAAAACCGAGTCAGAATGCCAGTAACAACCTCGTAATATTCTGTGAACAGAGATATTCGAGTGTAGGGCAAATGTTGCCGCTAGCGCCCTGATCTCGTGGTTTGACCCCGCTACCGGTAACCCCCGAGACCGGTACGCCAGATTGATGACAGAACGAAGCCACAACGCAATCGAGTTGCGAGTTATGTCAACCGTGCGATTAGGGTTACACGATATGAACAGACGGTAACGCCCTTGTCTACGTTCATTCGAAGCCCTAAGGTAATACTTAAGGGCCCTAACCGGACACAGCGCTCTGTCCTCAGTATCAGCAGAATGTAAGATTTCTTTGAGGGATCTTACAGTGAATTCTCTCTCCGTTTGCCCGACTCTCTGATTCTTGGCGACGAAGCCCATGAGCAGGCCCAGGCGGACCGCTCCTTCGTCACCCCTATCGAATCGTACCTTGGCGACATCGAGTGCATGAATTTCGGATACACGTGCCGCCGTGGCAAAGGAGAGGAGAAATGCTGTTTTCCAAGTCACATGCCGGAACGAAGCACTATGCAAGGGTTCATACGGAGCTTCCGTGAGTGATTGCAACACTAGGGAAAGATCCCAGGCCGGTGCCCGAAGGCGGCCCTTCTTAAGATCGTGCTGTTTGAAACCCTTGATAATACCCCGTATCACCGGCTCTTTGGAGAGACTGGTACCCATAGCAACGTCCCGTACCGTAGCAACGGACGAGACATAGTTGGCAATGGAACCCCCGGAGAGTTTCCGGGTCTCTCGCAAGTGAGACATGAAACGAGCAATATCCTGCACAGATACCTTATCTGGCGAATGAATGTGATGTTTACAACACCACTTCGTGAAAATAACCCAACGTGCATTATACACCTTCTGGGTAGAATCACGATGCATACTAACGTATGCCCGAGACGCCCGGCGAGAAAAAACTTTACTCCTCAGACGCTCGGTGACAACATCCACGCGTGCAGATTGAACTGCCCTGCGTTTGGATGAAGCTGACGGGTGTGAGGGTGGATCAAGAGATCCGGTCTCACAGGCAGTGGGAGTGGCGACTGCGTGACCTGGGTCAGCAAGTCGGGGTACCACGATCTGTTCGGCCACATGGGCGCGATCAGTAACATTCGACAGCGAACTCCTCGAAGCCGGCTTAGAATGTGTGGTATCAACGCTGTCGGCGGGTAAGCATAAGCGTCCAAGCCCGTCCAGTCTAACGCGAGAGCATCGTGATCGATGGCCCTCGGGTCCGGGACTGGTGATACAAACAACGGGAGTTGATTGTTGAACCGTGTTGCGAACAGGTCGACCATCGGACGACCCAAACGTTCGCACAGCCACTGAAACACCACTGGGTTCAGCATCCACTCTGTGGGGCTCGGATCCTGAGGCCTCGATAGAGCATCGGCCAGTACGTTCCGCACACCTGGGATGTGACGGGCGCGTATCTGGCACGGGACACTGTCCACCAGAGCGTAAAACTCGAACGTGAGATCGAGTAGCGAGTGACTGTGGGTTCCCCCCAGTTTGTTCACATAGGACACTACCGTCGTGTTGTCGGTCGCCAGCATGAGCCAGGCGTCGACGAGACGATGCTTCCAGTGATTGACTGCGTTGATCACTGCCTTGAACTCGAGACAATTGATGTGAAGACCTAGTTCGTCTACGCACCACAGCCCCGAGCTCACCTCCCCCTCTAGATGGGCGCCCCAGCCCACTAGAGAGGCGTCTGTATACAGGTTCAACGTGGCCCGGTAGGGCCGCATAGAGACTCCTGATAAGACATTGTAAGGGAGCGTCCACCACTCCAGATGCGGTCGGAGCCGATCCGGGAGGGCGACGGTCGCACTGTTCACCTCCGTTGCTAACAACTGGATTAAAAACCGTTGCAGCGGGCGGAGTTGGAGACGACCCCGTTCGGTGCAGTCCTGGGCTGATACAAGTAGCCCTAACAGCTGTTCCCAAAAGTGAACAGTCTGTTGCACCGCTAAGACTTTGGCAATCATCGCCTGAATTTTGTGCCACCGGTTTGGGGGGACAAATAGGCGATGGGACACCGTGTTGAACCGACCTCCGATGAACTGCAAGTTCTGAGAAGGGGTTAACTCGCTCTTGGGGAGATTGACAATCCACCCCAATTGCTCCAAGAGCCGACGTGCGAAAACGAGATGGCGTGACAGGGTGTCCGACATTCGATTTGCTACTAGCGAGTCGTCCAGGTACGCGAAGTACCGGACACCCCTCCGGTGGAGGAACCCCACTATGGGGGTGGTTAACCGGGTGAACAGCCAGGGAGCGGATGAAAGACCGAATGGGAGTACAACCCACTCGTAGTGCCTGCCTTGAAAGACAAACCTGAGATACTTCTGATGATCCGAGTGAATCGGAACATGCAGATAAGCATCCTTCAGGTCGATCGAAGCTAGCCAGTCGGCCGGCATGATCAGTGCTTTCAGGTCCGTCAAGCTCAACATTCTGAACTTGGGCGGTTTGCGCAGGTAGAACTCGTTGAACGATTTCAAGTTGTGAATCATTCTGAGTTCGGCACTGTCCTTCTTGGGAACGAGAAATATCCTGGAGTAAAACCCCGGTGTTATTTCTGGTAGAGCTAACTCCCGAACTGCCCTCTTCTCCACCAACCTGCCGATGGCATCGGCGAGGAAGGGAAGATCGGTTTCCGAATAGAAACCTGCCGACGGGGCAACGGTGAGCGGCGGATTCGCTATGAGATCGAGCCGATAGCCGTACCGAATCGTGTTGACCACCCACGGGTCGTCGAACACTTGTTCCCAATTCTCCCAGTAAGTCTGGAGTCTGGCTCCCACTGGGGAAAGACAGGGGGGCCGGACGGGCTGCGGCAGGCGCAACTGTCCAGGGCCAAGTGACTCGGGTTCGCCTACGGGCCAACCGAAGTTGGCGCTGTCGGCATACGAACCCCTCCAATGAGAGTCACCTGGAGGGGCCCTTGCCGTCCTTAGACGACTTGGGCTTCCCCCAGTTCCCCTTCTTCCCGCGAAAGGGCTGCTGAGAACCCTTACCGGAGCCCTCAGAGCGGGGCTTCTTCCCGGAGGAAGAAGGACCCGACCCCTTAGGCCTGCCGGACGCAGCATCCTGGGGCGCGCTCCGCTTCGGAGCGGCACCCAGGCGCCTATGCAAGGACCCCACAAGATCCAGTGTGTGCCGAGAGGCCTCGGCAGACACAGCGGCCTGTTGTTCCTTCAGAACCCCAGGGATCTTGTTATTAAACAGGGTCCGAGCAGACCAAGGCTGCGAAAGGAGCACCTCCTGATTAGCAGCGTCCAACCCTGAAGCAACCAGATACGACTGGCGCCGAAGAAAATGGCACGTGCCGGAAACAAAGGCCGAAGCCCCGGCAACGTACTCCAGGGAAGCATTCAAACCGAGCAAGCAGTTGTAAATGCGCTGGTCTCGGTCCGTGGGAGAACCTTCGACCAGACTGGCCGCTGCAGCCAGGTATGTGTCTCCGTGAGACATTGCCAGCATGGAGTGTCGAGCGAGGGTGTCCAGCTGTTGCAAGGTACCTTGTGGTACCGTGGCAACCGGTGGGGCACGGACCCCCAAACGCTCCACATGGGCTTCCGCAGAAGGACCAGCCTCGGGAAAGGCAAGGTCATGTACTGGGAAAGACCCTTTTCTCCACGACGGGGGAGGTAACGGGAGACCCCGACCGGAGGCAGCCGTGAAGGCCTTCTCCAAAGAAGGCTTAATCCCGCGCAGCAAGGTTGATGCCGGGAAAGCCTTGTCGGACGTCTCGTCGTATACCTCGGAGGAACCCACGGAACCGTGGATTCCCCGCGGTATCGGCAGGGGCTTTGGCATGTCCTCGAAGAGGTCATACACCATGGCAACGCGGTCCTTAACCGATAGCGGAAGCAACGGTTCGGGGGAAGGACCGGTAACCACGGCAGCCGCCGCCGTACCGGTGGACCCCGCGTCCGAACCCGCGGCCACCGAAGAGGCCGGGGACGGAACAGCCAGCGGCCTATCTTGCGATAAGGCCGCCAGCTTGGAGTCCACAAGTTTCGACAATAATGCGGCGACGGAAGCCCCAGACAGCCCGAGGGCCGCAAGGGGATCCGCCGCAGCCGAGGAGGTGGTACCCGCACGGGGACCCCGACCGGACGAACCGGCCACCACAGGGGTGGAGACGGACTGTACGTACAGCCGGTACCGCTCAAACTCCGCAGGCCCCAGACCTTCGCACAGGGTACACCGGGTGTCCCCGCAAGGAACCCTGCACCGCGGGCAACGATCGTGGGGATCCCGGGATGACAAAAACTTTCTGCACACCCCACAACCCCGAGGAGCAGGGGTAGAGGGGGTGGATACTGGGGACATATCCATGTCAGACATTGTTTGCTATAAACAAAGAACAAAACATGGTTACAACGCACGCACCACAACGATTCACAAACGAGCATTTTCACAAGAAAATAAACGAGCAATGTGAACATATAACATACACATATAACTTTTATTAAAGAAATAAGTTATGTTAACCCCCAAAACATACAAGAACAGGGGAAACGTAAAACACAACGTGCATACGCGAACCCCGCAAGTATAGAGAAAAAAGGGCGGGAAAAATTTTCCGTTTGGCGGGAAAATTATAACCAAGCGTAGCTACCGCAACGCCCCATAAAAGCACAGTTTATTAGAGAATAAACTATAATAAATATCACCAAATCTTCCAGGAACGCTTCAGCAGGAGAAAACACGTCTTGCTAAGCAGACGAAGGAGACAAGAGTGAAGGGTGTCACATGGCAGCTAGGTGGCTACGCACGTGCTGCATGAGGTAATTGAGATCTCTGTGGTAGATTTCGCTATAGCAGCAGTTGTGGGAGACAACAGCCTCGGTATAACAGTGGTAACGTATTACTTAATGTAATTAATACATTTTCTTCAAACCATTCAGACCTGCATGATGAGCTCCAGGGTGTCCAGTGAGATCATGCTGACCTCGGCGGCCAGGCTCCCCTCCACATGAGCGTCAGACTCAACGTCACGCGGCTTCATGCTGCAATATAACACCCAGTATCAGTGTGTGAAATGCTAGTTTCAAATGTCTCTAGCTACATATGCGACAGTTTATTTTTTCATTCCTGCAATGTCTGACAAGAGTAGTCAAAGTTTAAGTAACACAGCTTGTGATAGGTTAAACTACGAATTACAACCAATCAAACCATGTTTGTTATACACAGTGTTACTGTGACAAGGCCCAAGCTGAGGGGAAAAGTAAAGACGAAGCTGACCTGTCCTGTATCTCCAGTGAGTGTCGCCACTGAACCTGGTCCTTCCTCCATCGGAGCCTCATGGAGCCGCTTTCCGGAGCCAGCACGGGCGGGGTACGGTCACCTGCAAAAATGTGGGAACAAGTCTAAGCTTCAAGTCCACACTGTGATCATCATATCATCACATCAGCATGTCATCATATCATCATATACATCAGTAACATACAGGAAGTGATCCATAGCTAGTACTAGCAGTCATAAATATACCCAACTGAAATAGGTCCATGTCCCTTACAGCTATATCATAAACATCACAGCTATTTGAATAATTCGATCAGCCAGGCCACAGACGACACTGGTTTGTTGGTTTGTTTATTTGTTTATTTGTTGTTTTATTGTTTTATGCTGGAGCTACGTTGTTACAGCAGCGACAGTAAATGAGTCTGGGTACGTGGCAAGTATAGGTCCTTGGGCCCTACTGTAGCAGCCATAAGCCCAACCCTGTCCCATGACAAGTATGTAAGACAAGACGGCCTCAACTAACAAGACAGACTGTCTCAACTCACCAGACAGACTGCCTCAATTCACCAGACTGACTGCCTTAACTCACCAGACAGACTGCCTCAACTCACCAGACAGGCAGTCTCAACTCACCAGACAGACTGCCTCAATTCACCAGACTGACTGCCTTAACTCACCAGACAGACTGCCTCAACTCACCAGACAGACAGTCTCAACTCACCAGACAGACTGTCTCAACTCACCAGACAGACCGTCTCAACTCACCAGACAGACCGTCTCAAATAACCAGACAGACTGTCTCAACTCACCAGACAGACTGCCTAAACTCACTTGACAGACTGTCTCAACTCACCAGACAGACCGTCTCAAATAACCAGACAGACTGCCTAAACTCACCTGACAGACTGTCTCAACTCACCAGACAGACCGTCTCAAACAACCAGACAGACCACCTCTACTCACCAGACAGACTGTCTCAACTCACCTGACAGACTGTCTCAACTCACCAGACAGACCGTCTCAACTCACCAGACAGACCGCCTCAACTCACCAGACAGACCGCCTCAACTCACCAGACAGACCAGCTCAACTCACAAGACAGACCGCCTCAACTCACCAGACAGACTGCCTCAACTCACCAGACAGACCACCTCAACTCACCAGACAGACCACCTCAACTCACCAGACAGACTGTCTCTACTCACCAGACAGACTGTCTAAACTCACCAGACAGACCACCTCAACTCACCAGACAGACCACCTCAACTTACCAGACAGACCAGCTCAACTCACCAGACAGACTGTCTCAACTCACCAGACAGACCGCCTCAACTCACCAGACAGACTGCCTCAACTCACCAGACAGACCACCTCAACTCACCAGACAGACTGCCTCTACTCACCAGACAGACTGCCTCAACTCACCAGACAGACTGCCTTAACTCACCAGACAGACTGCCTGCTGTCCCACGTCGCCGCATCATCATCTCCGTGCGAGCATTTCCAGTGCCCAAGATGGCTTCCTCCAAGCGTGACTTCATATCTGTGCTCCGCTTCAGTGTCTGCTGTGAGTACTGTGCCAGCATCTTTTTACCCTGTCACACACATGCACAGAGTAAGGAGGCTGACGACATGGCTGCTGTTAACAGGACTAAAGACATCTCCCCATACCCTTATCAACAGGAGTATCCAGTGATACCCCAGTCATCAGTTCTTCCTTCACCAGAAGTCATTTTCCTACTCTCCATATACAATATTAGGCCATAATAAATTAATTATGAGACATCACACCTGTCATACTTCAAAACCTGTCCAGGAATATATATTTCTAACCTAAGTCATTCATCACATGCCCAAATAACTTAAAACACTTACATTGGAATCTCACACCCAATTTCAATATAAAAATGTTATAAATAATATATTGTGGCTCTGTCCTCCAACCAACAGTATTCTATGAATGACCATATAACTTGTCCCTCCTCTTACCACACCTCACCTCGTCCTGGTGCCTGTGGGCGTGGCCAGCCAGTGGACAGAGTGAGTCAGTCTCGACATGCCCCATGCCCAGTGCTCGCAATTATTACTAATGGGCTCCAGGCCCTCCTATGCATCCCAGTGTGTTAGCCCCATGGTTGTGGGCGTACATGGGTGGGGACATACTGGCATCATGCGTGTCAGTTTCCTCTAGTATAATGAGTATAACGTTTGGAAATCAAATCATCAAATTTAAGAGTTACATAATCTAAACAAATCACAAATCAAATAAATGTACATCAAGTTCCTCTAGACAGAATCACAGGTTAAAAAGGAAACTCCAACTAATGACTATGGTAAAAACAGGAAAACACAACTGGTAACTTCTGGTAACAAATGATTTTCTTATTAATCATCAACATTTGTGAGTAAGGATCAACCCCTTGAGGAGTTAATGACATAAACTTAGACATTCTGAGGTTTTCCACAAGGTTTTCTTCTGCAGTATCTGAATTTTTGGACCCTTAAAACTTTGATTTTTAGCCTCTGACTTCATTCTTAAGTTCAGACACTGATATAGATCATGTTGGTATGTTATCGGATATAAACAATATGTTATAAACAAATCGCAAACATCAAAGACATTTTGAGGAAAGTATGGTAAGAGCATTTCAGGGGCTAACACTTACTCACAAATACTGATATACTGACATCCTTCACAATCATCTAGCTTCAAGATCTAGCTCACAGATCTAACCACAAGTATGTCCTTGTTCCTGCACATCTGTCACGTTTCCTACTTAAAGTAATTTAAATTGGGCAAGTTAGGTGCATGTTGTTGCCATGGTTACGGACCTGTACCTGCCCTGTGGGATCATCTCGGGAGAAGCTGCGATTAAGCAGAGTCCCCGTGCCCCGAATAAAATCCTGCGACTTTCTTTGAATTCCCTCCCAAAGCTGCTCGTGGAGTGATTGAGATTTGGGCAGGGTGTGGCTTTTAGGCCGCTGAGAGTGAGGGGGGCTATCACCACCGTTACTGCCGCTGCCCCAATCTTCCAAGGTTTCTTCCGACGACGACAAGTTCGGACGCAATAGTCGTAATTGTGTCAGAAGGTCAAAGTTGATGATTGCCCATTTGGCCTACAATACAACACTGGACAGTGAGCACAGGCAAGCTAGAAAGGACAGAACATGTGAACGTTTCCTCCAGTAGCGATGAACAGCCAGAAGCAGGGCTCTCGTGGGTCATGCTGGGGTTAGCTCATCTCATCATGCATGCACAAACACAGGGATGTCTGCATCAGGTGGACTGACGTACGGAACGGTCACCATCACCCGCCTCATCCCGGTCGTCATGGCAACCAATCTGGATTTCCCCATCATAAACATCTTCATGACTTCAATCAAATAACTGCTTCAAAAGATCGGTCTCAGGGCTAAGGTTATTCCAGGGTGGCTTGAGATTTTTAGGCTAATCTGTTTTTTTAAGTTGAGGCTCCAGGGGTGGATGACGAAGAGTGGTGGTGAGTGTTCGACAGTCACCCCATGCAAGCATCCCCTCTCTGAAGCTGACTCCATGCACCACACCACACAGCAGACTTGGTCCACCACCCTCGCTGTCACCACAACGCTGACGCTCACAGCGGATGGTATGGGTTCGTATTGGTTACAGCAAGCGACAAAAGCTCTGTTCACATCAAGGCTTGCTGGTCCCCGAAAGCCACATACCATTAAATGCATGCAAAACAAACATTAGTATAACAAATGCAAACATGAAACGTTCCAAAAATGTTAAAGAAACATTTGTTCACTTTTAACAAAAGCACATACTGAACACAACAAAAAAAGTTAATCAAGCGTAATGTGAAAATACTAATCAAATGTTATCAATAGAGATATATGAATAAACAAAATTGTAGAAAAGATAAAAAAATTGAGTCTTGTAATTTTGTTTTCCGAAAAGATTTATGTAAACTAAAAAGGTTAAGGTAAATCCCCATCACCAATACAGACGAGAGGAAATACACACAAAGAAAGATATTATTACACAGGTGAATATATAGCAATGAATAGCACACATAGGTCTGTTGCCTCAAGGAATAAATTCCATTGTGAAAATACTGCAGTAAATTTGCCACTGACAAGTGTTTTTCTTGAAGTAAAATTGTCAGAATTAATGTTTTGACAACACTGAAAGAAACAGTACTCCAAAATTAATTTATACTGTTCTCAATAACATTTACGAGGTAACATTATTACCATCAGAAACACGAAATAGTCTTAATGTACAAATCTGTATTGGCTTGGCCATAGAACTGCCATTAGTCAAACAAACTATGTCATGGTTCCATTGACAGGAAATTAATAATACACTGGTCAGATATTAGTTTATTTACATGTTTTCAAAAAGAAAATCAAGCAAGACAAAATGGAAGATATAACGTAGTATTGTGTGATGTTGCACCAAAACGCCAGACATGTAACGGAACCACGACATTGTTTAGGTACTGAAAAACTTCTTCACAATCATGAAAGAGGCTACAGACGAAATACTTCAGCATCTTCATCAACTACAAGAATACACGTGCTACTAAGCCATAATGTCCACTACAGAAGGCACAGGGTTACAGCAGGCAGTGATGGCAGATGAGAGATGACCAAGATAGACCCACTCCACACTCAGCTGACCACACCCACACCTAGCAGTGAGGACGTCATCGGGGACAGCCGACGTCACAGCCGATGCACCCAACAGGTACAGGGGGGGAGGCCGGGCACACAACTTGTAGACTTCATGCTATTACACTAGGGGTTGACATACAACTACGTGACAGCACTACTCCTCTCTGTGATGGGCATTCAGTACACAAGCTCCAAGGGTTGTCTAACACCTACACCCTCAGGTCAACTTGCTGCTTATATACGCCTTTATCTCTATGTCTTTATTTTTTTCGCATATTTTTAAAGATATTTTAGTCTTGTCCTGACAATATTGTGATTGGTATCATGAGCAACAATTCACACCGTCGGGGTGGATTAATATAAAATCAACCTCCTGATCCATTAAATCGCCCCTCATGACAAGCACAGGTTGCTGGGGACTTATACTAACCCAGAATCCCCACGGGAAGACAAGCATAGGTTGCTAGGGACCTATTTTAACCCAGAATCCCCCCTGGGAGACAAGCATAGGTTGCTAGGGACCTATTTTAACCCAGAATCCCCACATGCAGAGAAGCATAGGCTGCTGGGGACCTATTCTAACCCGGAATCCCCACAGGGAGAAAAGCATAGGTTGCTGGGGACCTATTCTAACCAGATTCCCCATGGGGAGACAAGCATAAGTTGCTAGGGACCTATTCTAACCTGGAATCCCTATGGGGAGACAAGCATAGGTTGTTGGGGACCTATTCTAACCTGGAATCCCCATGAGACAAGCATAGGTTGTTGGGGACCTATTCTAACCCTGGAATCCCCATGAGGAGACAAGCATAGGTTGCTGGGGACCTATTCTAACCTGGAATCCCTATGGGGAGACAAGCATAAGTTGCTAGGGACCTGATCTCCACGAGGTCTATGTAATAAATGGATCTATCTAATGATTGATCAGGATAAACATGGTGCAAATGACACATATATCTAACAAATACTATCTTTGAAGATTCCTTTTGGCCAACAGGACATGCTGGTACTGAAAAAGTCTTTTGTGATTGTGTGACACCAGTATGATAGTCAACAAAATATATACAGTGCGTCCAGTAATCCTGTCAACCCAGGCTATTTGCCAAAGTACTTCTCACTGTGTGGTTTTAATTTCAGATAACTACTGTTACATTAAATTCTTCATACAATTATTAACATGTTACTGCATCACTAACGCTAAAGGATGCTTGAGAATATTTGAGAGAAGTAACCATTATCATCTTAAGGTATGTTAGTCGGAAACTTGGTAACCAAACACTCAAACTCAACAGGATGGAAAGGGAGGTAACTCCTAACAGGTGACAGGTTATACGATGCACCGAGACAATTGTATCTCCGCATGAACTGTGATAATGTTGACCTCTTAAATCTTAGCATGCTGGTAGTTACCACTGTAAAGTAAGACACACAAGTTCTTACACGTATGTTGTTGTCCTCTATTCGAAAAGCGAAGAAAAAGATTGGAGAACCTAAATATACCCAGGAAGCTGTAAATCTATTACAGGTAATTTCTACAAGACCCACGCCACGGATGATTAATGTTCATATAAGATAGCATATCTTTTTCATATACCAGTAAACAGTTCTATTCTATGTCGAAGCAACACCTCAAGACACTGCTGTGGAGTGCAATGCACTGATTCCTGACCCAACTGAAAAGGCGGTATTCCTGATTCCGGTCACATGATCACAGTCAGGGTGAGACAATGCTTTAAATCAATGAATGATGCTTATTAATGGTTTTATTGCAGAACACAAAGCAACTTACTGACAGCAATGATTTGAGAATTATCTATCTGAGTGAGTCACAAAGTCTAGAAAAGCAGGCTAAACCCATATGCCTGAATGTGTCCAGCAAAACAGACATGGAACAGCCATCATCCATGATATTAGATGGACACCCCCTGCATGTCTCTGTACTGTATCTCCCACTGAGGCTGCTACTGTTCTTAGCATTGCTGCTACTACAGCTGTAGCATGTCTTTACTTCACTAGCCCTTAGTAGTCTTTAAAGAGCAGGTAGTTTATAGCCCTGCTGCTACAGCTGTAGCACTAGTCTTTGCTTCACTAGCCCTACTAGTCTTTAAAGAGCAGGTAGTTCTTAGCCCTGCTGCTACAGCTGTCTGTGCTTTACTAGCCCTACTAGTCTTTAAAGAGCAGGTAGTTTATAGCATTGCTGCTACAGCTGTCTTTGCTTTACTAGCCCTACTAGTCTTTAAAGAGCAGGTAGTTTATAGCCCTACTGCTACAGCTATCTTTGCTTTACTAGCCCTACTAGCCTTTAAAGAGCAGGTAGTTCTTAGCCCTGCTGCTACAGCTGTAGCACTAGTCTTTGCTTCACTAGCCCTACTAGTCTTTAAAGAGCAGGTAGTTTATAGCCCTGCTGCTACAGCTGTCTGTGCTTTACTAGCCCTACTAGTCTTTAAAGAGCAGGTAGTTTATAGCCCTGCTGCTACAGCTGTCTTTGCTTTACTAGCCCTACTAGCCTTTAAAGAGCAGCTAGTTCTTAGCCCTGCTGCTACAGCTGTAGCATGTCTTTACTTCACTAGCCCTACTAGTCTTTAAAGAGCAGCTAGTTCTTAGACCTGCTGCTACAGCTGTGTGTGCTTTACTAGCCCTACTAGCCTTTAAAGAGCAGGTAGTTTATAGCCCTGCTGCTACAGCTGTAGCACTAGTCCTTGCTTTACTAGCCCTACTAGTCTTTAAAGCGCAGAAATACTAAAGCTTCATGAACTCCCACTTCAGTGCATAAAGTGCTTAAATCAACTCAGCTCTACTCATCACAACACCACCTCCAGGTTCAACAGTTTTCAAAGACTCAGTTTCAAATTAGTGAACATCATGTATACTAATAGTCACTTTGAGTAGTAGCAGAATATTACTGTAAACATAAATAGACATTCCAAAACACACTATCCAGAATGCAAGGTTTCCGGATTAAAAGGATCTGAACAAACAAGGTTCCCTGGACGAATATTCTAAAACCTTTTCAGAATACAGACTTAATAATTAGTCCACGTTTTAGCTGCGGCAGCTGTTGCAAGACTACGACACTCGGGAGAATATACAAGTGACACTCAGAGCCATTCCATAAAGCATCTTGGCACTAATGCTACAGATATCTAAGTTTTATCATGGAGGTCACACAGACCCAGCACTAAGACAGATGTGTGGACGGAGCCTGCTTATCACTAAGTTGCCTCGCTACTATGAACACTACGGGTGCTAGGGGATGGATATTAAGAGTTTGTGGGTATTATTTGCTGATGGTCAGGTTATATTAGTGGACATGCTTACAGTACACTCCTTGAGTTGAAACACTTGATGATGCAGTTATATGATGAACATAGAACATGTTACCACGGTTACTGCTATTAACAAACTCTCATAAAGGTTACTGTTGTTACATATCAAACAAAGATTTAATTTATGAACATAAACGAAACAGATTAAGATTAAGTAGAATTCTTAAATGTTATTCTCAGAATTAAAGCTAGTTTTCATAAACAAAATTTAATCACGCAATTAAGATCAACATCTAGCTATTGAAATTTTCTGATGATCAATCTGAATGTGTCATTTCTTAATACTGATAAAATGTTCGAGATCAATAGCTATATTATACCCAAGATACTGCAAATCATGAAATAAACGCAAGCAGGACATTTTATGAAATCATTTTCAGTCTAATGATGTGTAGAATGATTTTGGAAAAAGGAGTGTATCTCAAAGATATATTTTTTAAATAAACATAAGATCAAAAAAGTTCTCATTACATTCATAATGTATTGTTATTAGGTCTCAGGGCTATATATGTTTTCATGGCATTAATTTCATGACTTACAGAACCAGGATGATATAATGGATATGAGCAGTTAAACAAGGGCAGCAGGTGCCCTGTAGAGAGGATTAGGGTTGTGAGAACCTTGTACTCGAAGTTGGACACGCAGAAGTAGACGACCTCCAGCAGCTTGTTGAGCTTCACCATGGGCAGGTCCCCCCACCACTGCTTCAACAGGGAGTGTTCTGCATTTTTCAACACCCACAGGAAACAGATCAGCAAGTTCCGTGTGGTTTCCATGTTCAGCGGACATTTCCGAACCTGGAATAGTGTAAAACATGGAGCAGTGAGCAGGCTATAGCAAGAGACACGAGGCAAACTGTAAGGGACTGGTCATTTACTATAGTGGACAGGAGGGAGCAGGCTATAGCAAGAGACACGAGGCAAACTGTAAGGGACTGGTCATTTACTATAGTGGACAGGAGGGAGCAGGCTATAGCAAGAGACACAAGGCAAACTGTAAGGGACTGGTCATTTACTATAGTGGACAGGAGGGAGCAGGCTATAGCAAGAGACACAAGGCAAACTGTAAGGGACTGGTCATTTACTATAGTGGACAGGAGGGAGCAGGCTATAGCAAGAGACACAAGGCAAACTGTAAGGGACTGGTCATTTACTATAGTGGACAGGAGGGAGCAGGCTATAACAAGAGACACAAGGCAAACTGTAAGGGACTGGTCATTTACTATATTGGACAGGAGGGAGCAGGCTATAGCAAGAGACACGAGGCAAACTGTAAGGGACTGGTCATTTACTATTGTGGACAGGAGGGAGCAGGCTATAACAAGAGACACGAGGCAAACTGTAAGGGACTGGTCATTTACTATAGTGGACAGGAGGGAGCAGGCTATAGCAAGAGACACGAGGCAAACTGTAAGGGAATGGTCATTTACTATAGTGGACAGGAGGGAGCAGGCTATAACAGACACGAGGCAAACTGTAAGGGACTGGTCTTTTACTATAGTGTGAGTGAGTGAGTGAGTGAGTGAGTGAGTGAGTGAGTGAGTGAGTGAGTGAGTGAGAGTATGATTTTACGCCGCTTTTAGTAATATTCCAGCAATATCACGGCGGGGGACACCAGAAATGGGCTTCACACATTGTACCCATGTCGGGAATCGAACCTGGGTCTTCGGCGTGACGAGCGAAAGCTTTAACCACTAGGCTACCCGACCGCCCCTCATTTACTATAGTGTACAGGAGGGAGCAGGGGAAAGAAAGCAAGATTTGGGAGGGAAGACTTGGGGTGCTGGGTGGTGGTGGGTGGGTCAAGAAAAAATTGTAGAATTTTCCTATTCGGAATATTCTATAAGTAATACGTTACCACTGTTATACCGAGGCTGTTGTCTCCCACAACTGCTGCTATAGCGAAATCTACCACAGAGATCTCAATTACCTCATGCAGCACGTGCGTAGCCACCTAGCTGCCATGTGACACCCTTCACTCTTGTCTCCTGCGAGAGCAAGTGCTCGGGGGACGGACGGGCGGGCAGCAGCCCAGTGGTAACGTATTACTTATAGAATATTCCTAATAGGAAAATTCTACAAATTACATTAAGTAATACGTTACCACTGTTATACCGAGGCTGACTACCACAGTAGGCGGTGGGGAGCACCTACAACCCGAATCCTGACTGCTAGCGTTCCTTCCGACCAGCGGAAGTAAACACCAAGGCGGAAGCACTCGATGCGCATGCACCTAGCTAGGCGTTACCCTATAGGAATACCAAAGCACTGTCAAGCGCATACCGTAAGGCTCAATCGTCAATGCCAAAACCATTGGTGACTCCAAACGGCCCCACTGGATAGGTATTTCATCGCCGCAGCGGATGAGAACACTGTATCCGCGTGAGCTAAATCTTAGATCAGGTTAAACAGTCGAAAAGAGGGAAATTAATTTCCTTCAGACCGTATATCCCAGAGCAAGCCTACTTAAAGTATGCATTAGGCGCGTGACCTAATTCCAGTATTCGTAAGCATGTATCGCAAGGTTGGAATACACGACAGACAATTAAATGCATAATTGTCAAAATACAAATAAGGACAAAACACACAAAAAGCCGCCTCACCTGTGGTGTGAGTGCGCTGGTTTGCAGGACCCCCACTCCTGTACCCACGGCGTGGGAACATTGGAGACGACCCAGATTGACCACCGTGCAAGGACTGACGACTGCGGAGTTTGGAATTGCGCTGGACACACCCCCTAGATGACCGCTTGTGCCGCGATCAGCGGCCCAAGACGGTGCACCCCCTCCACGTCTTCATCAGAAACCTTTCTGAGGTAATGATTGGCAAAAACCGAGTCAGAACGCCAGTAACAACCTCGTAATATTCTGTGAACAGAGATATTCGAGTGTAGGGCAAATGTTGCCGCTAGCGCCCTGATCTCGTGCGGGTTTGACCCCGCTACCGGTAACCCCCGAGACCGGTACACCAGATTTATGACAGAACGAAGCCACAACGCAATCGAGTTGCGAGTTATGTCAACCGTGCGATTAGGGTTACACGATATGAACAGACGGTCACGCCCTTGTCTACGTTCATTCGAAGCCTTAAGATAATACTTAAGGGCCCTAACCGGACACAGCGCTCTGTCCTCAGTATCAGCAGGATGTAAGATTTCTTTGAGGGATCTTACAGTGAATTCTCTCTCCGTTTGCCCGACTCTCTGATTCTTGGCGACGAAGCCCATGAGCAGGCCCAGGCGGACCGCTCCTTCATCACCCCTATCGAATCGTACCTTGGCGACATCGAGTGCATGAATTTCGGATACACGTGCCGCCGTGGCAAAGGAGAGGAGAAATGCTGTTTTCCAAGTCACATGCCGGAACGAAGTACTATGCAAGGGTTCATACGGAGCTTCCGTAAGTGATTGCAACACTAGGGAAAGATCCCAGGCCGGTGCCCGAAGGCGGCCCTTCTTAAGATCGTGCTGTTTGAAACCCTTGATAATACCCCGTATCACCGGCTCTTTGGAGAGACTGGTACCCATAGCAACGTCCCGTACCGTAGCAACGGACGAGACATAGTTGGCAATGGAACCCCCGGAGAGTTTCCGGGTCTCTCGCAAGTGAGACATGAAACGAGCAATATCCTGCACAGATACCTTATCTGGCGAATGAATGTGATGTTTACAACACCACTTCGTGAAAATAACCCAACGTGCATTATACACCTTCTGGGTAGAATCACGATGCATACTTACGTATGCCCGAGACGCCCGGCAAGAAAAACCTTTACTCCTCAGACGCTCGGTGACAACATCCACGCGTGCAGATTGAACTGCCCTGCGTTTGGATGAAGCTGACGGGTGTGAGGGTGGATCAAGAGATCCGGTCTCACAGGCAGTGGGAGTGGCGACTGCGTGACCTGGGTCAGCAAGTCGGGGTACCACGATCTGTTCGGCCACATGGGCGCGATCAGTAACATTCGACAGCGAACTCCTCGAAGCCGGCTTAGAATGTGTGGTATCAACGCTGTCGGCGGGTAAGCATAAGCGTCCAAGCCCGTCCAGTCTAACGCGAGAGCATCGTGATCGATGGCCCTCGGGTCCGGGACTGGTGATACAAACAACGGGAGTTGATTGTTGAACCGTGTTGCGAACAGGTCGACCATCGGACGACCCAAACGTTCGCACAGCCACTGAAACACTACTGGGTTCAGCATCCACTCTGTGGGGCTCGGATCCTGAGGCCTCGATAGAGCATCGGCCAGTACGTTCCGCACACCTGGGATGTGACGGGCGCGTATCTGGCACGGGACACTGTCCACCAGAGCGTAAAACTCGAACGTGAGATCGAGTAGGGAGTGACTGTGGGTTCCCCCCAGTTTGTTCACATAGGACACTACCGTCGTGTTGTCGGTCGCAGGCATGAGCCGGGCGTCGACGAGACGATGCTTCCAGTGATTGACTGCGTTGATCACTGCCTTGAACTCGAGACAATTGATGTGAAGACCTAGTTCGTCTACGCACCACAGCCCCGAGCTCACCTCCCCCTCTAGATGGGCGCCCCAGCCCACTAGAGAGGCGTCTGTATACAGGTTCAACGTGGCCCGGTAGGGCCGCAAAGAGACTCCTGATAAGACATTGTAAGGGAGCGTCCACCACTCCAGATGCGGTCGGAGCCGATCCGGGAGGGCGACGGTCGCACTGTTCACCTCCGTTGCTAACAACTGGATTAAAAACCGTTGCAGCGGGCGGAGTTGGAGACGACCCCGTTCGGTGCAGTCCTGGGCTGATACAAGTAGCCCTAACAGCTGTTCCCAAAAGTGAACAGTCTGTTGCACCGCTAAGACTTTGGCAATCATCGCCTGAATTTTGTGCCACCGGTCTGGGGGGACAAAGAGGCGATGGGACACCGTGTTGAAGCGACCTCCGATGAACTGCAAGTTCTGAGAAGGGGTTAACTCGCTCTTGGGGAGATTGACAATCCACCCCAATTGCTCCAAGAGCCGACGTGCGAAAACGAGATGGCGTGACAGGGTGTCCGTCATTCGATTTGCTACTAGCGAGTCGTCAAGGTACGCGAAGTACCGGACACCCCTCCTGTGGAGGAACCCCACTATGGGGGTGGTTAACCGGGTGAAATGCCAGGGAGCGGATGAAAGACCGAATGGGAGTACAACCCACTCGTAGTGCCTGCTTTGAAAGACAAACCTGAGATACTTGTGATGATCCGAGTGAATCGGAACATGCAGATAAGCATCCTTCAGGTCGATCGAAGCTAGCCAGTCGGCCGGCATGATCAGTGCTTTCAGGTCCGTCAAGCTCAACATTCTGAACTTGGGCGGTTTGCGCAGGTAGAACTCGTTGAACGATTTCAAGTTGTGAATCATTCTGAGTTCGGCACTGTCCTTCTTGGGAACGAGAAATATCCTGGAGTAAAACCCCGGTGTTATTTCTGGTAGAGCTAACTCCCGAACTGCCCTCTTCTCCACCAACCTGCCGATGGCATCGGCGAGGAAGGGAAGATCGGTTTCAGAATAGAAACCTGCCGACGGGCCTCGATAGAGTGTCGGCCAGTACGTTCCGCACACCTGGGATGTGACAGGCGCGTACCTGGCACGGGACACTGTCCACCAGAGCGTAAAACTCAAACGCGAGATCGAGTAGCGAGTGACTGTGGGTTCCCCCCAGTTTGTTCACATAGGACACTACCGACGATGCTTCCAGTGATTGACTGCGTTTATCACTGCCTTGAACTCGAGGCAATTGATGTGAAGACCTTGTTCGTCTGTATACAGGTTCAACGTGGCGCGGAAGGGCCGCATAGAGACACCTGATAACCCAAAAGTGAACAGTCTGTTGCACCACTAAGACTTTGGCAATCATCGCCCGAATCTTGTGCCACCGGTCTGGGGGGACAAAGAGGCGATGGGTCACCGTGTCGAACCGACCTCCGATGAACTGCAAGTTCTGTGAGGGGGTTACCTCGCTTTTGGGGAGATTGATAATCCACCCCAATTGCTCCAAGAGCTGACGTGCAAAATCGAGATGGCGTGACAGGGCGTCCGTCATTCGATTGGCCACTAGTGGGAGTACAACCCACTCGTAGTGCCTGCTTTGAAAGACAAACCTGAGATACTTGTGATGATCCGAGTGAATCGGAACATGCAGATAAGCATCCTTCAGGTCGATCGAAGCTAGCCAGTCGGCCGGCATGATCAGTGCTTTCAGGTCCGTCAAGCTCAACATTCTGAACTTGGGCGGTTTGCGCAGGTAGAACTCGTTGAACGATTTCAAGTTGTGAATCATTCTGAGTTCGGCACTGTCCTTCTTGGGAACGAGAAATATCCTGGAGTAAAACCCCGGTGTTATTTCTGGTAGAGCTAACTCCCGAACTGCCCTCTTCTCCACCAACCTGCCGATGGCATCGGCGAGGAAGGGAAGATCGGTTTCAGAATAGAAACCTGCCGACGGGGCAACGGTGAGCGGCGGAATCGCTTTGAGATCGAGCCGATAGCCGTACCGAATCGTGTTGACCACCCACGGGTCGTCGAACACTTGTTCCCAATTCTCCCAGTAAGTCTGGAGTCTGGCTCCCACTGGGGAAAGAGAGGGGGGCCGGACGGGCTGCGGCAGGCGCAACTGTCCAGGGCCAAGTGACTCGGGTTCGCCTACGGGCCAACCGAAGTTGGCGCTGTCGGCATACGAACCCCTCCAATGAGAGTCACCTGGAGGGGCCCTTGCCGTCCTTAGACGACTTGGGCTTCCCCCAGTTCCCCTTCTTCCCGCGAAAGGGCTGCTGAGAACCCTTACCGGAGCCCTCAGAGCGGGGCTTCTTCCCGGAGGAAGAAGGACCCGACCCCTTAGGCCTGCCGGACGCAGCATCCTGGGGCGCGCTCCGCTTCGGAGCGGCACCCAGGCGCCTATGCAAGGACCCCACAAGATCCAGTGTGTGCCGAGAGGCCTCGGCAGACACAGCGGCCTGTTGTTCCTTCAGAACCCCAGGGATCTTGTTATTAAACAGGGTCCGAGCAGACCAAGGCTGCGAAAGGAGCACCTCCTGATTAGCAGCGTCCAACCCTGAAGCAACCAGATACGACTGGCGCCGAAGAAAATGGCACGTGCCGGAAACAAAGGCCGAAGCCCCGGCAACGTACTCCAGGGAAGCATTCAAACCGAGCAAGCAGTTGTAAATGCGCTGGTCTCGGTCCGTGGGAGAACCTTCGACCAGACTGGCCGCTGCAGCCAGGTATGTGTCTCCGTGAGACATTGCCAGCATGGAGTGTCGAGCGAGGGTGTCCAGCTGTTGCAAGGTACCTTGTGGTACCGTGGCAACCGGTGGGGCACGGACCCCCAAACGCTCAACATGGGCTTCCGCAGAAGGACCAGCCTCGGGAAAGGCAAGGTCATGTACTGGGAAAGACCCTTTTCTCCACGACGGGGGAGGTAACGGGAGACCCCGACCGGAGGCAGCCGTGAAGGCCTTCTCCAAAGAAGGCTTAATCCCGCGCAGCAAGGTTGATGCCGGGAAAGCCTTGTCGGACGTCTCGTTGTATACCTCGGAGGAACCCACGGAACCGTGGATTCCCCGCGGTATCGGCAGGGGCTTTGGCATGTCCTCGAAGAGGTCATACACCATGGCAACGCGGTCCTTAACCGATAGCGGAAGCAACGGTTCGGGGGAAGGACCGGTAACCACGGCAGCCCGCGTCCGGACCCGCGGCCACCGAAGAGGCCGGGGACGGAACAGCCAGCGGCCTATCTTGCGATAAGGCCGCCAGCTTGGAGTCCACAAGTTTCGACAATAATGCGGCGACGGAATCCCCAGACAGCCCGAGGGCCGCAAGGGGATCCGCCGCAGCCGAGGAGGTGGTACCCGCACGGGGACCCCGACCGGACGAACCGGCCACCACAGGGGTGGAGACGGACTGTACGTACAGCCGGTACCGCTCAAACTCCGCAGGCCCCAGACCTTCGCACAGGGTACACCGGGTGTCCCCGCAAGGAACCCTGCACCGCGGGCAACGATCGTGGGGATCCCGGGATGACAAAAACTTTCTGCACACCCCACAACTCCGAGGAGCAGGGGTAGAGGGGGTGGATACTGGGGACATATCCATGTCAGACATTGTTTGCTATAAACAAAGAACAAAACATGGTTACAACGCACGCACCACAAAGATTCACAAACGAGCATTTTCACAAGAAAATAAACGAGCAATGTGAACATATAACATACACATATAACTTTTATTAAAGAAATAAGTTATGTTAACCCCCAAAACATACAAGAACAGGGGAAACGTAAAACACAACGTGCATACGCGAACCCCGCAAGTATATGGAAAAAAGGGCGGGAAAAATTTTCCGTTTGGCGGGAAAATTATAACCAAGCGTAGCTACCGCAACGCCCCATAAAAGCACAGTTTATTAGAGAATAAACTATAATAAATATCACCAAATCTTCAAGGAACGCTTCAGCAGGAGAAAACACGTCTTGCTAAGCAGACGAAGGAGACAAGAGTGAAGGGTGTCACATGGCAGCTAGGTGGCTACGCACGTGCTGCATGAGGTAATTGAGATCTCTGTGGTAGATTTCGCTATAGCAGCAGTTGTGGGAGACAACAGCCTCGGTATAACAGTGGTAACGTATTACTTAATGTAATATACAGCATATTTAAAATATAACATAAATTTGAACATATTTTGGGGGATTGGTCATTAAGTATAGGCAGGTGTGTGTGTGTGTGGGGGGGGGTGGCTGTGGGGGTGTCATGGAAAACTGTTACATGAATCTGGGAGGAGAAAAAGTGTTACGTAAAATGGGGGTGGTGGGGTGGGGTTGCACCCACAAAATGTGATACTACAGTCACATAACCACTTTCACTGCTCCCCCAAACCTTATAATAAATGACCAGTTCTATATAATCCAGTCAGTGCAATGCACACCAGTCATTAACAGCATCAGTTATGATAAATCCGGCAGGTACAATGAGGCACTGTGAAATCCTGTTAGTGGGCTCTCACAACAAGTGTCTTGAAGTGACATGTAGGCTGGCTGATCTTGTCATGTGTTGGTGTGTGTGTTTGGGCGAACACTTCAGATCCTGTTCGGGAACAGTTCCTCATCATGTTTTTGACATGAAATATGTAATGCAGGATATGATAAAAATCATGATGTCACTCGGGGACACAGATTGCTGGGCTGTCCCTTCAATACGCCATGTGGCGTTGCATCCCTGAGGCATGACGGAAACCTAAGATCCTGTTCCGCTTTGCCCTGATCATGTTTCTAGGTTTGTAAGGACCATACCCTTACTCATGGGTTTCACCAAAGTGCCAACCTCTAAGACCTGCATCAGTGAGTGAGTGAGTATGGTTTTACGCCGCTTTTAGCAATATTCCAGCAATATCACGGCGGGAGACACAAGAAATGGGCTTCACACATTGTACCCATGTCGGGAATCGAACCCGGGTCTTCAGCGTGACGAGCGAACGCCTTAACCACTGGGCTACCCGACCGCCCCAAGACCTGCATCAAGCTCACATGCCGTGATACAACTGAGTTACTGTTCGCAGTGGCGCAAAACCAAACTCTCCCACAAGGTCATTCAAGTCACTTGAGACACCTGTGCACTGATCTCACCTTTGTTGAAGGTTCATTGGGGTCATAGGGTGCCTCTCCACTGGCACAGAAGGACGCACCAGCAATAGCAAGGGCCAGCTTCTTGCTGATCTTGTCCCCCTCCTCATCGAAGTTGCTGGACTCTCTGTTACGACCTTCTGTGTTGGGGTCGTACATCTGGGGCAGTGCCCCCATCACAATACCGACCAGTGGCAGGTACATGGCTGCAAGGCGACCTTTCACCTCAGGGTTGGTGTAGCGGACATCCAGATCGTGATTATACAGCAAGTTGCGGACAACATTGACGGCCCTCTGGTGGATGGATGGGTTACTGCAACAGAAACATTACTCTTGTATATGCTCTTTCAAACAATAAGGAAGTTCATGTTATAATGCTCTTTCAAACAACAAGGAAGATCATGTTATAATGCTCTTTCAAACAACAAGGAAGCTCATGTTAAAATGCTCTTTCAAACAACAAGGAAGCTCATGTTATAATGTTCTTTCAAACAATAAGGAAGTCAATGTTATATTGCTCAATCAGCAAACTACAGCAGTCTTTGCATCATTTCTTTATTACCTTGATTCTGAAATTTGACTTTAATAAACATAACAAAAACGTCCCAGTAAACATATATCACTTAGATTTTTTCCCTTTTGGGTTAAGATCCCACTGCACTAAAAAAACAACAGGACATGGCCGTTTACGTTCATTTCAAGATACAGCTTTCCAAATGCTGCTCTTATTGCTTTGCTCACTCATGATGTGAATTTAGCTTTAGTGCTGATTGGATGATTAAAAAGCTAACGCAAGCCCTGGTTGAGGATTTTTCAGATGTTCACACAGAGAGGTATCACATTGGAGCACCTATAAGCCTGTAAATCATCCTGTCTGGTCCTGACAGCAGAGATGCCAACCACAATTGAAGCTTTGGAAGAATCAGTGGGGTGAAAACAAGAGTACTCTCCTGTGAGAGAGAGTAATGTTAACACTACCATCAGTTACCTTCCATTCTGATCCCGCGACGATTGATTGATAAATGACTTGAGTGTGTTTTAACATAACAAACAATCAGAGACCTTGTATCACTGAGCAATATATATTTAAACACTATGTCACATGTGCATTGAAAGCAAGGCTCTTACAGGTCAACATAGTCTTACTGTAACCTAATTCATGTCAGCAGTGCATTAACAATTCACTACCCATGATATTTTATGCATGTAACTCATTTGTAAAGAAAATGACAAAAAAACATTGTTTTGATTTTAGATTCAACATGGTAACTATTATGCCAAAACAGTAATGGTTGGCCTCTCTGCAACACATTGATAGCATGAGCAATGAACAACATCAATTATCTATATCCTAGTTAGCTCTATAGACAGTAAGGGCTGCTGATCCGCCCAGGGGACGTGTATAGTGATGTTCCTGCTAATCCATGCATCAAAGAAATAACATCACCCAAAACAAAACTTTCATTTCAAAGTAAGAAATAACTAACTGATGGATGCAAATTGTAATTTTCATCAAATTTCAAAATATTTTCCAAACACCTTGCCTACAAATCTTGTACAAGAGAATTTAATGTTAATAACAACATTAATGGGATTAACTGACATAGTTCTGAAACATGCAGACCAATTTGTACAACTCACAATGTGTCAAAGGCTGCGGAGAGGTCAGACAACACCAGGCCCACAAGGAAATGCTGTTGTCGGAACTCGGGCGTCAACTCGAGGTACACGCCCTTGTCTGTGAGTGTGCTAGTGGATGTGTTGGAAGCGAAGGAGTGGTGGGAGATAGCACTGCCAGAGCTGGGGGTGGGGCTGGAAGTCCCTGATGGGGTGAGGGGGGTGGCAAAGGGCAGGTTGAGGGGGAAGTAGTGTTCGTGGGAGCAGATGATGCGGATGAAGTCGAGGCGGAGCAGGATGAGGCTGGTGGAGTCCGACAGCTGGGACATTTTGCCTGCAATCTGGAAACAAGTAGGCGGAATACTGAACAGGTTATAGTCTTTGAATATTAGAGTTGACTTACACAACTCAGCAATATTCCACCTATAGGAGGGTGTCCTGTAAATTATTGTGTCTGAACAAGATAATTCCGTGATTGATATCATGAACAACAACCCATTCATCGGGTGTGATGACAACACAATCAACCACGCCACTGATCCTGTCCACCCTTTTCATTAGGCCGTCTCTTACAACATGCAAAGTTTGCCAGGATCAAAGACAACCTGGAATCTCCACTTTTACAACACAAAGATACAAGTGCCAGTGGATGTGTTCAGCACACACTCATCATACTTAGTCACCTGACACAGCAAAATAGTTTTGACACCTAATGTGACACCAAATGTGACACCTCAGTCTGTGACTGGTCAGGATTGTGTCGCACGTTTCAATGCTGGTCGCAACAAAACTTCAGTGACAACAATATGTTTTGACAGACACCTTTTCACACCTTTAAAACAGAAAAATAACAAACCAAATTTGAAAAAGTTGCAAACCTTACTGTTTACGAATGTCCATTAAAAACTCCTAAATGATATAGGAAGTTAAAGAGGTTCCTAGGTCCTTGAAACTTTCTGCGATAGCTTTTGAATCTAAGGACTTTCAAAATCTACAGTTTTTCAGGTGCTGACTAGGATCCCTGCAACTGTGAACATGCAACACAATGTCCCCTGATTGTGCTGCTTGTGTTGTGCTGTGTACTCACCGTGCGACAGTATGTGTGGATGTACGTGAAGATGGTGCCACGGTCCATCAGACACATCAGGTCATGCAGGAAGAACGCCAGGCTGGTGTTGAGGCTCTTGATCAGGGGAGGGTCCTTCAACATACATCATAACAAATGCAGGAAATAAAACAAGTCATGTGAAAGAGGAACTTAAATTTTTACTAAACACTCAGTTATTTTTATTTTATAGCACATGATTGGGTTCAGCACAGCGTTCAACAGTATTTCGGTTATATAATAGCTAGTCAGCTTGAAGTTTTGTTTAACACAGCAATATTCCAGCTATATGACAGCGAGTCTCGAGTCTGGACCAGACAATCCAGTGATTGAAAACATGAGCATCGATCCACACAAATGGGATATGATGACATGCATCAACCAAGTCTGCGAGCCTGACCACCCGATCCCGTTAGTTGCCTCTTACGGCAAGCATAGTCATAGTGAACTGTGACAAGGTAATATATACCTACTGTCATGCGGTGGTGTTCAAACAGTTTGCACCCTTACTCAAATTCTGAGATAACTTAGTTTCCTAAGTATGCTTAGTCACTACTTACTACATAGTACTTGGACAAAAGAAAGAGTGAGGATAGCGAAAAATATAGTGATGATGAAAGCTTTTGTTTGATTTGGTTACATATCATTTCAGTTTTCTAAACTTAACTCAAACAGCGAAATGACCCCAACCAATTAATCTTCATGAACGTTGATCATGATTTTACAACCAATTCCTCACAAAATGTCTATCAAGTAACAAGTTCTAAACATACACTCGATCATAGTGTAAGGCTTACCCGGATATATCTCTCTACGATGTCTCTGATGAGTGTGTTCACGAGGGAAGAGATGTCGTCCAGGAAGTGGTCTGGGAAGCGCATCTGTCGTGGAGCAGTGAGTCGATCAGCCTGACCGAGGTGCTCAGCCATACTCTTCACCTGGCAAAGCATTCAGAACAATCTTCTACATACTGTGATGTAGTGCATTACCATACAATCAGGGAAGACAAGGTAACCTTTCACTATTCTACCATGGGTAGAGGAAGGTGAAAGGTACTGCCCGTCATCTAAGAGACAATAGATAGAGTGACATGCGTTGTCACGGGAACCACACTCCTTGGTAAGCATGGTAAGAGCATGGCAGCAGAGTTATTTCAATGATACACACGTCACTGTGGCCATGCTCGAGTGTGGTCTGCAGGTTCAGTAATAGATACATTTAATATGCTTTACTGGCTACAGATATAATCAATGTTCAATAACCTTCTACAATGCCAATGCCATTTAAATTACCCTATTGGCTTACATTGCACCATCAACAGGAGCCAAGGAAAAACTTAAATACTTTGAAACATGCTTGTTTGTTGTGTAACGCCACACTCAGTAATATTCCAGCTCTATGACTGTATGACAGCATCTGTAAAGAATCAAGTCTGGACCAGACAATCTAATGACTGACACTATGAGCATCAATCCACGCAGTTGGGATATGATCACATTCATCAACCAAGTCAGCGAGCCTGAAAACCGATCCCGTTAGTCACCTCTTACGACAAGCATAGTCGCCTCTCACAAAAAGCATGGGTTGCTGAAGACCTATTCTACCCTGGCTCTTCATGGGTTATGATTCTCAGTACACATGAAAACTTACAATAAGCTCAAAGAAGAACCAGGAATTGGCGAGCGCCGTCTCCCTCATCGATCCACTTGACACGACCCACTGCAAGGCTAGCTCTTCATGGACCAGCTGTCAACACAACACAGGAGTGAGTGAGTGAGTGTGAGTGAGTGAGTGAGTGAGTGAGTGAGTGAGTGAGTGAGTGAGTGAGTGAGTGAGTGAGTGAGTGAGTGAGTGAGTGAGTGAGTGAGTGAGTGAGTGAGTGAGTGAGTGAGTGAGTTACACCTATACCTTCCTTGGTGTGTCGGCCCCAGCACCTCCATTTAAACAAATCACAAGGAGGTCAAGTGGGCTATGCCATGCATCGCCCAGTACCTCCGACGATGGCTAATTTAACAGTCAACAGGAATACATAGAGAAAAGCCTCCTATGAGAGAATAATTAACAGTTAAACCTCACAACCAATAAACACATTAATTTAGCATCCTTAAATAATTTGACAAACATCAAAATACATCGAGATGTAAGTCTTTCTTGATCACCACAATGTATGGAAATGGGTAAGAGATTCTACACACGGTTCTGCTAAGATTCAGACAATACATACTTTCTTCCCTCTCATCTTGGAGAATCCCTGGGTCCCAATGTCATCCATCTTGACACTGCCTCCACGCTCAAACCGCCCAGCTAGACAAACATGGAGAATACATATTGACCATTGTTCACAACTTGACTATCAAATGTGGTATGTCTCAGCATCACAAACAACTAGGATCTAAGACCATCCAGAACATATGAAGACGTCAATATTCTTTCACTATGGTCATATGGAGGCTTCAATATTTCTTCACTCTGATTATGTGAAAGCTTCAATGTTCCATCACTCTGATCATATGAAAGCTTCAATTTTCAATCACTCTGATCATATGAAAGCTTCAATATTCCATCTCTGATCATAAGAAAGCTTCAATATTCAATCACTCTGATTATGTGAAAGCTTAAATGTTCAATCACTCTGATCATATGAAAGCTTCAATGTTCAATCACTCTGATCATATGAAAGCTTCAATGTTCAATCACTCTGATTATGTGAAAGCTTCAATGTTCAATCACTCTGATCATATGAAAGCTTCAATGTTTAATCACTCTGATCATATGAAAGCTTCAATGTTCAATCACTCTAATCATATGAAAGCTTCAATATTCCATCACTCTGATCATATGAAAGCTTCAATGTTCGATCACTCTGATCATATGAAAGCTTCAATGTTCAATCACTCTGATCATATGAAAGCTTCAATATTCAATCACTCTGATCATATGAAAGCTTCAATATTCCATCACTCTGATCATATGAAAGCTTCAATGTTCAATCACCCTGATCATATGAAAGCTTCAATGTTCAATCACTCTGATTATGTGAAAGCTTCAATGTTCAATCACTCTGATCATATGAAAGCTTCAATATTCCATCACTCTGATCATATGAAAGCTTCAATGTTCAATCACTCTGTTCATATGAAGGCTTCAATACGTCTTCACTATGATCATATGAAGGCTTCAATGTTCAATCACTCTGATCATATGAAAGCTTCAATATTCCATCACTCTGATCATATGAAAGCTTCACTGTTCAATCACTCTGTTCATATGAAGGCTTCAATACGTCTTCACTATGATCATATGAAAGCTTCAATGTTCAATCACTCTGATCATATGAAGGCTTCAATGTTCAATCACTCTGATCATATGAAAGCTTCAATGTTCAATCACTCTGATCATATGAAAGCTTCAATGTTCAATCACTCTGATCATATGAAGGCTTCAATGTTCAAACACTCTGATCATATGAAAGCTTCAATGTTCAATCACTCTGATCATATGAAGGCTTCAATGTTCAAACACTCTGATCATATGAAAGCTTCAATGTTCAAGCACTCTGATCATATGAAAGCTTCAATGTTTAATCACTCTGAACATATGAAAGCTTCAATACTTCTTCACTCTGATCATGTGAAGGCTTGAATATTTCTTCACGCTAACAAGTGATCTGGAAACTGAACGGATTCATTTTAGGCCTCCAAAGAGCTAAACACGTTTAACACTTTGTATGCCAAACTTATACTATGTTTTCCTAAAAATAACACCATAATAAACAACTTACCATTGAAACTAAACACCTCAGCATCGGGTGACGTTGGGGTCTGTCCAGCCAGGTCTGGGTTACTGGTGCTTCTCATGTAGGACTGTTTAGTGATTGGGAGGGACGACGGCCGCCCCAGGGTGTTGTAGCCCCCCTGGGAGTGCATGGTGGGGCTGCCTAGCCCCTGGGGAGAGTCTGCAAACAAGGAGGAAGTGAGTAGGCTGGTATACTCTAAGAATTTCGTCAACTCATGTGGGCAGGCGAAATCCAACTTCCTTCAGCAACCATCATGTATTGGAAGACATTGAAGACTACCCATACTTTATAGAGATTTAAATGTTGCTGAGATATTTGCCTGGGGTCCATTCCACTGAGCGATCATAGTGTTAAGGTGGCTGAGCTACTGATCAGCTGCGTATTTGCGTAAAATACCCACCAAAATATTCAAAACCCAATTACTTTTAATTAACTTGCGTACAGAAACGCATGTATTAAATGAAACCTCAAATGTTTACTCATTTTTGGAAAAACCCAACAGAGTGATCAATAGGTAAGTGAAAAAATATTGGTTGCCCAAAGAAAAATGTAATAATCCAATTAAAATAGAAACCTACAAGTAAAAACTCAATTGCTCAAAAAGTTATCTGGAGCTCTGGGTGATCATAACACCCACACTCTAACATAGACATACGACTGGCGTCGCTCTATGATCACTTTCTGGAGCAGGGCCCTGAATGTAGGATTATCAAACCTGTTAGCGTGGAACAAGCAAACAGGAAATATACAGAACTTAGCGTTATAGCATGATCACACATAAAGCATTCCATTAAATCACAAATAGCCACATAGCAAGAACACATACAAAAACTAACAAAGGATTACATTTATCTGTGTAATGTCACTACCAAGACCTGTCATTTTCAATTAGTTCATGAAACTATTACATCAACAATGGCAGTTACAGTGCTTAAAGGGGAAGTGTACACGCAAAAATCACTTTCTTTCTTTTTCTAAACAAAACGCAATTTTAGAATTAATTAGTATCTGTGTTTGAAAATATACACTAATTTTTTTTCACAGTGAAAGTAGGAAGCTCACAATAGTGTTAAAATGATATGCCGTTATGAGGCCTTCGTTTTACGAGCGAAATAGGCCTGAGTTATCCCCCTTAGATTATGACGTAATTGGTGCCAATTCAACTGGGTCCCTGTCTATTCTCAACGCAAAAGATATCAAGGACCAGTTTGCGGTAAAACAACATGGTCTACGACACACTCCGGCGCAGTAGTGACTCAGCATAACACAATTCTGGCTGACATCTGAGACGCTAGAATCACAAAACTGTACCTACACCACGTGAAGCGGCTCTAACAAAGCATGATGACGTCATAATGTTTATCAATTGGCACCAATGACGTCATATTGCAAGGGGCATAAGCCATGGTGTTTTTGTTATGGAAATAGAACACTTGGTAAATGTGAAAAATATAAATCATTTTAATGCAAAAAATATGTTAATGAAATATGATGTTTTTATATTTTTGTCTATGACACTTCTATGTTAACACTTTTAATGTGGAAATAGTACAAGAAAAATTGGTTCATTTCCGTGTGAACTTGCCCTTTAACAGCCATAAAATATACCACTCAACATTTGATAGGGATATGCTAAGTGTCTGTTGATCTGACTGGTTGTTTGGAGATGTTCTCTTATCAATAGAATGTGATTTGAGTTGGACCTATCAAATGACTGGTACATGTAGCATATAGACTGCTGTTCAGTGTTGCTGGAAAGCCAAGTCTCGTGTGTGCAAGCAAGACCTTGCTGCTACCTACTCTGTGACGAGGCAGGGCTTGGTATTTTACTGCAGTACTGGATGTAAGCGACGAGGATAGAGTTGCGGCCATTGGCGTCGTTCTTGTCCTCCAGGAGCTCCGAGCACTGCTGAACTATCTGGGCAATAGCCTCAAACGAACTTTGGCCCGTGTTTACTGCAATAAACAATCTCAGAATATCAGCTTGAACGGTTTGGTAATACAATCATAAGCTCTGCTTTGAACAGTACTTCAGATTAATCAAAGTGTGTAAAAAAAAAATCACATTTAACATAGTAATGCAATGCAAATGCACGGATATGGTACTGACAAATCATCGATAATAATCAAGACAAATAAGAGATTCTATGCAAGGAATCAGCAGATCCTGGATGCGGGATGCAACTCAGTACAGCAAATTGTGGCTCCCTAAACAAATCGAACATCCATGCCCCCACTCAAGATTATGTAATCATGGATGCCTGCTTATTGTTCTTATCCAAATGCCATACTCAGCAATATTCCAGCAATATGATCACTGCCTGTAATAAAAACATTTTTGAGCAGACAAATCAGTGATTGACATAATGAACTGGATCCCACACAATTAGGTATGTTAACATAGTTAACATGCAATAATATGCCTCCATGTTTGTATGAAATAAATACAATACCAGATGGCAGATTGACAAGGGTAATTAATTTATTATTCACATTATCACATACATATAACACCTACATATATTTCCCCCGATGACCGGTGGTCTCGCCATGAGCATGATCAGCTTGTCCAGGATGAGAGGCAGGAAGTGGATGAGGTTCTCTCCCTTGGCCTTCACAACATCCATGATGCTTCGCTTCAACTCATTCTCAAAGTGGACTTCCGTCATGCGGGGCGGGATCTTCTGTTCCTGTGCTGCGTTTATGAGATGCAGGAAGCGATCGACGTGCTCGTCCTGAAGCATGGAGAGAGTGAGTGATTGAGTTTGGCTGCTTTGTGTCTAGTTTAACGGCAGACACAGCAATATCTAATTTGAATGCACAATAAGGAGTTCTTGGCACGTCTACAAACAACAATCCTAATATTTCACAAGTATGCACAGTGACCTTGAATTAGATGAAGGTAATGAAATGTAGCTGTACAATGAAGCTCAAAACTCGCCAACCAGATGGACACGGTTTGGAGCGTCTTCACATGAATTCACTGTGAATTGTACCAAATGGATTAACAGGGGTTCAATGTATTCAAGGCAACAGTTCACTAAGGATAACGCACAACGTACAAATGACAACTGACCTTCACTGCTTATAGAGGTTATCTTCATTTTCTCCTCAGAAATTAACGACCATGACATTCTATGCAGTACAGATACTTAGTAACAAATATAAAAAAAGGATAAGCTGCACAAACTACAAACAGGAATTCTGTTCCAATTCCTCTTCATACACAGTCCTTACATTATAAATGGCATCCATCAAGGTAAAGTTATAACACTGTGACTGAGAACAACTTCGGACATACCTGAGTGTGTACGGAGGAGACGGCCTTGACGTTGACTTGGAACACACACTTCTGGTTGTCCACCCACTTCATGTTGGGCAGCTTGATCTGGGGACAGAGACAGGCCACTTAAAGGGATAAAAGACAGGAGAATCTTATTCCAAAGATGACATGCATGAAATACTAATATCCCCAGGCATATGTCTGGTCTAAGTCAAAGTTGTTGCCATGGAAACTCGAAAAATAAATTTGGCAAAATCCCAAACTATAAAAGGCACCAGTTTAACACAAGACCTACCAATGTGCCAAGTTTGGTTAAGATATCTCTTATGGTGAGTCCTGCTCTGGAAATGAAATGTGACAGACGGACAAACAGGAACCATTCCTATATCCTTCTTCCACTTTGTGGTGGGGGATAAAAATACATCGAAGATTGGTTGCCAGTTGATGAATGGGTTATTCTGTAATTATTTACATATATAAGGAGCAGTCAGATACAAAGGGGATATCTAGCTGTGCTTTAAGGATGTCTGCTGGTGTGATTGTGTGTTAACCACGTTAACTGTGCATCATGTATCTTCTCCGAGGGGCGGTTGGGTAGCCTAGTGGTTAAAGCGTTCGCTTGCATGCCGAAGACCCGGGTTCAATTCCCGACATGGGTACAATGTGTGAAGCCCATTTCTGGTGTCCCCCGCCATGATATTGCTGGAATATTGCTAAAATCGGTTTAAAACCATACTCACTCACTCTTCTCCTAAATTTCGCAGTCACTGTTATGAAGAACTTGTATATCCATAGAATTATCTCCCTTGCTCATCATACCAACTTCCAAATATCACTTAAAGGAGTTGCCACAGGGCACTTGCAGAGATGTTTAAGTGTGCCCACATGGTCAAAATACTTTCGATCCATCTTCCTATCTGGTGAATGTCATTCGATATAGCTACATAGTGAGCACATGGCATTTCGAAGCCTGTGTTAGGAAACTGTAGTTGTGTCCTTGTCACTTACATCTGGGTGCAGCATGGAGAACCGGGGAGGCGGCTTCTCCACAGAGACAGGCAGAGAGAACTCTCCAGTCTGCAGCCGGCCCTCCTTCATCAATGGCAGCCACTGAAACATCACGTTTGGTAGTTGACAACTAGCAATATTCATGACAACTTCTCACTCTATCACTCACATTACACATGGCTTCTGTTTTTACCACTTTGACTCACACGGAAGTGAGCTAGTGCAGAAATACTCAGCAGTATCCAACTATACTCACCACCAAAAGAAACGTGAAAACCATACATGTTGGTTAATACATGAAGAATTACTCACATTCAAGAGATATTAAATTGGTTCGTTGCACATACAAACCTACTGTTATGTTGCATGAACCGACACTCGTAAACACATCACATGTGATGTCATAGACCCATGTCTCAAGATGTACCATTTGTATTGTGCAGGATCAGAGTGTAAAGTTTGGAAATTATCGCGATAAGAATAAGGACACTGTGGTCACACTTGACTGATTAGTTTTGTCATGAAGTGGTACACATTTCAAACATCTCTTCATAACATAAATATTTCTCTCTATGTTTCTATGGTTCAGGTTACTTTTGGCGGTGAGTAAATTTCCCGTACTTACCGTGTAGCCAACAGGAATCTCCACGGGCGTCGGCTCGTTCTTCTTCACCTGACAGCTGATGTGGTACACGGTGAACATCAGGTGGTGCTGCTCATTCAGTCGCCCCGGCAACCGGATCTTGATCTCCTCATAAAAATCAGGGGATCTGGAGGCAGTCAAGAAATAATCATATTTCCTTGAATGCTAAACAGCAAGAATAACTTAGTGAAACCCCTAAAATTAACCTGCTCTGGAGGAGAGTAAATGGTGCCAAGCACACACATTTTTAGACATTCACTGTCAGTGAGTGAGTATGGTTTTAAGCCGATTTTGTAGAATTGTCCTATTCGGAATATTCTATAAGTAATACGTTACCACTGTTATACAGAGGCTGTTGTCTCCCACAACTGCTCTTATAGCGAAATCTTCCACAGAGATCTCAATTACCTCATGCAGCACGTGCGTAGCCACCTAGCTGCCATGTGACACCCTTCACTCTTGTCTCTTGCGAGAGCAAGTGCTCGGGGGACAGACGGGCGGGCAGCAGCCTAGTGGTAACGTATTACTTATAGAATATTTCGAATAGGAAAATTCTACAAAATACATTAACTAATACGTTACCACTGTTATACTGAGGCCGACTACCACAGTAGGCGGTGGGGAGCACTTACAACCCGAACCTGACTACTCGTGTTCCTTCCGACCAGCGGAAGTAAACAACAAGGCGGAAGCACTCGATGCGCATGCTCCCAGCTTGGCGTTACCATATAGGGATACCAAAGCACTGTCAAGCGCATACCGTAAGGCTCAATCGTCATTGCCAGAACGATTGGTGACTCCAAACGGCCCCACTGGATAGGTATTTCATCGCCGCAGCGGATGAGAACACAGTATCCGTGTGAGCTAAATCTTAGATCAGGTTAAACAGTCGAAAAGAGGGAAATTAATTTCATTCGGGCCGTATATCCCGAGAACAAGCCTACTTAAGCGTGTGTAATAGGCGCGTGACCCAAATTCAATATTGGAAAGCATGCATTACAAGGTTGCAATACACGACAGACAATTAGGTTAATAATTGTCAAATCCAAATAAAGAAACACACAGAAAGCCGCACTCACCTGTGGATGAGCGCGCTGCCTTGTGGGACCCCCACTCCCGTACCCACGGCTGTGGGAACGTTGGAGTAGACCCAGATTGACCACCGTGCAAGGTCTGAAGCCTGAGGAGTTTGGAATTGCGCCGGGCACACCCCTTAGATGGCCGCTTGTGCAGCGATCAGCGGCCCAAGACGGTGCACACCCTCCACGTCTTCATCAGAGGCCCGTCTGAGGTAATGATTGGCAAAAACCGAGTCAGAATGCCAGTAACAACCCCGCAATATTCTGTGAACAGATATATTGGAGTGTAGGGCAAATGTCGCCGCTAGCGCCCTAATCTCGTGCAGGTTTGACCCCGCTACCGGTAACCCCCAAGACCGGTACGCCAAATTGATGACAGAACGAAGCCAAAACGCAATCGAGTTGCGAGTTATGTCAACAGTGAGATTAGGGTTACAAGATATGAACAGACGGTCACGCCCTTGCCTGCGTTCATTCGAAGCCTTAAGATAATACTTAAGGGCCCTAACCGGACACAGCAATCTGTCCTCGGTATCAGCAGGAGGTAAGATTTCTTTGAGGGATCTTACAGTGAATTCTCTCTCCGTTTGGCCAAATTTCTGATTCTTAGCGATGAAGCCCATGAGCAAGCCCAGGCGGACCGCTCCTTTGTCGCCCCTATCGAATCGTACTTTGGTGACATCGAGTGCGTGTATTTCTGACAAAGAGAGAGAAGAAATGCTGTTTTCCAAGTCACATGCCGGAACGAAGCACTACCCAAGGGTTCATACGGAGCCTCCGTAAGTGATTGTAACACTAAGGAGAGATCCCAGGCCGGTGCCCGAAGGCGGCCCTTTTTAAGATCTTGCTGTTTGAAACCCTTGATAATACCTCGAATCACCGGCTCTTTTGAGAGACTGGTACCCATAGCAATGTCCCGTACCGTAGCAACGGACGAGACATATGTGGCAATGGAACCCCCGGAGAGTTTCCGGGTCTCTCGTAAGTGAGACATGAAACGAGCAATATCCTGCACAGATACCTTATCTGGCGAATGAATGTGATGTTTACAACACCACTTCGTGAAAATAGCCCAACGTGCATTATACACCTTCTGGGTAGAATCACGATGCATACTAACGTATGCCCGAGACGCCCGACGAGAAAAACCTTTACCCCTCAGACGCTTGGTGACAACATCCACACGTGCAGATTGATCTGCCCTGCTTTTGGATGAAGCTGACGGGTGTGAGGGTGGATCAGCAGATCCGGTCTCACAGGCAGTGGAAGTGGCGACTGCGTGGCCTGGGCCAGCAAGTCGGGGTACCACGATCTGTTAGGCCACATGGGCGCGATCAGTAACATTCGACAGCGAACCCCCGGCTTAGAATGAGTGGTATTAACGCCGTCGGCGGGTAAGCATAAGCGTCCATGCCCCTCCAGTCTAACACGAGAGCATCGTGATCGATCGCCCTTGGGTCCGGGACTGGTGATACAAACAACAGGAGTTGATTGTTGAACCTGGTTGCGAACAGGTCGACCATCGGACGACCCAAACGTTCGCACAGCCACTGAAACACCACTGGGTTTAGCATCCACTCCGTGGGGCTCGGATCCCAAGGCCTCGATAGAGTGTCGGCCAGTACGTTCCGCACACCTGGGATGTGACAGGCGCGTACCTGGCACGGGACACTGTCCACCAGAGCGTAAAACTCAAACGCGAGATCGAGTAGCGAGTGACTGTGGGTTCCCCCCAGTTTGTTCACATAGGACACTACCGACGATGCTTCCAGTGATTGACTGCGTTTATCACTGCCTTGAACTCGAGGCAATTGATGTGAAGACCTTGTTCGTCTGTATACAGGTTCAACGTGGCGCGGAAGGGCCGCATAGAGACACCTGATAACCCAAAAGTGAACAGTCTGTTGCACCACTAAGACTTTGGCAATCATCGCCCGAATCTTGTGCCACCGGTCTGGGGGGACAAAGAGGCGATGGGTCACCGTGTCGAACCGACCTCCGATGAACTGCAAGTTCTGTGAGGGGGTTACCTCGCTTTTGGGGAGATTGATAATCCACCCCAATTGCTCCAAGAGCTGACGTGCAAAATCGAGATGGCGTGACAGGGCGTCCGTCATTCGATTGGCCACTAGCGAGTCGTCCAGGTACGCGAAGTGCCTGCCTTGAAAGACAAACCTGAGATACTTGTGATGATCCGAGTGAATCGGAACATGCAGATAAGCATCCTTCAGGTCGATCGAAGCAAGCCAGTCGGCAGGCATGATCAGAGCTTTTAGGTCCGCTAAGGTCAACATTCTGAACTTGGGAGGCTTGTGCAGGTAAAACTCGTTGAACGATTTCAGATTGTGAATCATTCTGAGTTCGGCACTGTCTTTCTTGGGAACAAGAAATATCCTGGAGTAAAACCCCGGTGTTATTTCTGGTAGGACTAACTCCCGTACCGCCCTCTTCTCCACCAAACTGCCGATGGCATCGGCTAGGATGGGAAGATCGGCTTCCGAATAGAAACCTTCCAACGGGGAGACGGTGAGCGGCGGATCCGCTTTGAGATCTAGTCGATAGCCGTACCGAATCGTGTTGACCACCCACGGGTCGTCGAACACTTGTTCCCAATTCTCCCAGTAAGTCTGGAGTCTGGCTCCGACAGGGGAAGGGAAGGGAGGCCTGACAGGCTGCGGCAGACGCAACTGTCCAGGGCTGAATGACTCGGGTTTGCCTACGGGCCAACCGAAGCTGGCGCTGTTGGCACACGAACCCTGCAAGAGAGAGTCATTTGGAGGAGCCCTTACCGTCACGAGACGGGTTAGGCTTCCCACAGTGTCCCTTCTTCCCCTGAAAGGGCGGCAGGTTGCCCTTACTGGGGCCCTCAGAGCGGGATCTCTTCCAGGAGGAAGAAGACACCGACCCCTTGGACTTCCTGGCCGCATCCTGAGGGGGACTCCGTTTAGGGGCACCACCCAACCACCCAACCAGAGACCCAACCAGATCCAACGTATGCTGCGAAGCCGCGGCAGACGAAGCAGATTGCTGTTCTTTTAGAACACCAGGGATCCGATTATTAAATAGGGTCTGGGCAGACCAAGGCTGCGAAAGTAACACCTACTGGTTGGCAGCGTCCAACCCAGAAGAGGCAAGGTACGCTTGCCGCCTCAAAAAATGGCACGTGCCGGAAAGAAAGGCCGAAGCCCCGGCAACGTACTCAAGGGTTGCATTCAAACCGATCAAACAGTTGTAAATGCGCTGGTCTCGGTCCGTGGGGGAACCTTCGACCAGACTGGCCGCCCCCGCCAAGTAGGTGTCGCCATGTGACATAGCGAGCATGGAGTGCCGAGAGAGGGTGTCCATCTGCTGTAAAGTCGCTTGAGTGACTGTAGCAGCAGGTGGGGCACGGACACCCAACCTCTCAACATGGGCCTCTGCGGTGGGACTTGATTCCGGGAAGGCCAAGTCATGCACCGGGAACGAACCCTTTCTCCACGTGCTGCATGAGGTAATTGAGATCTTGGTGGAAGATTTGGCTATAAGAGCAGTTGTGGGGGACAACAGCCTCGGTATAACAGTGGTAACGTATTACTTAATGTAATTTAGCAATACTCCAGCAATATCATGGCGGGGTACACCAGAAATGGGCTTCAACACTTTAACTGCTAAGTTACCCGACCGCCCCTAGACATTCAGGCCTAATCATTCTCAATGGGTATTCATATGTTTTTTGCTGTATCAAACATATTTTACCCCCTTGGTTTCAGTCTACGAATTATATCATAGAAGACATTTTATTAGTTATTCCTTAAGTTTGTCACAAGTTGCATTGTTCACAGAAGCTATATGTTATACAGCAAGTTGGAGGTAGCACTTTTGTCCATTATTCGCTGCAGTAGAGTTCGTGTATGGGTGATGCCAGTATTTGGTCAATGTATTTAGATACGGGAAATACAAGAACACAAACACAAAAGGTCACATTGGGTTAATGTGCGCCAGTTTTTACCAGTTACACTAAGGGGTATTTGAAGTTTTACATGCATATGACAAGCAACTTGAAAAGTCATTTGGGTAATGGTCAACTACTTTTTTCAGTTTATCTGGATGTTTGCCATGGTTCTGAGTGGACACATGTACAAGCGGTGAGTACTGACTTGTTGTGGTAGGTGACCGCTGTGTAGGCTTCTCGGGTCAACTCCGGGCAGCTCGACTTGCCGAATATCACCTGAAACATTCATAGACAGGTAACAGCATCACGGTCTGAAAGTATTTGTCTCAGTGATTCATCAGGCATAGGATGAAGGAGTCTTGAGTCCAATCAGCATGAGGCATCCCTTGGGTGCCTGGATGGTGTGTGATGTAGGGAGGACAACTGATTGGTGTGTGATGTAGGGAGGACAACTGATTGGTGTGTGATGTACAGAGGACAACTGATTGGTGTGTGTTGTACAGAGAGAGGACACTTACCGGTATGGCGTGCACCTCATCCTCTCCCACCATGTACTGGATCTTGACGGCTAGGTTCCGAGCCGAGCCCTGACGGTTTGTAAAGTTCAGGTACTTGGGGTACACAAACAGCAGATTTCTGCAGAAAAAAACAATAGAGACTAAAATAACACATCATTGTCCTGGTAGATGTGGGGTATTTAGGACTGTACTGTACTGTACTGTACATGATATACTGCCAACTTATTTTTTGTGCTGTACTGCTGACTTACTTGTACGTGCTGTACTGCTGACTTACTTGTACGTGCTGTACTGCCGACTTACTTGTACGTGCTGTACTGCTGACTTACTTGTATGTGCTGTACTGCCGACTTACTTGTATGTGCTGTACTGCCGACTTACTTGTATGTGCTGTACTGCCGACTTACTTGTACATGATATACTGCTGACTTACTTGTACGTGCTGTACTGCTGACTTACTTGTACGTGCTGTACTGCCGACTTACTTGTACATGATATACTGCTGACTTACTTGTACGTGCTGTACTGCCGACTTACTTGTACATGATATACTGCTGACTTACTTGTACGTGCTGTACTGCTGACTTACTTGTACGTGCTGTACTGCCTACTTACTTGTACGTGCTGTACTGCTGACTTACTTGTACGTGCTGTACTGCCGACTTACTTGTACGTGCTGTACTGCCGACTTACTTGTACGTGCTGTACTGCCGACTTACTTGTACATGATATACTGCTGACTTACTTGTACGTGCTGTACTGCTGACTTACTTGTACATGATATACTGCTGACTTACTTGTACGTGCTGTACTGCCGACTTACTTGTACATGATATACTGCTGACTTACTTGTACGTGCTGTACTGCCGACTTACTTGTACGTGCTGTACTGCCGACTTACTTGTACATGATATACTGCTGACTTACTTGTACGTGCTGTACTGCTGACTTACTTGTACATGATATACTGCTGACTTACTTGTATGTGCTGTACTGCCGACTTACTTGTACGTGCTGTACTGCCGACTTACTTGTACATGATATACTGCTGACTTACTTGTACGTGCTGTACTGCTGACTTACTTGTACGTGCTGTACTGCCGACTTACTTGTACGTGCTGTACTGCCGACTTACTTGTACATGATATACTGCTGACTTACTTGTACGTGCTGTACTGCCGACTTACTTGTACATGATATACTGCTGACTTACTTGTACGTGCTGTACTGCCGACTTACTTGTACATGATATACTGCTGACTTACTTGTACGTGCTGTACTGCCGACTTACTTGTACATGATATACTGCTGACTTACTTGTACGTGCTGTACTGCCGACTTACTTGTACATGATATACTGCTGACTTACTTGTACGTGCTGTACTGCTGACTTACTTGTACGTGCTGTACTGCCGACTTACTTGTACATGATATACTGCTGACTTACTTGTACGTGCTGTACTGCCGACTTACTTGTACGTGCTGTACTGCCGACTTACTTGTACGTGCTGTACTGCTGACTTACTTGTACGTGCTGTACTGCCGACTTACTTGTACATGATATACTGCTGACTTACTTGTACGTGCTGTACTGCCGACTTACTTGTACGTGCTGTACTGCCTACTTACTTGTACATGATATACTGCTGACTTACTTGTACGTGCTGTACTGCCGACTTACTTGTACGTGCTGTACTGCCGACTTACTTGTACATGATATACTGCTGACTTACTTGTACGTGCTGTACTGCCGACTTACTTGTACGTGCTGTACTGCTGACTTACTTGTACGTGATATACTGCTGACTTACTTGTACGTGCTGTACTGCCGACTTACTTGTACATGATATACTGCCGACTTACTTGTACATGATATACTGCTGACTTACTTGTACGTGCTGTACTGCTGACTTACTTGTACATGATATACTGCTGACTTACTTGTATGTGCTGTACTGCCGACTTACTTGTACGTGCTGTACTGCCGACTTACTTGTATGTGCTGTACTGCCGACTTACTTGTATGTGCTGTACTGCCGACTTACTTGTACATGATATACTGCTGACTTACTTGTACGTGCTGTACTGCCGACTTACTTGTACATGATATACTGCTGACTTACTTGTACGTGCTGTACTGCCGACTTACTTGTACATGATATACTGCTGACTTACTTGTACGTGCTGTACTGCCAACTTACTTGTACGTGCTGTACTGCCGACTTACTTGTACATGATATACTGCCGACTTACTTGTACGTGCTGTACTGCCGACTTACTTGTACATGATATACTGCCGACTTACTTGTACGTGCTGTACTGCCGACTTACTTGTACATGATATACTGCCGACTTACTTGTACGTGCTGTACTGCCGACTTACTTGTACATGATATACTGCTGACTTACTTGTACATGATATACTGCTGACTTACTTGTACGTGCTGTACTGCCGACTTACTTGTACGTGCTGTACTGCCGACTTACTTGTACATGATATACTGCCGACTTACTTGTACGTGCTGTACTGCCGACTTACTTGTACATGATATACTGCTGACTTACTTGTACGTGCTGTACTGCTGACTTACTTGTACGTGCTGTACTGCCGACTTACTTGTACATGATATACTGCTGACTTACTTGTACGTGCTGTACTGCCGACTTACTTGTACGTGCTGTACTGCCGACTTACTTGTACATGATATACTGCCGACTTACTTGTACGTGCTGTACTGCCGACTTACTTGTACATGATATACTGCCGACTTACTTGTACGTGCTGTACTGCCGACTTACTTGTACGTGCTGTACTGCCGACTTACTTGTACATGATATACTGCCGACTTACTTGTACGTGCTGTACTGCCGACTTACTTGTACATGATATACTGCCGACTTACTTGTACGTGCTGTACTGCCGACTTACTTGTACATGATATACTGCTGACTTACTTGTACGTGCTGTACTGCCGACTTACTTGTACGTGCTGTACTGCCGACTTACTTGTACGTGCTGTACTGCTGACTTACTTGTACGTGCTGTACTGCCGACTTACTTGTACATGATATACTGCTGACTTACTTGTACGTGCTGTACTGCTGACTTACTTGTACATGATATACTGCTGACTTACTTGTACGTGCTGTACTGCCGACTTACTTGTACATGATATACTGCTGACTTACTTGTACGTGCTGTACTGCTGACTTACTTGTACATGATATACTGCTGACTTACTTGTACGTGCTGTACTGCCGACTTACTTGTACATGATATACTGCTGACTTACTTGTACGTGCTGTACTGCCGACTTACTTGTACGTGCTGTACTGCCGACTTACTTGTACGTGCTGTACTGCTGACTTACTTGTACGTGCTGTACTGCCGACTTACTTGTACATGATATACTGCTGACTTACTTGTACGTGCTGTACTGCTGACTTACTTGTACATGATATACTGCTGACTTACTTGTACGTGCTGTACTGCCGACTTACTTGTACATGATATACTGCTGACTTACTTGTACGTGCTGTACTGCCGACTTACTTGTACGTGCTGTACTGCCGACTTACTTGTACATGATATACTGCTGACTTACTTGTACGTGTTGTACTGCCGACTTACTTGTACGTGCTGTACTGCTGACTTACTTGTACGTGATATACTGCTGACTTACTTGTACGTGCTGTACTGCCGACTTACTTGTACATGATATACTGCCGACTTACTTGTACGTGATATACTGCTGACTTACTTGTACGTGCTGTACTGCTGACTTACTTGTACGTGCTGTACTGCCGACTTACTTGTACATGATATACTGCCGACTTACTTGTACGTGCTGTACTGCTGACTTACTTGTACATGATATACTGCTGACTTACTTGTACGTGCTGTACTGCTGACTTACTTGTACGTGCTGTACTGCTGACTTACTTGTACGTGCTGTACTGCCGACTTACTTGTACATGATATACTGCCGACTTACTTGTACGTGCTGTACTGCCGACTTACTTGTACGTGCTGTACTGCTGACTTACTTGTACGTGCTGTACTGCCGACTTACTTGTACATGATATACTGCCGACTTACTTGTACGTGCTGTACTGCTGACTTACTTGTACGTGCTGTACTGCCGACTTACTTGTATGTGCTGTACTGCCGACTTACTTGTACATGATATACTGCTGACTTACTTGTACGTGCTGTACTGCCGACTTACTTGTACATGATATACTGCTGACTTACTTGTACGTGCTGTACTGCTGACTTACTTGTATGTGCTGTACTGCCGACTTACTTGTATGTGCTGTACTGCTGACTTACTTGTACGTGCTGTACTGCCGACTTACTTGTATGTGCTGTACTGCTGACTTACTTGTACGTGCTGTACTGCTGACTTACTTGTATGTGCTGTACTGCCGACTTACTTGTACGTGCTGTACTGCTGACTTACTTGTATGTGCTGTACTGCCGACTTACTTGTATGTGCTGTACTGCTGACTTACTTGTACGTGCTGTACTGCCGACTTACAAGTATGTGCTGTACTGAAGACTTACTTGTACGTGCTGTACTGCCGACTTACTTGTACGTGCTGTACTGCCGACTTACTTGTATGTGCTGTACTGCTGACTTACTTGTACGTGCTGTACTGCCGACTTACAAGTATGTGCTGTACTGAAGACTTACTTGTACGTGCTGTACTGCCGACTTACTTGTACGTGCTGTAAGGTATGAACACCTCCTTGGCTGGGAACTCAGTGACCTCCTTGGTAGGGCGGCCCTTGTCGTCGGGGTAGGGCTCCACCTTCCACAGCTCGGGGGTGAGGTTGTAGCGGGGCTCCTCTGGGCAGGGGGACACATCAAGCTTTAATGTTGCTGGAGAAAACACAAGAGCATCAGTGAAATTGAATCATTACAAAAACAAGAGGGAAGAGAGAAAGGCAATTGGATAAAGGTTGTACTGACATCACAGCAATGTCTTAACCAGTTCAATGTGTGCAGCATTGATAGATGTCTCACCTGGAATGCACTTAACTCTCTTCAGGACAGATGATGGACGTTTGAGGTCGGCCAGGAACTTGTACAGATCATCATCACTCAGCTTGTCACTCTCCTTGACACACAATAAAACAATGAATACAAAACATTTTAAACAAAAGTGAGGAGACGATACACAGGTGCATCCGTGGACAGCCATTTTTACTTGCCCATACAAGTATCAATCAATGTAACACACAAATAATTATCAATTTTAACCTTAAATGTTTGCTTTAATCACTTTTACACCAACGAACACTGATTAGAAATGAAAACTTAAATATTTCGATCCATCGTGCCATAATTAACACGGGCACACACTCCATGGTGTATCAAATATTATCAACGCAGTTGACATAGAGTTACCTCCCTTCTAGTGCATCAGCTATGTCTAACAACTGATTGGCTAAGTGGCCTGGCAGTGTTTAATCATGCCACAATTTAGTTTTGTGATTCTTTGACAATTCAAAGGTGGCAAGATTTATGATTCTTTAGTGATAAACACCAAGAGTGAGTGAATGAGTGAGTTGGGTTTAACGCCGCTTTTAACATTGTTCCAGTTATATCACGGCATGTCAGCTTAATGTGGGAGGAAAGCTTGAAGTCATGCAAGTCTCAGACGTTTACCACTTAGGTGAAACCCATGAGCACGGGTATGGTGCTGACAGACCTAGAAACATAATCGGGGCGAACCGGGATTCGAACCCACAATCATATGTTTCTGGCGTTTAAGGGATGCAACTCTGCACAGCGAATCACAGAGACTTGGTCAACTGGGCCACCCGTGCCCCTGATACACACCCTGACTGAGAGCACCCACCTGCTTGAAGAAGCTGGAGACGGTGAGCGTGACAGGTCTGAAGTTGTCTAGACTTGCTCCATAGCTCTCTGGGGACCAACTACGTCTCTTCTCATAACCAGCTCGACCACGGTCAATTGAGCCCCGACGTCCAGCTAGTAGGTCATCCTTGGACTGTTTCCGGAATCCCGAGAACTGACCCCCAACTCCACTCCGCCGATCTGCGCATACAGCATTACATATCCATACCTGCTATTGATACCATTTGCCTCATGTGCTACATTAACATTAGTGGTCAACATGCTAAGCAGGTCTTCCAACATGGAAACATCTAGAAACATGCTTCCTGTATTTGTCAACATCAGTTTCCGACATATCTCTTGTTATTCAATTTGAACATCAGTATGTTGGTTGGTTGTTTTACGCCGCACTCAGCAATATTCCAGCTACATGGCAGCAGTTTGTAAATAATCGAGTCTGGACCAGACAATCCAGTGATTAATATCATAAACCTTAATCGATGCAATTGAGATCGATGACATGCTTCAACCAAGGCAGCGAGCCTGACCACCCGATCCCGTTCGTCGCCTCTTACATCAAGCATAGTCGCCTTTTACGGCAAGCATGGGTTGCTGAAGACCTATTCTACCCCAGATATCTTCACGGGTCAACATCAGTATGTATGATGATACGTATGTACACAGAATTACCAGAAGTTGACAATCAAGATAAGGTTATTCCTTGAAAAACACTCTTTACAGGGATTTTTCTTTGAGTAGGATTCCAAACTATGTACCCTTGTCAGTCAAAATGGAAAAAAATTGTAATAAAGTTCTCATTTTTGATTATAAGTATTTTAACAAAAAGCCACTTCCTCTATGTGGGTCCTGTTATCAGTGAAACACAAGTCATTCATGAGTGAACACAACTAGATCTACATGAATTAGGAAAACATGATTTCCCATTTTGAATTTTTTACTGACATTTGCCACAGACTTGGGGCCAAGTATCGACCCCTGACCTGGTCTAGGTAAATACCTGGTTTAAAAGATAAACTCAGAAGTGAGGCGTTAGTACAGCCAGTGTCCTCACACATACACCTAATACAGACCTAGCTCAAAGTCGAATAAAACCTTGGCAGTGGCTGTTGTGTTTGTTTGTAGTTTGTTTGTAGTTTATGATACAGTCAGCAATAATCCAGCCATATCACAGTGGACTGCATATAATCAAGTCTGGACTACCCAGTGACTGATACTATAAACAACACCCCCCACCATGGGGGCTTCATGCCATGAAATAAACCAGGACCCAAGAGTCTCGACACTGATTCAATTCAGTTTCCCCTTGACAACCATTAGTGCTGGGACCTATTCTAACCAGCTTCTCCAAGTGGCTTGAATATGAAACTGTGGCAGCGAGCTGACCATTTTAAGACCCATCATCTCATACAATGAATGTTCCTCACCCAGACTGGCGGCTCGGGACGAGGGGGACTCGTGGTCTATGGACTTCTCAACAGATGCCTCCCTCTCCAGGCTGTTGCTTTGCCCCCCTACGATGTTCATCAGGTAGATGGCCGTCCAGGCAAACGGCATACGGTACTTGCCGAGGCGATCACAAAACTGAGTAGCCTGTGTGCGGTACTTTTCTTCTTTAGCAGACTGAAACAAGAAGGTGAACATCCGCCACTGCCATTTTATCAAATTTTCTCACAGTAACTGGTTATCATTAAATGTAAGTGAGTGAGTGAGTATGGTTTTACGCCATTTTTAGCAATATTCCAGCAACATCACAGCGGGGGACACCAGAAATGGGCTTCACACATTGTACCCATGTCGGGAATCGAACCCGGGTCTTCAGCGTGACGAGCGAACGCTTTAACCACTAGGCTACCCGACCGCCCCCATTAAATGTTAAGCACATATAACATGTCAACATGGTTAAGTCAAAGATGCCACTACAGGGCCCAAATGACACATACATCACTGCCATGAGTGAGTGAGTGAGGTTAAGACACTTCAGTTACATCATTGTGTGTCAGCTTGATGTGTGAAGAAAAGCACAGGTAGGGTGCTGACAAATCTAGGAACATAATCAGGGCAAACTGCAGGGTTGCAGCTCTGCACACAATATAGACACCTGCCACCAAATGCAATTTTGAAATTTCACCAATCATCTTAAATGGCTTATGTACATGTATGTTGGCGTTGTCCAGCTCAGTGCCACATATTTCTGCCCCTGTTCTGCCCTGGGCCAGGGACACTACATCTGGACTCCTCCTCCTTACCTTATCCTCCTTCATGTAGGGCTCCGCACACTCGCTGATATCCCCCTGCTGCAGGACCTTCTCCAGCTGCAAACACAACACACAGCGTCAACACAACACACAGCGTCAACACAACACACAGCGTCAACACAACACACAGCGTCAACACACAACACACAGCATCAACACAACACACAGCATCAACACAACACACACAGCGTCAACACAACACACACAGCGTCAACATAACAGACAGCGTCAACACAACACACACAATGTCAACACAACACACACAGCATCAACACAACACACACAGCATCAACACAACACACACAGCATCAACACAACACACACAGCATCAACACAACACACACAACATCAATATATCATAGGTCAACACAACACACATGTCAACACAACAAACACAGTATCAACACAACACACACAACATCAATATATCATAGGTCAAAACAACACACACAGTGTCAACACAACACACAGCGTCAACACAACACACAGCGTCAACACAACACACAGTGTCAACACAACACACAGCGTCAACACAACACACAGTGTCAACACAACACACAGTGTCAACACAACACACACAGCATCAATATAACATAGGTCAACACAACACACACAGCGTCAATATAACATAGGTCAACACAACACACATGTCAACACAACACACAGTGTCAACACAACACACACAGTGTCAACACAACACACACAACATCAATATATCATAGGTCAACACAACACACATGTCAACACAACACACACAGTATCAACACAACACACACAGCATCAACACAACACACACAGCATCAACACAACACACACAGTGTCAACACAACACACACAGCATCAACACAACACACACACAGTCAAAACAACACACACAGTGTCAACACAACACACAGCGTCAACACAACACACAGTGTCAACACAACACACACAGCATCAATATAACATAGGTCAACACAACACACACAGCGTCAATATAACATAGGTCAACACAACACACAGACTCAACACAACACACAGCGTCAACACAACACACAGAGCGTCAACACAACACACACAGCATCAACACAACACACACAGTGTCAACACTACACACACAGCATCAACAATAGTGATTATTGATCTGTTTCCATTTGTTTCAAGGATAAACTCATAGATCACAAGTCCATCATAATAACAAAAAGAAAACAAAACAAATTTCAGCTGCATACTAAACAAACTAGATAAGAAACATATCTGTTATCTAAAACATTTTATAAGGTGTAAGAGGTTGAATAAATTATGCTGAATTTTGAGTCTATCTGTGTATACATGTAACATCCCATCAGCATCCAAACACAAGGGTGAATGAAAGCAAACGCCAAACTACATATCCTGTCATTAAAGGAGCATCTACTCAAACTTCAAAAAGGTTTACATTGGCGGTTTGCCTCGCAACATTCACCATGCTGACAGCCTTCAGCCTCACCATACTTCTACCATAACATAAGTCGGGGGCACAATCCCATCTGCATAAATGATAGGCTGTGGTTTGGATCCACCATAGATGTAGGAGTGTAGGGGTGTATGAGGCGTTACCTTGACAACGAGGAACACATCATTGGTCGGGTAGGTGATGCTGAAGTTGCAGCCGCGACTGAGGGTGGAGATGTCCTGATGCGGCACATGCATGTGGATCATCCGCTTCAGGTGGTCCGAGTTCATGTCAAAGTGGAATGTCTCCGAGATCTGGACATAATAAACTGTGATTAGTTACGCTGAAAAATTCATCAGCATAAACTTGACTTCAGACACTTCAAAGTAAAGTGTTTGCTGTTTAAGTCCACACTCAGCAATATTCCAGCTACATGATGGCAACCTGTAAATAGATGTCTTGACCAGCCAATCCAGTGATTGACATTTTGAGCAACGATGCATGCCGTCGGGGGACGAGGACATATAACCATGAGCCTCACCTCCCGATCAACTCATAGACTTTCGAGATCAATTCTAAACAGGTATCCTTGGGAGGGAGGCATGCTGTGAGTGAGTACGGTTTTGCATCACTTTTAGCAACATTCCAGCCTTATCATAGGGACACCGAAAATGGACTTCACACACTGTTGGTTGGTTGGTTGGTTTGTTGTTTAACGCCGCACTCAGCAATATTCCAGCTATATGACGGCGGTCTGTAAATAATCGAGTCTGGACCAGACAATCCAGTAATTGATATCATGAGTATCAATCCACGCAATTGGGATCGATGACATCAACCAAGTCAGCGAGCCTGAGCACCCGATCCCGAGAGTCACCTATTACGACAAGCACAGTCACTCACACACTGTACTCATGAGGGGAATAGAACCCAGGTTCATGGTGTGACAAGCCAACACTTTAACCATAAAGCTACCCCTTCGCCCACACTATGAATACTGACTGACATTTCCATTTAGAATGGGTTCTTGAAACAACAACCTACTTCATGTCTTTGAAACTTAGGAATCTCATACACTTGAACTTAAATGTCAAAGTTGAAGACTTAGATCTAAATACCATCGTATCAATCAAGGGCAGATAATCCCCAATCGAATCCACTCACCTTCTTCCTCTCCCGAGCATCGTACAAAGCGAGTGTAACAAAGATGGGCTCAACCTCCATCTCCAGTCTGCAACACAGCAATATACATGAAAACCTGAGCAAAAGACATAATTAACAATTTCTCTTAATCAGTAAAGTGACACTGGTCCTGAATGTGTACCACTTAGGTGAGACTAAACACAGCTAATCAACACCATGATCGGGGAGACCCTGTCATTACCAGTTTAAGAGAATTCATACTGTACATTGGAGACGTGGAGTTAAAAATCTGTTATTCATGTTATTATTTAAATGTTCAAAAGAATCATATTTCTTCAACTGTAAAGATATGTTTTACATGTAGATTTTCCTATAATATATTCTGATAAGTACGACACTACACGCAGACTTACGACAGTTGTAGACATTTGACGTGTATTCGGTGTCCGAAGTGTTCTTTGGGCGTCTCCATAGGGGCTCGTCTCTCAATACACTCCTCCTGATAATTAAACAGGGATCAAACTTTGACACGCATTGCCGAACAAAGTGATACCGCATACAAGGGAGCTTTCATTGACCAGCGGGGACTTCTGGTACAGACGAACAACAATGTGGCAACATCTGTATCAGAAAACATTCCTAGAGACAACAACGTACTAACTTAGAAAATATTTCTAGATGATTGTTTTCCCCTCTGAGTCGTCCTGTTGGCAGAGTGTTACATCAAGGTTTGATCACTGAAGACTAGGCCAACAGTACCTACTTCACAGATTCATATTTCCAACAATCAAACACAATTAGACTTTCATGTTACTCCAGCCAGAAAGTGATCAACTTGATTTGAATGAGTTATCTCCCTTGTCTCACCTCTTCCTGTGGTGGAAACAGACTAAAGATATTGTCCTGTCTGTTCTGCTGGCGCTGGTTCTCGTTATTGTGGTCGACATCGTCGTATGACATGCGCTGGAACAGGTTGGGCAGGAGAGCATCTGCCTGACTCTGTTTCAGATCGAATATACTACTGGCCCAGCTGCCACGAGGAGTCTCGTTTAAGTGGAGGGACTGACGCTTGTTGCTCTCTTGCTGTAAAAGTCATATCATGTTTTACACATACTGAGAGATGCAGAGAGTGAGGGAATAGCTTTAAAAATTAACTTGAAGGCTGCATTTTTTAGCTTGAAGTAAAAGCCATTTAACGACTATGAGGAACTAGCTTCAACAACATGCAAAAGAGAGAGAGAGAGAGAGAGAGAGAGAGAGAGAGAGAGAGAGAGTGAGAGAGAGAGAGAGAGAGAGAGAGAGAGGGTGTGTGTGTGTGTGTGTGTGTGTGTGTGTGTGTGTGTGTGTGTGTGTGTGTGTGTGTGTGTGTTATTGCTGTTTTCATTATGGCATTACTGCATCAAAGAAGGTAGAATCTTGCTGTTAGAATAAGGCTTAGCTATCTGTAAGGATGAGTCAATGCTGTGTCTACAAGCATTCCCAGTGGCCTGCATGCATAAAGCCGAAGACAAATACCTTTTCTTGCTCCGGAGGCATCTCGTCCATGTCATCAATCTCATACTCTTGATGTATGATGCCATCTCGGTCGGCCAGTTTCTCCTTGCTGTGGAAACTGGAGCTGTACCTCTGGTATCTACAAAGTAGGCCACCATACATTGATCATGTTCATAATCACATTTCATCCCAAATTCCTGAACTTATTGGTAAGGAATGTGACTATTAGTAAATGTCATTTTTAGTTTAAAAAAACACGTTTGTTGAAATGTGTCCCTGATGGATGTCACCGATGAGGTTTTCGTTTGTCATAATTGAACTTAATAACTTATTGAACTGAATAATAATAATAATAATAATTTCATGTTCATTTCCAGGTTTTGTTCATTTTCATGTTTATGAATTGCCTTGATATTTACCTTAACTCTTTCAACACCAGTCAACCAGAAGTGTTTACTGCTGGGACACCGAGTTCCCAGAGACTCTTGTGTGATAGATGAAGCCAACATTTATCAAAGAAAATACCTGCTTGTAAAATATATTTGCTTCTACATGTTATACACCATTTGAAAGGTCTGATCCTATGGTTTATAAATATGAAAGTTATGTTTTTCACATTATTTAAAATAATGCATTTACAACTTAATTAAATTTGTTGTAAATAAAAAATGTACGCTAACACGTTGTTAACATCCAGATTAAGGACCAAGGAAGCGAAAACTTGACGATTTTCGGCAAATATATGATTTCATAATATCCACGTACCTATTTCTGTTTTATTTTCATTGTTTACGTAATTGGAAAATCATTTTAAAAAGAATTATAAACAGTTTCTGTCATCACCCATTTCCCGATAACAGCGACTGTCCGCTCAGTAAAATGAAGAAATACCCCCGTTTTCGAAGTTTCGTATGAATAACACGTTCGTCGAAGAACAGCATATGACACATCGCTGGAAAGCTTATTCCTTCATCTACACGCACGTAACATCGACTGGTTTTTTTTTGTAGTAATAACAAGCGATTTCATTGGATTAAAATTGGTTTCTAATGACGCTTTCTTGCTGAAATCTGCTACAAGTTTCGTGATTGGTCAATTTTGAGCACGTGACCTAAGGCAGCCAATCAAATCACAGCTGTGATACCAAGCTCGTGTTCGATAAATTACAGTAGTTTGCGAAAGAATTTTGTTAAATTGTGTTATTCTGAACGTTTTGAGCAGGAAATCACGATATATATTAAAAATATGGAACTTCGTGAATGTATCGTGCTAGGTTACGAGCTGTGACAAAGATTTTTCATACATATATTTTTGCATTAAACATCGTGTCCGAGCCGAGAATTCATAGCGACGAAAGCCGAGATGTCATTTGACTTACATTACACGCGATCACACAAAAAGATGGAAATAATAACTTAGATGTAAGTTTGATTACTTTAAGATATATTTTTGTTGATTTTATTTATTACTTTGTATAATATATTTAAAGATTTGTTTAAAACGTCTTTATTTTCCTCTTTGACGTGTTCGATGTGGACCCGTTGTCGAAATGTGTGTCCGAGAATTTTATTTTCAATAACAACGCGAGAAATAGTGAATAATTTTTTAATTTAACGATAAAAAATGTTAAATTGATATGGAATATGTATTTCAGACATTGTGAAATGTGATAGATTTAATAAATGAATGACATTACAGGTAGGTCCATAAAAATACATACTATTTTGACGTGACTACGGCTTGGCCGGATAACCGGCCTGCGGTGTCTGGGGACTCGATGCTTCTTGGCCGGATAACCGGCCTACGGTGTTGAAAGAGTTAAGCTTTATTCATATTGAACCATACAAATTCATAGTCATTTATTCTGTTTATTTCAAGCTTCATCGCACTGTTTGAAAATAGTCACATCACATGTTTCTATATTTGTAGCATCAAACAAACATGGCGGATGTGTATCTAGTATTCTGGAGGTGTACCAAGAACACGTTGAACAATATTACATTCCTATTACTAAGTAGGAGTGTCCGGGGATGCCTAAAGATGCAAGGCCTTTACAACTTACAGGTCATCAATGGTTAAGCCACAAACACAGTTGACAGAAAGTCACTATTTGTAACTATAACATGGAGTCCTGATGTGCTCCTTCTTACCTGCGTGTGACAACTGTGTAATCCGATGTGTATCGCTGCACACAGTCCTTGACTATTGGGTCCAGATCACTATGGAGAGAGAGAGAGTGACAGTGTATCACGCCAGGGAGCAGGGGACCCAACATATAACTCAGCACAACCACAGATGCCAGGCCTAATTGAAACTATGGAGTATGGAGTGGGTATAAAAGAGTAATCATGTAAAAAAGAATACTTTTAACAGTACCAAGTTCAACTTCTGAAGTAATATTGGTGCAATATCGGTGTACATGCAATAAGTTCCCGGGCACACAATTGTAAACACAAATTCTACACTTACCTTGATTCAGGAACGACTGGTGTGACAGTGCGACTTGTTTTGGGCACTGTATGGACATCGATGTCATCTTCTGGGTACAACAGTAGGTCCTTGAAGGGATCACGTTCGATGAGGCACTGGTTTTGTATAACAAAGTCCTCAAAATCTGGAGGTTCAATCCCATCATTTGCGAGTGTCTGTTAGAAAAGAAAATGTATTAGCTGAGATGTACATCTGAGGTATCATGCTGTCAGGTCAAAATCAAGTGGGTGCAGAACAGACAGGAGGCTTCACATAGATTTCTCTGCACATAAAACATGCACATGAATACTGTTTGACCCAATGAAAGAAAACTATTTATCATGTTTCAACCCGCTGGTATGTGTTGAAAATTTGTAATCTGTAATAACCTTTGGGTGTCAGTGTTCTGATTTGTAAAACTTTGGGCTAACCTCCTCAGTCTTACCAACTTAAGTCACTGCTTCCTTTAGGTTCTACGATCGCAACCAAAGTCTCGAAGTCATGTTTCATCCCTTACATAATCAGGGATACGAACCCACGAACCTAGAATTCTGGTGTGCCAAAGAGACACAACCCTGTACTATGAATTGCCCCCTGTCTGTGTCCTGTCTGTGCCCCGTCTGTACCCCCTGTCTGAACTCCCTGTCTGTACCCCCTGTTTGTACCTCCTGTCTTGACCCCCTGTCTGGACCCCCTCTTTGTATCCCCTGTCTGGACTCCCTGTCTGTACCTCCTGTCTGTACCCCCTGTCTATACTCCTTGCCTGTACCCCCTGTTTGTACTCCCTGTCTGTATCCCGTCTGTACTCTGTCTGTACCCTGTCTGTACCCCCTGTCTGTACCCCGTCTGAACCCCCTGTTTGTACTCCCTGTCTGTATCCCGTCTGTATCCCCTGTCTGGACTCCCTGTCCATTTCAAACCAAGTCACATACTACCAGCCACATAAGTATGATAAGTGGCTCATTTTGTGGCAACCATATTCACTAGTTAGATAATTTTGAAATCCTGACCCAGACTGATCATGCTGATATGGAAATAAACAAGTGTACAACGTGGAGAATGTGTATTTTGCATTGTCATTGGCTAATAATAATGCCCTTAAATTCTCTAATCATCATGATCATGATTATGTTTACGTTAGTTTGGCACCAACATCCAAATGTATAACATGAGGTCTTCAAATGATAGCGGTGCAATATCATACCAGTCGATTCTACAAACAAGCAGTACAGTAATTATTGGCTTGAGAAACGTTTTGTCTGGTACTCATAAGTTCTGATAATGACCAGTACTGTACTCATATGGTTGCAAAATTATCTGCAGCAGGGATTGAAACAAAAAAGGAAAAGATTTGTGCAAAATATTGGTTCAACTATTCCTTTTGACATGTTTGATCACGTTGATGTGTTTGAACATGTCACATCAAAAAGATACATCACTAATTTCCATGATAGTGAGAGTGGTAACAATATGTTCAATGTATTGTCAAGCGTTAAACCTGAAAGCCACAGGGTCATTGTCTATGTCAAAACCTGATAACACCAATGTTAAACTTAAACATCTAGGGCATCCTAATTCTAGATGTCCAAGAGACAAATAGTACAGCAGCAATACTCAATGAGCAGTGTTCGACACCGGTCTTCTGGTCCGAGTCAACATATTTCCTTGAGCATGTTGAGGACCAGCAAAATTAAACAAATGCTGGTCCGGTGGTCTAGTGAGTGAGTGTGAGTGAGTGAGTTTGGTTTTACGCCGCTTTTTGCAATATTCCAGCAATATCACGGGCGGGGACACCAGAAATGTGCTTCACACATTGTACCCATGGCGGGAATCGAACCCGGGTCTTTGGCGTGAAGAGCGAACGCTTTAACCACAAGGCTACCCGACCGCCCCTTGGTCTAGTGTTATTTCGGGGATGAACAAAGTAATCTAAGTCTGTACAACTTTCGAAATCAGCAATCGACTCTAAACTCGAAACAAAACCAGCCACCTAAACAACACTATGTGGTACAGTGGTTGCCTTATTGACTGGCTTCTCATTCCAATTATGCACACTCACTTGTAGGAACATAGTAAAGTATCTATGATTTAAGACCTTTTTGGGTCAGAGCGATTGTGTTTAGTAGAGATCCAACAGGACCAGTAGATTTTCTATGTGCTGGTCCTTTGGACCACTGACAAAGTTTGGCCATCGTCAAACACTGAATGAGGCCCCTTCATCATGTTCACATAGAACACAGATAATAAGTATGCCTTTACAAAACTATCAGCATGATCAGTAGTGTTCAATAGGGCTGGCTAAAAAGATCAATCATTGGAATTATCGTCGATGGTAAGAACTATCAAGGATTTTCTAGATGAAATTATTGTCATCGTTTATAACTTACATAAACTATTACGATGAAATAAAGTTTAGATTTACTGAAACAGACTTGTTATTGTCAATAATGTCAATTGTCGAAGATGGAAAGCAATTGTTTTTCGTAACATCTCAAATGTCCACAAAACAATCTATGTATAAATGCGTCACTGCTCACCAGTGCTGTGACATGTGTTGATTTCTTTCGGGGCTTATTTGCTTAAACTCACTTCTCCAATATTGATCATGTTTATCAATAATTGATCAATACCCATAATCTATATTGATAGTGAGCCCTAGTCTTCAACACCACTGAACACGCCACAAAGGGCAATGACTGACCCCAGTTGTTTGCTGAGTGTGGTGGGTGATGAAGGTGCTGCCGGTACTACTGTGGGAGTGGGTGGTGCTCTTGGCACTGGTATTGGTAGGCTCAGGTGCTATAAAGATGGTGGAGGACACCTGTCTGCGTACTTCTGCCGCTCCTTGCCTGCAATAGATAGGTCAACAGTCAAACCTCTGTAGTCTGGACCTGAAACATTTCTCTTCATGCTCTGCAGACAATTAGCAATCTTTACAAAATCTTTACATATCTCCAGCTGGAAATAAGTTTTTGCTCATTTTGATAGGTAGCTAAATCAACAGGGTACTAATTTATTAATTTAACATGTTTAAGACCACAAAAATCTTGTGGATGGAGCCAAGGTTTAGTGAAGGTTTACCGGAATGCAAGCCCTGGAGATAAGAAGATGGGGCACTGGTATCCATACATCAAGTACATGCAGATTTGTACCACTTGGCCACATCAGAATTCACCGTACTTCCCAGACTCAGAATAGGTTCAAAATGTTAAACATGTTTTATGGCTAAGCAAAATAATAATCCAAAACTGGTTAAAAGCTGATAAACCAGAAAGAAAATAACAGTTTCCAGATTATCATCCGATAATTTCTCAGTGTTAGCTGCAATGCCACTGGGTTAGTACCCCAGTTCATGCAGTCTATTAGGGCTGTGAAGAGTTCAAATTTACTACCCGGGTACCCATCCCCCTATTACCCGACCCTACCCGGGTACCCGCTGTAGGGCTCAAGAGATAGGTACAAAATGTCCGATAGGGAAACGTTTGACCTTACTCCTGTCAAAATTTAGATGCAGGTATAAAATGATCTGGTCATGCATACACTTAAGTTGACCATGTTGACTGAAGTTTTATCTTTATGCAAACATATAAAGTCAGCAGGAATGTGTGCATAATCGGAAAGAAATGTGAATATGTGTCTTGTGTAACCATAGAGTTCTAGATAGTTATTGCCATTAAACAATATAATTACATAACTAACCATGGGTCCGGGTAGTCCTGTGGGTACCCGGGTCCTACTCAGTACCCACCCGACCCGAGTTACCTGTCCCAGCCCTAAAGTTCATGCATCAGAGTGATTAAGAGCTTACTTGGTAATTGGATTAACCTATACCTGAAACACAGAGCAAGTAATCCCCTAACCAGCATACCATGCCAAAAGCTTTTCAAAACTTAAATTTAAGTTTGTATCCTATACTTGGTGTGTAGCAGAAAGGTTGTTATGATTATGAAACCAGGAAATTATACACAGATAATGTCATGTTTCTGACACTTATTTAATCAACATGCTGAAGTTTTGTAAAATTTCTTTTTATAGAGGCTTTCCAAGTACAGTACTCTGTTTTATAGTCTTGATAATAACCATGATAACTTTCGTTATAATAAATATTGGTCTCTTTTGGAGTGTGTGAGTGATTGAGTTGAGTTTAACGCTGCTTTGACCAGTATTCCAGTTGTATCTTGGCATGTCAGCTTGATGTGGATGGAACACCTTGGGTGATGCAGGTCTTAGATGTTTATACAACTTCGGTGAAACCCACGAACATAAGGAGGTGCTGATGCCATATTAGAAGAAGATATAGAACTGTCATTTTTTCATGCAACCCCCCACCCCCCTTACAGTTGATAGCTGTGATACATTTTAGCCATTTCATTCTTTCACTGTCATTTATTCACCACCCTTGTGCTCACTCCCCTTCCTTGAATCTCACTGGCTCCCCCTCCCCTACACCAGACCAGCCCCGATATCCCAAAGTTGTCAATGTCCCACCCATACACATGAGTTCACTTCAGGATCTTCTCCCTCTGTAAATGTATGTCTGTCATTGAATCATCAGGCTAAATCAATAACTTCATTCCCTGAGGATCAAATGAGAAGGGTTCATGACGTGCTTCTCCTGTTAGATCTGTGTCGCAAACTTATTTTACCATGTTTACAGATCAGAGAGAAGCACCCCTGTAGAAAATCATTGTTTGTGACTCATTTTCATAACGCACTCAACTTTTTAGACAGATGCACGTGGAACGATACCTCGCTTACTTAGATATATAATGTTTAGTCGACATATTTTCTGTGTTAAATAACTGGTAGTTCTCAGTCTTATTGCACACTTACTTGCTTAATTTCTGAGCAAAGGCTCTCTGGCCGGTAGAGGCCATTTTTCCTGTTATGAATGCGCACTACGTCATCAAAGTATGTGCTCTGGGTGCGTTTTACCGAACACTCCTTTCAACCGGCCTTATCGTGTTCTACTGCATGTCAGGTTGCTTTCTCAACTTCTGCGATATCACCGTAGTGTGTTCATTTGGAAATGAATCACAAACAAATCCTGGCAATATTGTACAAAAAATTACCTGCTGGCGTTTCTTTATGTTTCAATGATTGTTGAAGACAGAACGTGGTTTTCAGCATTTGTTTGCGTATTAGCGCGACACAACCTGATTATCAGGAATGTACAGAATCGTATTTCCCTTCTCAGTTTGATGGATATCGTGTTACATGACATGGTTTCAATATGGGAAATTTCAATTTGAATCGAGGCAGCAACGAAAATCAAATTAGGTTATAGGGCCTACATAGGGAAGCAATGCACCTCTTGTTTGTGCAGAGAATGATAATGATTTATATATTGCCAGTTCGAAAAGACGATGTGTAGGAGTTATTGTGAAAGTATTAGTATTGCTTTTGTTGGTGTTTTAATCATGATCTTCACCATACCGTCGAGATTCCGGAAAAGCATGCAGCTCCCCATGCAGTAGCCTTAGACGAGATTATTTTTTACATTTAATTATATTTGACCGCCTCCATATTGTCCACGGAAAGAGCGTCTGCCCAGAGAGCGGAAGTTCGGTGGTTCGAGACCGGCCGCCTCACACCAAAATACATAAAAATATGGTACTTCTTGCATCCCTGCCTGGAGCTCAGCATTACACGCGAGCACACACCCACACGCACGCACACATACGCTCATACGAACACACGCAAGCACGCAAGCACGCACGCACGCACGCACGCACACACACACACACATACACACACATATGCACGTCGCTATGTATGTGCGATAATCTTAAACGCGACTTCTAAGCCCATTTTCCCTCACCCCACCTCCTCTTCCTTACCTAGCCTAAACATCTGTGGTAAACGTGACGATACCATATGCCTTTTGCACACAGACCGGACATACTGAATAACGACGTGCAAGGCACTCTGTGTACTATTGTTCACATAATTTAAGTTTCTCAAACGCTCGGCTGAATAAATAAAATGAACAACTACGTACATTTGGACATTTTTCTTACCCGAGGGCAAGAAAACGTTTTTTACGACGTCCATACCCCATCTCGTCCTGTAATAACCTCACAATGAGACGTAAAAGCCATGTAAACAACAAACATCCCGAGCATAATGTGTGTGCGCGTGCGTGTGCGTACGCGTGCGCATGGCTACCCCCTGCATCCACCCTCTGGGTCTGTCAGTATTACATCTGTATAGTGCTTGGGATTTTAAACATCTGAAGCAATGCCACATAAAAATTGAATGGTTACTCGATAATGAGGTTTTAGTTTTTATTACATGAATGATTATTACCAAACGTCTAATAAATAAGAAAGCTAGGTCTATAACGTGCACGTGCACACCGCATGCATGACGTTGTGATTCTTATTTACTTTTACTTTACTGGTGCAATGTTCGACCTCAGAACAAGGCGTGGGTGCTTTAGGGGAATTAATGTTCGTATTCACATGTAAACAATAAATACGCATTCGGGTCTGCTAGATCGACTTATTATTGGTCTGCATGTTACCCCGGTATGCATAGAAGGGATTAATGGTATTGCATGTATTTACTGTAAAACACATATCTCCCGATCCCTCCGCGTAAAGATCATCCAACAAGACGGACGATTTTAAGAAACACCTTTTTAGGGTTAATAGAATTTGGGTATACAGTTTGATATGGAGCAACCTTATTATAAGGGTCACGACTACCTGGGCGTTGTGTTGCGTAACATGATAGTCATGTGAATTCATGAAACAAGTGGAACCCGCTCCAAAATGGATGCCTACCCGAGGGTTTGAGTGAGTGAGTGAGTATGGTTTTACGCCGCTTTTAGCAATATTCCAGCAATATCACGGCGGGGGACACCAGAAATGGGCTTCACACATTGTACCCATGTCGGGAATCGAACCCGGGTCTTCGGCGTGACGAGCGAACGCTTTAACCACTAGGCTACCCGACCGCCCCCCGAGGGTTTGAGGTGATCCGAGTAATGAGCTAAGCAGCCACGTGTTTACGATATAGTGCTGGTCCAGTCCTGATATAAACTGCCGAGCAAAACAAGTATACACTTGTAAATTGGATTTGACCAAACAATTACAAACGTTATCAAAACGTCACTAAGCTGAATACAGTCGCCGAAACACTGCAAAGGTCCAAAACACAACTAAATACTGAACCATCAAATGACAAATTCTTGCTTTTTTCATGTTTAGCTACCATCAAACATGGGTGTATATTTTCTGTTGTCCGGCAGTTTAGTTAGTGCGAGTTGTGCGCATGCCTTGCGGGAAACTCATTAAAGACCACCATCAGAGACAGGATATTATTTTCGGCCACGGCTACAAAACAAGAAGAGGAACACAGTAGCCGAACAAAAGAAATGATTTTTTTATGACATCCAGCATGTCTAGCGAACATGGTAAAAACCTTGGGATTTTGTTTCCATTTTTCTTCTGGAACGAATGATGTTTTAAACCAGCATTGGTCAAATGGCTGGTTCAGTGTCAAAGCTGTGGAGCTGGGCTTATCTTTACAAATCACACTGCATACTCCGTGGACTGTTATGGGTTCAACTATTCCAACGGAAAAATGTGACGATGCTTCATATAAAGTTCAAATAAATTCATTCTTTAATTAAATAAGGAATCTTTCATTACCTATTCATGAAGTCATCACCTCGACTTTAAGGTCGTGATTCACAATTTGCACGTGAATGTTTTAGCAGGACGCACAATTTGGATGTTTGCGTGTTTGTTGGGAGCATGATACTCACACACGTGGCTTTTGAACAAATGTTTAGCTATCAGGTGCTCATAAAACACTTTTGTTGAACCGTAAACAAAGCTTACCAATTCTCCGGCTTGCTGAAAATCAACATCTACGCGCCGTGGGTATGCTGTAAAGAGAATTGTCTGCCAGACATTTTAATGTTCACCGAAACACAATATAATCTCTTGACCCGTGAAGATTCCGGGGTTGAATAGGTCTTCAGCAACCCATGCTTGCTGTAAAAGGTGACTAACGTGATCGGGTGGTCAGGCTCGCTGACTTGATTGATGCTTGTCATCGATCCCAATTGCGTGGATCTATGCTCATGATGTCAATCACTGGATTGTCTGGTCCATACTCGATTATTTACAGACGGCCGTCATATAGCTGGAATATTGCTGAGTGCGGCGTTAAACAACAAACAAACAAACAAACAAAACAAACAATATTATCTCTTGGAGACGTTATCTAAAGCAGGGCAACACCAATGACTTGCCACGGGCCGGTCGTCCACGTGTGACGTCACGTCAACAAGACAACCACATTCGGTTGGTTCATTTACAGAATCAATTATACCAAACTTCAGCATTAACAGGTCGGGCAAGTCTTGTGTTGAGAGACCGCCTCCGTGGTCTAGTGGTAGAGCGTCCGCCCGGAGAGCGGAAGGTTCGATCCCCGGCCGCGTCATACCAAAAGACGTTAAAAGATGGTACTTGTTGTAACCCTGTCTGTCGCTCGGCATTAAGGGGCTAAAGAAGGACTGGTCGGCTCGGAGTCAGTATACTGTGTCTGAGTGGGGTATTCATGTTAAACTGCGGCATGGTATCTCAGTGGGCTAGCACTATAAATCGGCATCAGTCCGGACTAGTACAAGCAGCCAGACAAGCACACACACGTACATGCACGTCGCTATATAAGTGCAATAATCTTGGACGCGACGTTAAATCTTATTTCACCTCACCTCACCTTGTGTTGAGACCACTTATAGTGGCAGAACCGTACCAAACTGACTGAGAGAGCACAGCATCCGGCTCCGACATCCAGCGATACGCCCAGTTTTGCTTCCACGTCACCGTCAGGCATCCTTAGCTTGTTATAGACAGCATTTAAGATTTAGAAGATTCGACTGGAACAGTATACTGTTTACAGATGAGTCCAGGTTTCATCTTGACAGGCATCCAGGAGGACGTATTAGCGAAGCTTGCTTTAGTCAACGTCGTCAGTTTTAGGGAGGAGGTGTAATGGTATGGGGTGGCACCACAACTCATGGGAGAACACAACTCATCACTGTTAATGCACGTGACTTATTTTGCAGACATTTTGAGACAGCATAACATTGCTGTACTGCCATGGCAGACTGTTTCTTCAGACCACTCCTCCATAGAACATGTCTGGGATGAGACGGAACGACGCCTACTACAGGGCCAGAACTAGCCGGTAACGCTAACTCAGTTGACCAAATTAATGCTCCACATGTGGAACAACATCCCCCTCAATGCGCCACCGCTGCCTCTCCTCCAGCGACGCAAATGGTGGTTACGCCCGATATTAACATTGTTAATTTAGTTGTTACACCACCCCTCTTTTAGGGCGTGTAGCTCTGTTTGCTGATCAGATGAATGGCCAAATATTATGTTATTTTCACTATATATGAAGCACGGTTGTATAATATCTGGAAGTGCAAACTAGTTCATTCTTTTCTGATTGAATACCTTTTAATTTCTTCGCTTAACAAGCATCATAGCGTTTCAGCTTGATGTGGTATATGAGGTACAGGTACAGGTACAGGTGTCATGCGGACAATTAAAAAACATAATCAAGACGAATCTGGGATTCGAACCTACGATCATAGGATTCAGGCACGCCTAAGGGACGCAACTCTGCACAGCGATTCGCGGCTCTTTAATTTAGACGAATATATGCATACCTGGCAAGTCACGTGCACGATACTGCTACAGATGACAGGGCAACTACAAGGCAAGGGCCTGTTCCACAAAGCGATCTTAGTGCTAAGTCTGTCGTAAGCCTATGTTAAAGTATGGGAGTATCTTAGCGCTAAGATCGTTTTGTTGAACGGGGCCCAGGACGGCTGGTGAGCTCAATGCCTCAGGCTGCTGTCACTTTCATATTCGTTCTTGTTCTGCACATAAAACACCGTCAAGCATGTAACATGCACCTACCTATTTCTCCAGTCATAGCCGTATCCCCTGCCAAAACCTGGCCCGTGCTAAATTATTTCTTTTATGTGTGCGGTCAGGGATACAGGTGATGTGAAATGTTCTTTTTACGTCGCGTACAAGATTATTGCAATTATAAAGCGACGTGCATGAACGCGCCCGCGCGCGCGCGTGTGTACGTGTACGTGTGTGTGCTCCTGTACTAGTAAGGACTAATGCCGAGTTTATGGTGTTAGCCCACTGAGATGCCATGCCGCAGTTTAACATGAATACCCAACTCAGACACAGTATACTGACTCCGAGCCGACCGGTCCTTGTTTTATCCCCCAAACGCCGAGTGCCAGGCAGGTAACAACAAGTGCCATCGTTTAACGTCTTTTGGTATGACCGGGCCGGGGATCGAATAAATATGTGCATATCCCAAAACATAATGACACAGGCTAAGGTGTGAGGTCTGATTTATTTTCTGTGGTGATAAACCGACACCCTGGGACAATGAATACAATAATAAACATACAATTATATCCAGTACATTAAAACCGAAGCAGACTAAATAATAATCTACTACACTTATTAGCTATACATTTTATAACATTTATAACATTTAACAATTATAAGCTTAGATATGTAAGTTTAATGGATTTACACATTTAATATAAATATAGTACAATAAATATAATATTATATTATTTTATAACAATGCAAGCAATATATATATATATATATATATATATATATATATATATATATATCCGATGAATTCCCACTGGGGTGTATTTGGGTGGTCACAATCCCTCGTAAATAAGATAAATAAGATAAATCCCTCCATGAAGACATGTTTATTTACACATATGAACTTAACATGTAAACTATTATCAAATTATTAATATACGGTACAAGTTACTGAATACACAAATGTCCTAGATTAACACAGACACACATATAGTGAAATGTAATATATACAGTATACATACACTCACCATGCACACACTAATACTAGTAAAAGTGACATGTTTAAATTTAATTACGAATATATATATATAATTATGTAAATCACTTTAGTTTAATATATATATATATATATATATATATATATATATATATATATATATATATATATATATATATATATATGGACATTTATTAAACTAAAGTGATTTACATAATTATACTGGCATAAAATACTAACCTTTATATAAGTATTATCCTTTCTTCCAGTCCAGTGCACAGTGAAGTGTTAATGCAAAGAGCAGGGTGAAAACAAAGGGTTTTGAAAGTGGGACGCAGAGATTTAAAACTAGCCAATCCAGAGGATGCCTGGGCTTACACTCTGATTGACCACCAAGAAGTTGACTGACCCACTAAATAAAACATGACATTAGAATAGGGCTTTAATGATGATACTTGACTTAAAACTACTTAAGTATGCAGCCTGAAATGAGAAATACAATAAATAATTCTTAAATACTGCAATATCTGAAATATACAAAATAACATTATTGACGACATACATAAGTAAATTAAAAGCTAATTAATAAAACATGATCAATATATACAGAACTACTCTCTACTACAGTATTTCATCTTCAAAAACATTCAAATATATGTAATGTCCTATCTAGCTGTTGATCACTTGCCTTATAACTAGCACCATTGATAACAGTCTTAGAACCTACACCGAAACGTCGCTCCTAATTGCAATAAAGAATTTGTTCATCCATTCTTAGCACCAAGAAGTTGATACCATTAGTCAACTTTTTCCTTTTTGCCAAGATATTGTGCATCAGAGCAGTTTCTCTGCCACACACGCCATTATGAAGAGGTACTTCCTCTCGACCAGAGGCACTTCAGCCATGATGTCAAAGTTTGGGATGAAGAAATGTTCCATGGGTAGTTCTCCAGTGAGCATCTTCTTCAGTTTGCTAATGCACAGTTTTAGCCTGTTAACCAAACTGTCATTGCCCCAAACACCCTCTAGTGTGGTTACATAGAATTCATTCCACATCAGCGTCCTCAGCTGGAACGTGGTGAACTTGTGTTTGTCTACACGATACCCATGTTCCCGGGTGTATTTCACCGCAAGACGTAGTTTTGAGGCGATCTCTTTGCCCCCAGTAGCCAGACTCTCGTCAATCTTGCAACGATCCTGGTCGTCCTTTGCTATCTCCAGTATCATTTTCAAGATTCTTAGCACCTTCTTCTTACACGTGCGCTCTGCTTTCGACTCACTATTTCCAGCACATCCATCTTTTTTCTCCTCGCCCTTTTCTCCCATGTCGGCGTGTTTTGTAATTGTCTTTTCACTTGCTGAAAATGACAGCCGCCAAAGAAGATCCCTGTCTTTAGCATCAGCTATGGAGAGATATGTATTCAGTAAACAAACTTTGACATCACAAATACATGACATTTTACAGGCATTTGAATTCTCTACAATGTCATGGTTAAATTTTATACAAGATTATATATATATGTGAGATAATTTTGCCATGCTTTTGCCATGATGAGACATTGCCCCTTTATAATCACCAGCTGCTAGATTATATCAAGGCAACAACCTTGGTTTTGAATGACCTCATTAAGACTTGTTGGGATTGCCAATAACCAGAGTCCACAACATTTTAGATCAGATAGGGTTACATTAGCCGACTTGAGCTGATATACTCATGGCTCTCTTATATATGTAAAACAGATGCGTTAACTCACTGCTCCAAGACATAAGTCCTCATCATACAAACACAGTGTAGGAGTGTAATACCAAAGAAACCAAATATGAACAGGTAATTGTGTTTTGGGCAAATGGTTACAAATGTATTCGTGTCTGCTAAACTTAGATTAAGAGTAAGAATACATGGCCATTGAAAATACAGTAAACTACGGTTATAACGAACTCAAATGGACCACTAATTTTAGTTCGTTATAACCGTAGTTCGTTATAAGCATATGTACAACATCTATGCAGCAAATGGCCGGAACCAAAAATAAAGTTCATAATATCCGTCAGTTCGTTATAAGCGTGTTCGTTATAAACGTATTTTACTGTAACAAAGTATTATCTTTAAATATCCTCAACTTGAAATTGAAAATGTAGTCGAAAACATGTTGAAAGTACCTCTGTCACACGCCTTAGCCACAACATGGAAACCTTTCTTCGAGATGTCCTTCAGTCTTCCGTCTGAGCAGCTGCTGAAATCTCGAGCAGTGATTGGCCAGCCGGGGAAGTGGAGAGCAGGCACTAGGTCAATGGAGATGAGGAATTTACTGTCGCCGGTTTTTAGACCAGTGTCATAGGTGATCCCATAAGATGGGGATCCAGGTCCCAGCGTAGTGTCCCCTATAACAGAGAGTGCATGACTGAGTGGATTTTCCTTTCCTGTTGCATAAATTCATCCATTGGGACTGGAAGGGCCATCATGCTATACGAGTGAGTGAGTGAGTGAGTATGTTTTACGCCGCTTTTAGCAATATTCCAGCGATATCACGGCGGGGGACACCAGAAATGGGCTTCAAATATTGTACCCATGTCGGGAATCGAACCCGGGTCTTCGGCGTGATGAGCGAACGCTTTAACCACTAGGCTACCCGACCGCCCCTCATGATATACGAACGGTGCAGTGATTATCAAATGCTGTTAATGTTCCCGATGTCAAATCATGATGCATGGGTTTGTTCATGAATAGAATAGTCAGAATAGGTACAGAACGTAAATAGTCCCGTGAAGATCCGGGGTAGAATAGGTCTTCAGCAACCCATACTTGCCGTAAAAGGCGACTATGCTTGTCGTAAGAGGCGACCAACGAGATCTGGTGGTCAAGTTCGCTAACTTGGTTGATGCATTTCATCGATCCCATTTGCGTGGATCGATGCTCATGATATTAATCACTGGAGTGTCTGATCCAGACTCGATTATTTACAGACCACCGTCATATAGCTGCAATATTGCCGAGTTCGGGGTTAAACAACAAAACAAATCAGAATGTAAATAAAAGCGATAAAAAAGTCCATTGCACGATTCCGTCTATATCATAAGTACGTGTTTATGAATCATTTTCGAATAGTGATGATACCAGGTGTTCACAACCAGACGAACACCTGGTATCATCACCATCATCATCACCATCATCATCATCATCATCATCATCACCATCATCATCATCGCTCATCATCATCATCATCATCATCATCATCATCATCATCACCTTCATCATCATCATCATCATCATCAACGTTCATCATCATCATCATCATCATCATCGCTCATCATCATCGCTCATCATCATCATCATCCTCATCATCATCACCATCATCATCATCATCATCGCTCATCATCATCATCGCTCATTATCATCATCATCATCGCTTCTTGATAGTTCTTCATACACATAATCATGATACAGTCGGAATATGATGACCCAGTTTGCTTCAGGATAGCCCATATAAATTGTATTATCGCTAGGATGTAAATAACTTTTCTCATTTTCTGACATACTCTTTACTCGTCTGAGTTCCATGTCCGCCAGGCAACTGAAGACATACTGTCTGAATTTGGTGGAGCTCAGGAAGCCTTTGTTACAGAGACTGCTCAGGTCCGTCTGCGATTGTGTGACCTTCACATAGCAGAAGCCAGCAGGGGCTCCATGTGTAGACACATCCAGGCCCTTCAGCTGTGCCACAAACATACAGTCCATCTCATCAGGACGAGAGACCTGGAGCCAAAAGAAACAATATTTTAGGCATTTGTTTTTGAGGATAAACTTGAAGGTGCTGGGGTGTGCTGGATTGTGCTGTTTAAAGCAATAGGAATCAGTAATCGAGTCATATATGACGGCGGCTTGTAACTATTCGAGTTTAAACCAGGCACATCACTGAAGGCACCAGCAACTATTCACGCCACCGGGCCGTTGTGCTACGCTGTTAGCAAGTGACAGAATCTGACCACTCAATACCCAATTCAGACAGTTCTTAAGGAAAGCATGAGGTACTGGTGACTTATTCTGAATCTCAAGAGAGGGTAAGGTTACTTGATGTAGAGCAATGAGATGAATGTGCATACTGTCTTTAATAATAATCCCCACCCCCAAGATAAACGACCCGTGAAGATCCGGGGTAGAATAGGTCTTCAGCAACCCATGCTTGCTGTTAAAGGCGACTATGCATGTCATAAGAGGCGACTAACGGGATCGGGTGCTCAGGCTCGCTGACTTGGTTGATGCTTGTCATCCATTTGAATGGATCGATGCTCATGATGTCAATCACTGGATTGTCTGGTCCAGACTCGATTATGTACAGACCGCCGTCATAGAGCTGGGATATTGCTGAGTGCGGCGTTATACAACAATCAAACAAACAAACAAACCAAATGGCCGTTAACGTAGTAATCTCTCCATTAACTACCAGTTTATTGTGTTCCTTTCAAGGTCTCATAAATCTTGTCGATACTGTTTGCTACTGTGTTGTGCTTACCTTGGTGCCATCATAGTAGGATCCGGACTTCAGATCCTCCCAGACCCACGTGGTCTTCGTCTGCAGGTGACTGATGACTTTACAGACTAGGGGGTTGAACATTTCCCTAGCAGTCTTCATCTGATGCTTCCGCAGCTGGACCTCCGTCCCAAAAAAATCACTGATGTTTCTTGTATTGCTGATCATAATTATTTTATTTTCAAAAATACCATTTGCAAATTTGTCCAGTTCTTCTTTATCAGTGGGTGAAAGTGCAGGTTTCTGTCCATTGTATGTCTTCTTACTTTTGATATGCATTTCGGTTTGACGCTTTGATTTATCATAACAACTGAGAACCACATGTGTTTCTTCTCTGAGGGAAACCTCATCTCTCCTTTGATATTTCTCCGAATCTTGGCATTCTTCTTTCTTAATGTCATTTATTTTCTGTTTTACAGATGAAGCTTTTGGTTTTGCTGACGACAGAGCATCATCTCTCTTTTGACATTTTTTATGTTTTGCCAACGATGTGTACTTCCCATTACAGTAAGGGCACGTTTCCTTAGAATCTTGACATTCTTCTTCCTTTACGTCATTTATTTTCTGTTTTACAGATGAAGCTTTTGGTTTTGCTGACGACAGAGCATCATCTCTCTTTTGACATTTTTTATGTTTTGCCAACGATGTGTACTTCCCATTACAGTAAGGGCACGTTTCCTTAGAATCTTGACATTCTTCTTCCTTTACGTCATTTATTTTCTGTTTTACAGATGAAGCTTTTGGTTTTGCTGACGACAGAGCATCATCTCTCTTTTGACATTTTTTATGTTTTGCTAACGATGTGTACTTCCCATTACAGTAAGGGCACGTTTCCTTAGAATCTTGACATTCTTCTTCCTTTACGTCATTTATTTTCTGTTTTACAGATGAAGCTTTTGGTTTTGCTGACGACAGAGCATCATCTCTCTTTTGACATTTTTTATGTTTTGCCAACGATGTGTACTTCCCATTACAGTAAGGGCACGTTATCTTATCCATAGCTGCGACAACAACTTCTCCACGGTGGCCCTTATGAAGTAGAACTTCTGAACCAGTTTTTTACTTTACACACTGAGTCTTATGTGCTGCAAGGGAACCTACCTGGACCCTACAACATCCACCTTGTCTTGGTCAAACATAAGTTCCTTATTGTTTTAGCATGAGATTTCGGTGAGATTGCTACGTGTTCTCATAAATATGTTAGACATCCCATCTGAAAGGAAATATATTTTAAATTATTTCCAGTGGGACTGTCAGATCGATTAATGGAGGTATTGTGAAAAAAGCCCAATGATACTGGTATTTCTGTTGCCCTATCTATAATACAAGATGTAATTATTTGGCTCATACGGATCGCTGTAGGGTGTCCTGCGTCATTGAGCCCGGACTGACCAGTCGTCCCAAAGACACCGTAGTCCACTGTGCAGCTGTGTGGTTTAGGTTTGCCAGAAGTTTATAATGGTCTCAGTTTCGCCCTGGTTATCATCCGTGATTTGTATAGACCACATCCGTGCGCGTTGGTTACACCAAATGCTTAAGGGACCGACCATTTTATTTTCAGGGCTGTTGAAAAAGCCGAAATTGTCTGGCACAAAAAACATTGTTGCGAGGCATTTTGTGTTTTTTTAAAAACAAAATTAGGTTCCTACTTTTTTTTCTTTTTTTAAATATCTGGTTCTGCTGCAGTTGATGAAAATAAATATCTAGCCTCAATAGACACCCTCTCCTTAAGAATATCGAAAGGTCATACTGTTCACTTTTAAACCTACTCACTTGGTAACTTATGGTTATGACTGTGGTTTTGTCGCTTTTATTCTTATTAAGGAGACGAACTATTTTTAACCCACACCACATGTTTCTTCAGGAAAGCCACTGAACAATTATTTTCTGGTGTGAAAACATGTGGACAATTATTTCTTTTAAAGAAATTCAGACATTTCATTCTCTATAACCACCATGGCTGCTGGACCGCCTCGGTGGTTTAATGGTGGAGCGTCTGCCCAGAGAGCCGAAGGTCGGGTGTTCGAAATACCAAAATACTTTAAAAGAAGGTACTTTAACTTGTTGTTACCCTGCCTGGCGCTCGGCATTAAGGGGCTGAAACAAGGACTGGTCAGTATAATGTGTCTGAGTGGGGTATTCATGTCAAACTGCGGCATGGTATCTCAGTTGACTAGTACTACAAAATCGGAGTAGATCAAGCACGCACACGCACGCACGCGCTATATTAGTGCATTAATCTTGAACGCGACATTAAACCCCATTTCACCTCACCCAAGCGCCGCTGTATGTCAAACGAAGCTTACATTATTGTGCGGTTTTGAGCGACAAGATATCATATTTGTCTGAAAAAAGACCTTGTTTTGTGTTTGTTTGTTGTTTAACGCCGCACTCAGCAATATTCCAGCTATATGACGACGGTCTGAAAATAATCGAATCTGTACCAGACAATCCATTAATTTATATCCTGAGCATCAATTCACAAATTTAAGCGAGCCTGATCAACCGATCCTGTTAATTGCCTCTTTCGACAAGCATTGTCGCCTCTTACGACCAGCATAGAATGCTGAAGACCTATTCTAACCCGGATCTTGATACGTTGACTCAAGTTGCATGTCTTTATAATACTGGTGTCGTGTGGAAAAGAGAAAACGAATTCACTACATCCAGCTTACCTGTACCTGCTTCCCGACCCAATCATTGAAGGAATTAATTTCATTAAGTCTCATTGAGTTTAAAGGTCTGGTTTCACAGATTTGCTAGCTAATGTATATGTTGGAGTGAAATGGGGTTTAAAGTCGCACTCAAGATTATTACTCTTATGTAGGGACATTCATGCACGAGTGGATGTGCGTGCGTGCGTGCGTGCGTGCGTGCGTGCGTGCGTGTCTGTGTTTTACCCCCTTAATGCCGAGCGCCAGACCGGGACACAACAATTACAATCTTTTAACTCTTTTTGGGTATGACGAGGTTGGGTTCCGTATGTTGATGATTGTAATTCCGGACTAATGCCGGTTTTATAGTGCTAGCCAACTGAGTTACAACACTTTAACATGGACACCCACTCGGACAAAGTATACTGACTCCGAGTCAACCGCGGCCGCGCATCGAACCCCCGACCTTCCACTCTCAGGGTAGACGCTCGATCCACTAGACCACGGAGGCGACAACATATATTGAAGATGTCGTCTCTTGTTCATGACATGACATGACATGATATGACGTGATACAACTCAATATGTGACAGTGTATATTAATATATTGCCCACTACCTGTTTACCTGTCGATCGGGAACATATATTTATTATAATATTAAAATTACAACCTACTGCTATTTCAGAAATACGAGTTATATAACTTGATAATTAACGCCCTGGTTTAGGCTCGGACACTACAAATTAATTGACTCGAAACAGATAATTAGTAATTTCCCGTAGTCCGGTAGCTAATCTGTTAGTACGCTTTCATGTAAGACTTGAATACTCACTGTGCTATGTGTTCCCCTGAGAAGCCTCACTGTATGTGCAGTGTGTCCTATACGCGTGTTGAGGTCTCGATGACCGTATATGAGTGTTATCACCTCCGCCGAATCTGTGGGAGTGACCTACTTCGTCGGCTGGCGCAGTGGGGCGGACCGGAGTGAAACATTGCTGTTATTGTCTGAAATCTAAGGAAGTACTTCCTGGAAAACCGCTTCATTCGCTTTCGTTTCTTTACCAGTGGAACGGTGTAGACACGTTGTCATTGTGTACTAAACGTGGACGTGTTGGGGATTGCCTAAAAGTCGGGCCGGGCCAAAGTGTTACTGGCAAATTACTTTATTATCGGCGATCATACCTACGTATAATTGATGAAACATACACACATGACATTAATGAACAATCACCAAACAAAAAAGTGCACCATAAATAGGTAATTCGGAGTAAAGTGGAGCTGTGTGAAAGCGTCGCTGATCTTGGTAACATGTAAAAGAGCAATCGTTAAACGAAATAAGATCAAATACTTCCAGCTATCGTGATACAAATTTCCATCTGTCGGCATAGCGTTTATATTTATAGGAACGTACTATATATAAGTAAATACTACTTTATAATGTCACTGATCGTCGTATTTAAAGCAGACACGTTGGTTAAAGCACGTGGTTAAAGTAGACCTCTTCTCCCTATACTCTCAACAGTCACACAAGTGTTCGGTCCGACTTGGCCCGGGCTGTCAAAATCAACTTTAAACTCACATATGTATCATCAAATGGATCCACATCTTTCGATTAGTATTATATCTACCTAAAAATACCACTTTATAGTGTCTCAGATCGCTGTACTTAAAGAAAACAAGGGGCTCAAAGTGAAGCCCCCTTCCCTCTACATTCCCAACATAGTCTCTATCAGAAGTGTTTTGCTTGTGTTGGATCCGACTTGGCCCGGGCTGTCAAAATCAACTTTAAACACACAGATGTATCTTCAAATGTGTTCACATCTATAGAGTAGTGTAATATCTACCTATATACCACTTTATAATGTCACGGTACATTGTATTTAAAGAAAACAAGGGGCTCAAAGTGAAGCCCCCTTCCCTCTACATTCTCAACATAGTCTCTATCAGAAGTGTTTTGCTTGTGTTGGATCCGACTTGGCCCGGGCTGTCAAAATCAACTTTAAACACACAGATGTATCTTCAAATGTGTTTACATCTATAGACTAGTGTTATATCTACCTATATACCACTTTATAATGTCACAGTATATCGCATTCAAAGAAAACTGGGCCGTTAAAGTCAAGCACTTTTACTGTATTTTCTTAAGAAAAACCCTGTTAGAAGTGTTCGGTCCGACTTGGCCCGGGCTGTCAAAATCAACTTTAAACATACAGATGTATCTTCAAATGTGTTCACATCTATAGAGTAGTGTTATATCTACCTATATACCACTTTATAATGTCACGGTACATTGTATTTAAAGAAAACAAGGGGCTCAAAGTGAAGCATTTTTACTGTATTTTCTTAAGAAAATCCAAGTCAGAAGTGTTCGGTCCGACATGGCCCGGGCTGTCAAAATCAACTTAAATCGCACAGATGTATCATCAAATGGATCCACATCTTTCGATTAGTATTATATCTACCTAAATACCACTTTATAGTGTCTCAGATCGCTGTACTTAAAGAAAACAAGGGGCTCAAAGTGAAGCCCTTTTCTACCACTAAAAACTCAGGACAGCTAATTAAGGGCAAATGGTTGATTGATTACGCAACACCTACTTGACAAATACAATATCAGGCCCTCAAACTAATTACACGCACCCAACATGGCACCTCCTACACTTCACTTCAGGCCTTAACAGGAGAAATGCCACTAAGTCTACGCAGGGAACAGCTAAGCTTAAATTTCTGGGCCGCGTCCCAATCAAACCCTCTCATCCAAAACTTAATAAACCAAAATATCAGCCCCAAAAACCAAGCTCTAGCTCGTAAACACCCCTTACTTACCCCAATATCCCAAAGAATAACTACCTCAATGAACACCAAATTAAAAATCTTAAACAAAACTGCAAACAATCAAATATCTTCACCCCTAAACTTAAAATACCCAAAATAGACACAACACTAGCTAGCCAAATAAATAAACAAACCGACCCAAACATAGCTAAAACCACCACACTAGCATACATACACGAAAATTGGCCAAATTGGTGTCACATTTACACAGACGGATCCTCAGATCCGACCCCCAAACACACAGGTTTCGGAGTCCATACCACACAACCAACTAAAACCACACAATCCTTCCGACTCCCAAACAACCAATCAATATTCACGGCAGAACTAATGGGCATGGTCTCAGCCCTCCATAATCAAGAATCCAAAAATCACCAAAAAATCCTAATACTTACCGACTCCCTAAGTGGACTGCAAGCCCTCCAAAACAAAAATACCAAAAACCGACCTAAATTAATAAATCAAATACTTAAAAGCTCCAACGACCTAACTAAGGCAGGCAAACAAATAACCTTCTTGTGGATACCCGCCCACGTAGGAATATACGGTAATGAAAACGCCGATAAAGCAGCTAAACTATCCCTCAAAATCCCAGAAATAAGCTTAAACTTACCAATCTCAAAATCAGAAGTTAAAAGCGTAAACAAACAAAAAATCACCAAAAAAGGCATAACCTTTATCTAAACTCAAATAGCAAAATCAAAAATGTACTCAGCAAACCACTAACCAAACCAAAAAATTATCCATCCATCAAAAAAAATCGACAGAGTAATCACTAAACTCCAAACAGGACACACCAACCTAAATAACCATCTAAAATTTTAAAAAAAACATACTACAGGTAACTGCCCACACTGCAAACAACTAGAAACCCCAGAACACGCACTCATCCACTGCACACACTACCTAACACATCGAACCTCATTACAAACCACCCTCAATCTAAACTAGGCTCTCACTCTAGAAGCAATACTAAACCCACAAAATAAACTAGAAAAATTCAAGGCCTTAGGCGTATTCCTAATCAAAACGGAACTAATAAAACGCATCTAAAAACACTATAATCTACCAAATCAAAATTACATAAACAAACAAACATCCACCATACCCAGCTCCCTTAGTTCTCCTCCCCAACCCCATCGCCATCTATTCCAAATCTCAAAATTCCAAAATTCTATATAAGCAACCCCTAAAGCCCCCTCTTGGGTTGCACACACCACTTTCGCCCCTTTCGGAAACACATTAAATGGCCTGGCCGGGCCCGTGTGCGAAATACGCATCAGTCGGAAAGCGCTCGTTAAATCTCCAAAGTAAGTAAGTAAGTAAGTAAGATATAATACTAATCGAAAGCTGTGGATCCATTTGATGATACATCTGTGCGGGTTAAGTTGATTTTGACAGCCCGGGCCAAGTCGGACCGAACACTTCTAACAGGGTTTTTCTTAAGAAAATACAGTAAAAGTGCTTGACTTTAACGGCCCAGTTTTCTTTGAATGCGATATACTGTGACATTATAAAGTGGTATATAGGTAGATATAACACTAGTCTATAGATGTAAACACATTTGAAGATACATTTGTGTGTTTAAAGTTGATTTTGACAGCCCGGGCCAAGTCGGATCCAACACAAGCAAAACACTTCTGATAGAGACTATGTTGAGAATGTAGAGGGAAAAGGGTTTCACTTTGAGCCCCTTGTTTTCTTTAAGTAAAGCGATCTGAGACACTATAAAGAGGTATTTAGGTAGATATAATACTTATCGAAAGATGTGGATCCATTTGATGATACATCTGTGCGATTTAAGTTGATTTTGACAGCCCGGGCCAAATCGGACCGAACACTTCTGACTTGGATTTTCTTAAGAAAATACAGTAAAAATGCTTCACTTTGAGCCCCTTGTTTTCTTTAAATACGATGTACTGTGACATTATAAAGTGGTATATAGGTAGATATAACACTAATCTATAGATGTAAACACATTTGAAGATACATCTGTATGTTTAAAGTTGATTTTGACGGCCCGGGCCAAGTCGGATCCAACACAAGCCAAACACTTCTGATAGAGACTATGTTGAGAATGTAGAGTGAAAAAGGCTTCACTTTGAGCTCTGTGTTTTCTTAAACTACTGAAATATGAGACAATAAAGTGGTATATAATTATATATAATACTAGTCTTTAGATATAAAGAATGTTAGGAACTTTAGAAGTGCTTGGACAGTTATTAACACGTGTCGTGTCAGTCCTTTGACTTCCAGGAAACATCCTGTGTTGGTTTTACAAGAATTAGTAAAGGTTAATTACCTTAACACGTTAATTAATGAAAGAAGAGTAGTCAAAACACTGTCGTTTCCTGCCCAGGACACCACACCCCTACACGCTAAGGTCGGTGAGAAGCATTCTAATCAAAGAATACACACAGTCAAGACACTGACTTTTCTACAAGACGCACGGTATGTAGTCATAATCATCAGTTTATTACATTGTTGAAGGTGCATTTTTATTCAAACTCAATTAAATGAGCAAAACTATACGTTTGTGGACATTTGAGATCTGCCTAGATATGCGCGTTTCGTTTTATTATTCTGCAATCCATTTTTAGTATTACCCGCTGGCCCGGCCCGGCCCGACTCTTCTTGGCCCGACTTTTAGGCAATCCCGACGTGTTGTGTCTACAGCGATATACGGCAACAAGGAACGGTATACCAAGCAGTACTCTTTCCTGGAGGTCCCCGTTGTGTCGACAGGGACATATGGATACAGAATACTAGCAGTACTCTTTCCTGGACGTTCCCGTTGTGTCGACAGGGACATACAGGTAATTCCTACAGGTACATAATGTGTCTACAGTGATCTGTACGAGGTAGTACTAATTCCTACAGGTACATAATGTGTCTACAGTGATCTGTACGAGGTAGTACTAATTCCTACAGGTACATTATGTGTCTACAATGATCTGCACGAGGCAGTACTAATTCCTACAGGTACATTATGTGTCTACAGTGATCTGTAAGAGGTAGTACTAATTCCTACAGGTACACAATGTGTCTACAGTGATCTGTACGAGGTAGTACTAATTCCTACAGGTACACAATGTGTCTACAGTGATCTGTACGAGGTAGTACTAATTCCTACAGGTACACAATGAGTCTACAGTGATCTGTACGAGGTAGTACTAATTCCTACTGGTACACAATGTGTCTACAGTGATCTGTACTAGGTAGTACTAATTCCCTCAGGTACACAATGTGTCTACAGTGATCTGTACGAGGTAGTACTAATTCCTACAGGTACACAATGAATCTACAGTGATCTGTACGAGGTAGTTCTAATTCCTACAGGTACACAATGAGTCTACAGTGATCTGTACGAGGTAGTACTAATTCCTACAGGTACACAATGAGTCTACAGTGATCTGTACGAGGTAGTACTAATTCCTACAGGTACACAATGTGTTTACAGTGATCTGTACGAGGTAGTACTAATTCCTACAGGTACACAATGAGTCTACAGTTATCTGTACGAGGTAGTACTAATTCCTACAGGTACACAATGTGTTTACAGTGATCTGTACGAGGTAGTACTAATTCCTACAGGTACACAATGAGTCTACAGTGATCTGAACGAGGTAGTACTAATTCTTACAGGTACACAATGTGTTTACAGTGATCTGTACGAGGAAGTACTAATTCCTACAGGTACACAATGAGTCTACAGTGATCTGAACGAGGTAGTACTAATTCTTACAGGTACACAATGTGTTTACAGTGATCTGTACGAGGTAGTACTAATTCCTACAGGTACATAATGTGTCTACAGTGATCTGTACTAGGTAGAACTAATTCCTACAGGTACATTATGTGTCTACAGTGATCTGTACGAGGTAGTACTAATTCCTACAGTTACATAATGTGTCTACAGTGATCTGTACGAGGTAGTACTAATTCCTACAGGTACACAATGAGTCTACAGTGATCTGTACGAGGTAGTACTAATTCCTACAGGTACACAATGAGTCTACAGTGATCTGTACGAGGTAGTACTAATTCCTACAGGTACACAATGTGTCTACAGTGATCTGTACGAGGTAGTACTAATTCCTACAGGTACACAATGTGTTTACAGTGATCTGTACGAGGTAGTACTAATTCCTACAGGTACACAATGAGTCTACAGTGATCTGTACGAGGTAGTACTAATTCCTACAGGTACACAATGTGTTTACAGTGATCTGTACGAGGTAGTACTAATTCCTACAGGTACACAATGAGTCTACAGTGATCTGTACGAGGTAGTACTAATTCCTACAGGTACACAATGAGTCTACAGTGATCTGTACGAGGTAGTACTAATTCCTACAGGTACACAATGTGTTTACAGTGATCTGTACGAGGTAGTACTAATTCCTACAGGTACACAATGAGTCTACAGTGATCTGTACGAGGTAGTACTAATTCCTACAGGTACATTATGTGTCTACATGGATCTGTACGAGGTAGTACTAATTCCTACAGGTACACAATGTGTTAAGATAAGAAGAAAAAATCGCGTACATTTGATGTAGCCGAATTGTGTACAGAGCGAGATCCTTTTGAGGTCCTATCGCTTTACCTGTGTTACTGCGTACAAAAAACTTGAAATTTGAACTATATCGAGGGATTCATCTGGGTAACTCCGATGCGACCCTAGTTCCAAAAACTATTTGCGACCCACCAGGAAAAAAAGGACCTAATGGTTGCTGGGATACAATTGTGCAATGATGTCACAAAGACGTTTGAAGTCAACTTAGATCAGGAAAGTCGCCATGTGTGCTGACTGTACAAACATTTATTATATACGTCAGTGTGAAAGACTGAGTTTTCCTGAAGGTGAGACAAGTGATATTTTCATTGCAGTGAACTTAACACTTGAAATTTCACTGGAATGAACATGACACTTTGACTGAACTATTGTCATACAAGAGTTACTTCCCCCTAATTGTCGCCCTATTCCGTAAGCCCGTACACAAACTGTTGACGTCCCTTTAACGTTAGTTCCACGTTGACAAGGCAAAATAATGACAGATGGTCATACATGGGGTAATATCACTTCTTGTCGTTTGTTATTCTCTTGAAAATGTTTCGTTATAAACTGTAAATTTTTCATTTAACTCGTCAATCGAAACTGTTCGTTTCGCAAAGCGCCATTTTTGATACTTCACCAGCGTGTAGAATTACGTTTCAAGGTTTTACATTTGTAATGGAAAGGTTTAATCTTCGGTAGACAACTACACAAAAAGCATATAATAAATAGGATATTCCATGTGTCTCGTGAAATATCATGTACTGTACAAACATAGCTTATTTTTCTCGTTAGTGCATAATGTAATACAAACATGAGTTCAAAACATTTCAGCATACATGTTTACTTTCAGTTCATCAGACATTTTGCCAAAAAACTGCAATTATTACATAAACAGTTAAAGGTCGGAAAATGTGTCAAAATGTTTGATGTCACCCACAAGGTCCCTTATTCCTGGTGGGTCACATTTGTTGTGGCCCCCGGCTGTCAACAGGATATGGTATTTACAATACGCAAACACACTCCGCTCTGTTTATGAGAACACAGTGTGTATATAAAGCCTTGTTTACATTACAGTGTTGAGCGTAACTAGGAGCAACGTGCATCATGAGTACTGTGACGAAACAAAGGTGTCCTGATTGTGGTCGGACTTTCAAAAACTTATCAAATCACAAAATATGTCATAGTCGAGGTTCAGCAAAACATGCAGACAAACCTTCTATGGTTCAGAAGCAAGTGTGCCCTGACTGTGGCCGAGATTTTGTGAACCTCGCAAATCACAAAATATGTCATGCAAGAGGGACCAGACACAGGCAGACGTCTGATCCACCGCAGTCGTCTTCAAGGGCACCCGTGCAGCCACGGACCAACGTTGACTATCGTCAGAGGAACGCAAATCCCACGCCCAATCAACCTCATTACACACGATATGGCACAACTGATTACGTGGATACACCACCAACTACGCCACCCATGCGAGGGAATGTAAATGACCCACGACATGATCAAAGTGATTACTTGGATACGCCACCCCCAACGCCCTCTTCCCCCCAGAGAGAGCGAGTGACACCATCCTCAGTCACTCATTACCCACGATATGGTACAACTGATTACGTGGATACACCACCAACTACGCCACCCATGCGAGGGATTGTCAATGACCCACGACATGATCAAAGTGATTACTTGGATACGCCACCCCCAACGCCCTCTTCCCCCCAGAGAGAGCGAGTGACACCATCCTCAGTCCCTCATTACCCACGATATGATACAACTGATTACGTGGATACACCACCAACTACGCCCCCCATGCGAGTGAATGTAAATGACCCACGACATGATCAAAGTAATTACTTGGATACGCCACCCCCAACGCCCTCTTCCCCCCAGAGAGAGCGACAGACACCATCCTCAGTCACCCTTCTCTACCCGTCCATTCAGACGGTGCCCCAGGGCCGCGGGAATATTCATCACCAACCACACCCTACTCAGCCACAGAGTCGAAGTCATTATCCAGATGATACGTCTCCTCCACAACCACAACTCCCCAGTAGACAACGGAGTCATCAGCAACGTCACCATCACGACCTTGAATCCCTGCTGTATGGTCGTATATCGGACGCGTCTCAAAGGCAACAGTAAGTTTATGTTTAACCACGTAATGCCTTCACTCTTAAATATCCAAATATCTTACATTCGTCTAAGGCGGCGAGATTCGCTGTGCGGAGTTGCATCCCGGGTGCACGCCAGAAACCCATGATCGTGGGTTTGAATCCCTAATTATGTTTCAAGGTAAGTCAGCATCATACCCCTGCTCGTGGGTATCACCGAAGTGGTAAACGTCTGAGACCTGCATCACTTCGGGCTTTCCTCCCACAATAACTGACACGCTGAGATTATAACTGAAATACTGTTCAAAGCGGCGTTAAACCCAACCCCTCACTCATTCTAACATGAAACAATGATATGATATGGTCCTTTGTTTTTTAAAGAATTCCAAATTACAATGTGCCTATATAACTCTTTGCTTATCAGTTTAGTAAGACGTAGAAACGAGGAAATGGGGTAGGGCCTTCAGACGTTCAACTGGATTACAATTAGTACTTTTTCCTTCTAAATTTTACTGACACGATAAAAATATAAGACTTCAGTGTGTCTAAATTGAGCGAAAGGGCTGAAAGAGAAATCTAACCACGGGGAATCTTTGACATCTTAGTTACAGAAGAGGTCACAACGATTACAATAGTGGTCTCAGTGATGAGGATGCCCTGTCTGTTGCTATTGCTGCAAGTCGGGACCAACAGGAGGCTGATCTGGGATGGACCTTCAGGTCAGTTTCTCCCCATCTACAGGAACATAGAACTACAAAGGGACCAGATTAACGTGAATGTAGGATACAAAACGTTCCCCAAGGGGCCACACCAGTAATAATAAGACAATTAGAGCTAACCTTAATTGACTTGAATTGCAAACACGCGAAAACTTGATTTGGAAACTTGTAGACATGGAAACCTGTAAAATACAAAAGCCAAACGACAAACCTGTTTAAGAATTAGGTTGTCATGTGTGATATGAATTTTGTGTGCCTCCATACATTCAAGCCAGACAGGTCCTCCGCCAGATCTAGTGGATAGAGCGCCTTTCTTGAGTTAAATTACACTTTTTGCCGAAACTATTCTTCACACTGCATCCTTAAAACTGGTTTTCAGAGAAAGATCGCGAAGATCAGTGAGTAAGAATAGAATACTTTGATCATTAATCTTATATTTTGACACGATCAATCCAATATCCTCTATGTCTGCTTTCTTGATTACACGATATTAACTTTTTTTTATCAACAGAGATGAATCTGACACAAATGCGGCATCTACTGGTTCACCACGCAACATTGTCCGGGAGCATCGGAGTGGATGTATGGAGTTTGGAGCTTGCCAAATTTCGGTCAACAGGGACGCCGTCTGGCGCAGCAGCATGGCCTTCTTCAAGGATGTTGCAGTATCGAACAAGGCTAAACAGTTGATGGTATGAACAGATTGCCATGGTCCAGAACTACTTTACATATCCAAATTAGGATTGTTATAGTAAGTGTGTGAGTGCAATGTGAAATACCATAGCACATTTATTGTATAGTTAGGGGCGAGGTGTGGTCGCCTAGGTGTTTATGCATGCGCGTGTCGCCTCGAAGGCCCGGGTTCGATTCCCTACATATATATGTACAATGCGTGAAGCCCTTCTGTTGTTCTTGCTGTCTCATTACTGGTATTTGCTAAGACCAACGTAAAACTATACTGTAGTATTGACAAGTGGTTTCTTGTGGTAGGTGGTTTTCATTGATTCCGAGGACAGGCATGAGGAAGGCGTCGACACCGGGGGACCAAGGCGAGAGTATCTACGGCTGCTGTTGCAGTCCATCGTCTCCGACAGCAAGATGCTGCACGGTTAGTAATGAGTGGGTTGGGGTTAACGCCGCTTTTTGCAGTTTTGCAGTTATATCATTTGCCAGCTTGATGTGAGGGGAAAGATCCAAATCATTCAGGTCTTAGCTGACCATAAGTTTCTACCACACAACTGGCGGTGCCTCACTCCCGTGTCCCCCGTTAGTACTTTCTCTAGTATTAGTATAATCTTACATGTAAGGTGTCAATTTTATTTCGATGGGTTAAAAAACTCAAATCGATTTCTTTTGTCCTTCGACGTGATATTGCTGACACCTTACTGAAAGCGGTGTAAAATCATACTCACTTGTAGACACATATTTTTGAATACGCACATGCATTGTAAGGAAAATATAAATATATGACTATGTCTTGCTTATTTCGATATATATTCATTCAAACAGGGGACAAAAACCAAGGATTTCTGATTCGACCCAACATATTTGCATATTCGAAGAATCACTTCCGGGTCATGGGTGTCATGCTGGCCACTATAATTGCTCAAGGCGGACAATCCCCCGCCATATTTGCCCCTCCCGTTGTTGATGCAATATTGGATATCGATCAGTCACTATCTGTGGATTATGTGCCGAACAGATGTACGAGAGACTCTTTGACAAAGGTATGAAGTTACTAATAGTGCTATCTTTGTCTATAATATTCCCAGCTGTTTGACAGTCACGTAGTATATATATACACATGTAGAAACCAATTTCAGTTAAATGATGACGATAGTAAAATCAATACACGTGTCATGTCATGACTGTAAGGACATGTAACTGAGAAATATTTACTCCGTCGGAATTCACGGATAGAAGTGGCCCCAAATAACTTTGTCTTAAGAGGTGGAGGAGAACTGGGGAGAGCGGTTTGTGCATTTTGTTACAGATATATTTTCAGCCATTGCTTCAGTACAAACATTTTTATCTCTGAAAAGAAGAGGCGAACACAGCCAACATCCGAGGCGCCATCCGAGGCAAAATTATTTTTCTCAAATATTTTCTGGAAGTTTATTAATTTTTTTTATCCTAGTACACTCCAAGAATATACAGTAGTTGGTCCCTAGTATTGTATTCTTCTGTTCGTTACAGGTGTCGGAGGCTCGAGACGCGACGGAGCTGGAGGAAGCGCTGCAGGAGTGTGACTGGAGAGACGACCTAGATGGCATCCCCTCTTATGTCACTATGGCCAATAGGGATGAGTTTCTTAATGGATGTGTCCACCACTTTGTCATACTACAGAGCAAACCAATGGTAGACCAGCTTATTCAAGGCCTGCGTCACTGCGGGGTGAGTACCCTACATGTCTTCTTCATGCCATAACTGTATATCATATTAGTAAAGAGGCCGTTACTGGCTGCACCTCGAGTGATCTTAAACATACAGGTATGGCATTGTCATAGGACTATGTTACACGCTTATAGAGGAAGTACTTCCGGCGGAAGTCACTCTGTGGAGCGCGTATTGATATGTTGAACTGTAAATCTGTGCAACGATGAGTAAAAGATGCAATCATTCCACCTGGCTCTGTCGAATTATTTCTGACAAGGCATTAAAATGGCAAAGGCTTCTTTTTGTATTTGTTTGCTCTTGTCATCTCCTGAAGATATTAGGTTGGTCGAGTCGTTTAAGCATTCGCCCGTTACTCCGAACACCAGGGTTCGACGGATACACCATTGTTTGTTATTCCCGAGCCCTGGTGTGATATGGTTTCTATATTGCTAAAAGAGCAATAGAAGCATTTCCACACACTTGAGACATACTAACAGTCTTTTACTATATATTTTAATTTATTGTCAGATATTAGACCTCATTAGAAGACACACGTTGCGAGATTTGCTGGAGTATAGATCGGACGTTGAAGTCACTTCAGAAAGGGTGATGGATCTGTTGAAACCAGTCCCCAGTTACCATGGAGACGAACAGGCCATCTTTAACAACCTGCACCGATTCCTGCAGGCAGCTGAAGGTAAGGGTATAGCTGGCTTGGATGGGTATCCAAGAACCAATGTTTGAATTACGTTTTGGGACAAATCAGTGAATCCTATAATATTGGGATGAAATCTGATCGCGGTATTTCATTAACTTGTTTGTTCTTTCGGTGCCTATGTAAATTGTATATTTCATTGCCACGAATATATCTTGAATGAGTCAATTTAACCGAATGATCCAAGGCATTAAAATGTTAATTATAAAAACTCAACTGCATATCTTTGTTGGAATGTTATGATAGGAAATCTGTACTATTCACAGCTAGTGAGTTATTCCAAGGCTAGTCTTTTTGTGTATCACATCCCCGCGACAACGTAGCATTCGGCATGGTAACATTTACATTGCATTTATAATATTTTTAACTGAATCAATAATTCACTGAAAAATGTCGAAATTAGTTGATTATTATTACTTACCGGTACGGTCGCCGCGGAAGCGCGTGACGTCATCCGTTGGTTGATGACGTCATTCCAGAGCGTCCACAATTCTTCTTCACACTCAGTTTACTTCAGAAGAACGATTAATACAAAAAGAAGGAACAATATTTGTGTTTTCAATGTCGAATAACACTATATATGTTTTTTGTAAAAATTTATTGGTGCTATTGAGTATACGATGTCCCGAATTGTAACATTTGACATGATATCCACGGAAATCTGAAGAGTTAACTCTTGAGCGTAACCCTCACCCAAAAAGCAGTTCCCGCCATTCAGCGGCGTTAATGAAAACACTATTCCATTTGACTTTTACTTACATTGTTAACAAATTACAGGAATACATCTTCTTTTAAAAGGATTTATGACTATGCTGATTGTGAAAGAAAATAATGCCTTAACAAAACTGATAAAGTTGGACGATTTCATGTTTATTTCACCACTCGTGGTTTGTTATACGGGGAATATTAGCCCAATCCATTTCATTAGTATCTCTTTTACCAAAGGCTGAGACTTTATGATGACATATTACCTGTTATTTCACTGGTAAACTAAAAAATATATTACAATACCAACACAATGTCATTGTAAGAATTTCAGAAAAATGTCCGATGTAGGTTGATAACGACAACGAAATTGGATGTATAGTCTGAACAGTTCTAATCTTTGAGGGGTTTAAGGTACACTCTACTGCTTCATTTTATACCTGTTCAGCAACATACTGAACTGCAAACGTATCGCCGTAGCTCTGCGGAATAATGAAAGTGGTAGCTTTGCGGAATTATGAAAGTGGTGACTTGGTGAAATTATAAAAGCGGTAAGTTGGCGGAATTATATAAGCGGTATGTTTGCGGAAATATGAAAAATGATAACTTTACGGAATTGTGAAAGTGGAAAGTTTGCAGAATATTAAAGTGGTAAAGTCGCGGATTTACCGTTTTGGTGCCGCTGGGGTATCGCTAACATTTCGCGAAAAATACGTCAAAAAAGAGATAAGTAATGTAGAGCGGTAGTGTATGTTAACATATGTATATTACATAACGACATTTACGTATATAGTATTGATAGTTTAATTCATGTCATGAAAGTTTTTAGTTGCATGCCACGATCTGTTTTAGTACATTACGTTTTTTCTCTAGAGGGCCGCTTGTGTGACGTCCTCCGGGAGGGCCGATGTTTGACCCGCAACCAGACCGAGTTCGCACGGAGGATGACTCCAGGTAGACTGCTGACGTTTGTGACCGGATGTAGTAGAGAGCCAGCTGGCGGGTTCACGCCCCGACCCAGCATTGTGTTTAACTACAGTGACACCTGGCGGCTGCCATCAGCCTCCACGTGCAGTAACCAGATCCAGCTCACAGTGCACCCCAACTTGCTGGAGTTCCAAAGCTTTTGTCATGCGATGATGACGTCAATGATGAATGGAGAGACCTTTAGCACTGCCTGAGTTACGTGTAGTCATCATGTATCTTCTAATGGAAGATAAGAGGATAACAAGAAGTAACTCATGTGATAGATTCCGGATTCAGCAGAAGTATAGAGTATCCTCAACTTTGTGCTCCACTATCAAACACGACACACCTAAGATTTCACTCCTTGTACCATGGACCTTTTTCACTCAACGTGGTGACCATGGATATAGTTACATCTCTGTCGTCTCTGTTCGGGACCTCTTGTCAAAACTGAAAGCGAATGGCAGCAGAAACAAATATGTGAACTTCCTCATTGATAACATCTATGTAAAGTTTGGGGATAAAACATTTAGGTCTGAGTTAGGCTTCCCCATGGACAGTAATCTCCCCACCGCATGCTGATCTGTTTCTTTATGCATACAAACCGGAAGTTTCTTTTACGAACCGGAAGTTCTCCTCGTATTGGCGTAATGAAAACAAGTGAATTTAGTCAAGAAGTTAAACTTAAACTTCAGGATATCGATGATCTGATATCGTTCAATAATGGTCAAATAGCAAATTCCCATCCACTGATTTACCCACTAGAAATAAGGGAGTCCAGTGAGACCGCACTGTATCTTATTTAGCATAACGATTCAGAGTGAAATCTTTCCCCAAGACTGTATGACAAGAAAGATGACTTCAGTTTTCCAATAGTCAACAATGTCGAGCAACACTCCAGCAGCACAGGTCTTTGGTGTCTACTTAACGCAACTATTGAGATACAGTCGAACATGTTCCTTCTACCAAAAATGTAAATAGCACCATACGACTCTTTCTCGACAGAAAGGTTTCAACATTTAATGCTTTTGTAAAGTTGTCAGACCGTTTTATGAGAGACATGTGGAGGACATTTCCAAATTTGACGCTTGAGAATGCTTGATGCGGTTCCTTGCTTTGACTTGTACCATATGTTCCCGTGGGTTTTTTCCCGGTGCCTTTGTACAGGGGATGCCACCTGTGTGACCCGATGCCTGGTTTCATCCCTATTTATAAGTGATGCATGAATCATGCTTACGCTGTAGTCGGAATCGTACATTGGATTCTGCTTTTCGCAGAGATGTCTCATAATTATGTAAAGTTTTTTTCTCACTCTATATATTTTATATTCAAACTTTAACATATTAACCCGACATCACATTGTTTCGTCAATCGAGGATTGCAATCTCAAAATTTTAATTTTGTTTTATTTAATTGAGCTATTGGATGGTTTCGCTTACATTACATTAAATCCTTAAATCTGTATTTGCACTTTTGAGATTTTATGTTTTCTTTTTCAATTTCTTTACTGCTGGTGACCCTATAGCCAGCACCTATTATAAGTAACCTGAAATAGAAGATTGCAGTCAGAATATGTTTAATTACTTTCTTAACTTATTTGCATGGTTTATCTTAACAGCCTTCTGATCTGAAGCAAACGCGAATAAACAGTCTTACATCAAAATGGTGTTCGTTGTTGGACGCCGAACTCAGCAATATTCCAGGGTATCCTCCCAAAACGTAGACCTGCCAAAACGCCCGTTAAAACAACACTCGTTATGGCTGGTTGCATCAGTATTTAGTACCCTGTACCCTTAAGTAAAATGGTATCACCCATGTAACAAGAAAGAAAGCTAGGTAGAGTTCACAATTTTTTATTCAAATGTTATTTCATTGTCATTTATGATTATCAGTCATTTTCACTTGTTTATCATCAGTGGACCAACTGCATCCAGGTACTGAAGGGGTGTCTTTTCACGGCGATGAAGCTGTTCCTTCTCTCTGTAGACAACCTTCCTGGGTGGCGGTGCTGTTCCAAATTGAATCTGCGCTAGTTTCGCTCTCTCCGAAATTTTCTACCTTCTGGATCAGTTCGATAAATCTGAAGATGTTTGGATGCTTGTGCTGGAGGGACTTGCCGATTCCAGCTATGTGACGGCCTATCGACTCTGTTTCAACAAGACAACACAAGGCACCATACAACATTTTGCCTTTGCCAGCACAACCACCAGATCTATCACCTATAGATCTCTTGGAGGATCACATTGACCGTCAAATTAGAGTTTGACTAGATCGCCGTTAACACAAGGATCAGTTGGCACAGGCGTTTTGGGAGGAGTGGTGTTGAATCACATTTGATGATCAGACGTATCAAATCTCCTCATGGTCGAGTTGGGACATTGGTTCCCGTGGTATACACAATAATGACTGACAACTGTGACATTCTGAAGGATTAAAAGGAGTTTTATGTGCTGAGTTAGTGAGTGAGTGAGTGAGTGAGAGTGAGTTGGGTTTAGCGTCGCTTTTAACAGTTTTCCAGCCATATCACGGTGTGTCAGTTTAATGTGGGAGGAAAGCCCAAAGTGATGCAGCGTCGATTAAATGGCCGAGAGTGTGCAGGTGCTTAGTGGTAGTTAAGATACACGGAAAGCTACCGTTGCTATGGCAACTACTATGCTGCCAAAAGCAGCTACCGTTGCCAGACCCTAGATAGCATAGTTGGCAACTACCGTTGCTGGCCAAAAGTAAACTACCCTTGTCGGGCACAATCAGTAAACAATTATGGCAGCTACCACCGCAGGCTTGACGACCACCGCCGGAAGTATAACCCTGGAAGGTACTAGCTGAAATGCAGTAGCCTTAAACTCGAGTAGTGATTTGAAAGGGATTAGACCGAAACACGCGTGTACTTGAAGAGAGCTGGTGCGCCAATGGCTGGCCATAGAACCATGGAACAAAGGAGGGATGACGCTTGTGGTCCCCGGACAGGGTGCAGGGCGCAGGGTGCAGGGTGCAGGGTCCTATCCCTTGTGGTTTGATTTCGCTGTGGCCAGGATTGCTGTGTCAATTGGCAGTGTCAATAAATGTATCCTTCTTATCTGTTGGTCCTGTTAAATGTACACATAGTTTTAATAACTTGAGAATGAGCCACAGCAGAAGATTCATTTATTAAGATTCGGCAAGTTCATAATTAACTCACCAAATTATTTATTCATTTGTCTTTTCTCTGATATGGGAGAATGAGACCATACATAATGTGATTCAGTGTTGAATATTCTGATGTAAAATGTTCTCGTCATTCAAGTTGTTGTTCATATAACAAGACAACCATGAACAATTTAGAACAATTTAAAATATACCACTAAAGAACTTATAATGCATAAAAAACTAAAAATACCTTTCACAGCATTAGCACCGATTTCTTTAGAAATATTTCCTTTGCCGTGTTTTTACGTTTTCTTTCTTGTTGACTGCATTACTGAAGATGGCAAGTGGCCGTAGAAAGCCCTTTTCTTCATGGCTATTGTGTTATTAGAGGAGAAGGAGAAGAGGAGGAGAAAGAGACCCAGAAACTTGTTTTTAATTGATGTTGGCAAAGTACTTTGATTATTTGGTGCCACTTGTAGGATCCAAAGGAAAAATATGTCATGGCTCAAACAATAAGTTGTCTCATATTCCAGAGGTTGTTAAAGCACGCAACAATTTTCAATTTCGAATGTTGAGAAATACATTCTACAACAAATTTGATGTGTGAATGTCAAAAATATTTAGTTCACCTTACCGAATCGGCCGTTTACATTATAATATTAAGGCAAATTTTACCAGTATTTGAACACCACGATAAACCCATCATGTATGGAGCTTTATAACTGGGCGCGAGAACAGAACGTGACGCTCTAGCTGGTCACAAGCTGTCAATTCAATTCACTCTTTTGTTTCAGGTCGGCACAGTACATGGTTTGTTTTCAGAGCGAGATGAGTAGAATTGATTTTCAGTATTGCAATTCAAAACCCATACCAAAATCAATTCCATACATTATACCGTGCGTGTCAGTACATCAATATTTCAGATATCTTTCTAGGAAAAGCTCTAGCTTCTTTCTTTTTCTTTTCCTGGAACAGGCTCCAGAGTTTGATCACGTGACCTATAATGTATTGATCTACTTGCTGTAGTCATGGTATTTCGTTTTGTTACCAGTGTAGACAAGTTGTCATTGTGTACTAAACGTGGACGTGTTGTGTCTACAGCGTATACGTCAACAAGGAACGGTATACCAAGCAGTACTCTTTCCTGGAGGTCTCCGTTGTGTCACAGTGGCATACGGATACAGAATACTAGCAGTACTCGTCCCTGGAGGTTCCCGTTGTGTCTTGAGCGCCATACGAGGCAGTACTAATTCCTACAGGTACATAATGTGTCTACAGTGATCTGTACGAGGTAGTACTTATTCCTACAGGTACACAATGAGTCTATAGTGATCTGTACGAGGTAGTACTAATTCCTACAGGTAACTAATGTGTCTACAGTGATCTGTACGAGGTAGTACTTATTCCTACAGGTACACAATGAGTCTATAGTGATCTGTACGAGGTAGTACTAATTCCTACAGGTACATAATGTGTCTACAGTGATCTGTACGAGGTAGTTCTAATTCCTACAGGTACATAATGTGTCTACAGTGATCTGTACGAGGTAGTTCTAATTCCTACAGGTACATTATGTGTCTACAGTAATCTGTACGAGGTAGTTCTAATTTCTACAGGTACATTTGGTGTTTACAGTGATCTGTACAAAGTAGTACTAATTCCTACAGGTACATTATGTGTCTACAGTGATCTGTACGAGGTAGTACTTATTCCTACAGGTACATTATGTGTCTACAGTGATCTGTACGAGGTAGTACTTATTCCTACAGGTACTTAATGTGTCTACAATGATCTGTACGAGATAGTACAAATTCCTACAGGTACATTATGTGTCTGCAGTCATCTGTACGAGGTAGTACTTATTCCTACAGGTACATTATGTGTCTACAGTGATCTGAACGAGGTAGTACTAATTCCTACAGGTACATTACGTGTCTACAGTGATCTGTACGAGGTAGTACTAATTCCTACAGGTACATTATGTGTCTACAGTGATCTGTACGAGGTAGTACTTATTCCTACAGGTACATTATGTGTCTACAGTAATCTGTACGAGGTAGTACTAATTCCTATTGGTACATTATGTGTCTACAGTGATCTGTACGAGGTAGTACTTATTCCTACAGGTACTTAATGTGTCTACAGTGATCTGTACGAGGTAGTATTTATTCCTACAGGTAAATTATGTGTCTACAGTGATCTCTACGAGGTAGTTCTAATTCCTACAGGTACACAATGAGTCTTCATTGATCTGTACGAGGTAGTTCTAATTCCTTCAGGTAAATTATGTGTCTACAGTGATCTGAACGAGGTAGTACTAATTCCTACAGGTACGTTATGTGTCTACAGTGATCTGAACGAGGTAGTACTAATTCCTACAGGTACATTATGTGTCTACAGTGATCTGTACGAGGTAGTACTAATTCCTACAGGTACATTATGTGTCTACAGTGATCTTTGCGAGGTAGTACTTATTCCTATTGGTACATTATGTGTCTACAGTGATCTGTACGAGGTAGTACTTATTCCTACAGGTACTTAATGTGCCTACAGTGATCTGTACGAGATAGTACTAATTCCTACAGGTACATTATGTGTCTGCAGTCATCTGTACGAGGTAGTACTTATTCCTACAGGTACATTATGTGTCTACAGTGATCTGAACGAGGTAGTACTAATTCCTACAGGTACATTATGTGTCTACAGTGATCTGTACGAGGTAGTACTAATTCCTACAGGTACATTATGTGTCTACAGTGATCTGTACGAGGTAGTACTTATTCCTACAGGTACATTATGTGTCTACAGTGATCTGTACGAGGTAGTACTAATTCCTATTGGTACATTATGTGTCTACAGTGATCTGTACGAGGTAGTACTTATTCCTACAGGTACAAAATGTGTCTACAGTGATCTGTACGAGGTAGTAATTATTACTACAGGTACATTATGTGTCTACAGTGATCTGTACGAGGTAGTTCTAATTTCTACAGGTACAAAATGAGTCTTCATTGATCTGTACGAGGTAGTTCTAATTCCTTCAGGTACATTATGTGTCTACAGTGATCTGTACGAGATAGTACTAATTCCTACAGGTACACAATGAGTCTTCATTGATCTGTACGAGGTAGTTCTAATTCCTACAGGTACATTATGTGTTTACAGTGATCTGTACGAGGTAGGACTTATTCCTACATGTACATTATGTGTCTACAGTGATCTGTACGATGTAGTACTTATTCCTACAGGTACATTATGTATCTACAGTGTTCTGTACGAGGTAGTACTAATTCCTACAGGTACAAAATGTGTCTACAGTGATCTGTACGAGGTAGTACTAATTCCTACAGGTACATTATGTGTCTACAGTGATCTGTACGAGGTAGTACTAATTCCTACAGGTACATTATGTGTCTACAGTGATCTGTACGAGGTAGTACTAATTCCTACAGGTACATAATGTGTCTACAGTGATCTGTACGAGGTAGTACTAATTCCTACAGGTACATTATGTGTCTACAGTGATCTGTACGAGGTAGTAGTAATTCCTACAGGTACGCAATTAGTCTACAGTGATCTGTTCGAGGTAGTACTTATTCCTACAGGTACATAATGTGTCTACAGTGATCTGTACGAGGTAGTACTAATTCCTACAGGTACATTATGTGTCTACAGTGATCTGTACGAGGTAGTACTTATTCCTACAGGTACGCAATTAGTCTACAGTGATCTGTTCGAGGTAGTACTTATTCCTACAGGTACATTATGTATCTACAGTGATCTGTACGAGGTAGTACTAATTCCTACAGGTACATTATGTGTTTACAGTGATCTGTACGAGGTAGTACTAATTCCTACAGGTACATTATGTGTCTACAGTGATCTGTACGAGATAGTACTGATTCCTACAGGTACATTATGTGTCTACAGTGATCTGTACGAGGTAGTACTAATTCCTACAGGTACACAATGTGTTAAGATGAGAAGAAAAAGTCCACGCACGTACATTTAACTTAGCCGAATTGTGTGCAGAGCGAGATCATTTTGAGGTCCTAAAGTTTTTACCTGTGTTACTGTGTACTAGAAACTTGTAATTTGAACTATTTCAAGGGGTTCATCTGGGTAACTCCGATGCGACCCTAGTTCCAAAAACTATTTGTGACCCACCAGGAAAAAAAGGACCTAATGGTTGCTGGGATACAATTGTGCAAGGATGTCACAAAGACGTTTGAAGTCAACTTACATCAGTAAAGATCGCCATGTGTGCTGACTGTACAAACATTTATTATATACGTCAGTGTGAAAGACTTAGTTTTCCTGAAGGTGAGACAAGTGATATTTTCATTGCAGTGAACTTAACACTTGAAATTTCACTGCAATCAACATAACACTTAGACTGAACTATTGTCATACAAGAGTTACTTCCCCCTAATTGTCTCCCTTTTCCGTAAGCCCGTACACAAACTGTTGACGTCCCCTTAACGTTAGTTCCACGTTGACAAGGTAAAATAATGACAGATGGTCATACATGGGGTAATATCACTTCTTGTCGTTTGTTATTCTCTTGAAAGTGTTTCATTATAAACTGTAAATTTTTCATTTAACTCGTCAATCGAAACTGTTCGTTTCGCAAAGAGCAATTTTTGATACTTGTAGCGTGTAGAATTACGTTTCAAGGTTTTACATTTGTAATGAAAAGATTTAATTTTCGGGAGACAACTACACATAAAGCATATGATAAATAGGATATTCCACAAGTCTCGTGAAATATCATGTTTCTCTAACTTCAAGGGATTCATCTGGATAAATCCGATACGACCATAGTTCCAAACATATTTGTAATCCACCAGTAGAAAAGGGACCTTATGGTTGCTTGGATACATTTATACAATGACGTCATAAAGACGTTTTTTGTCAACGATCAGTGAAATCGCCATGTGTACGGACTGTACAAACATATCTTATTTTTTTCTCGTTAGTGCATAATGTAATACAAACATGAGTTCAAAACCTTTCAGCATACATGTTTACTTTCAGTTCATCAGACATTATGCCAAAACACTGCAATTATTACATAAACAGTTAAAGGTCGGAAAATGAGTCCAAATATTTGATGTCACCCACAAGGTCCTTTACTCCTGGTGGGTCACATTTGTTGTGGCCCCCGGCTGTCAACAGGATATGTTATTTACAATACGCAAACACACTCCGCTAATAATCTCTGTTTGTGAGAACACAATGTGTATATAAAGCCTTGTTTACATTACAGTGTTGAGCGTAACTAGGAGCAACGTGCATCATGATTATTGTGATGAAACAAAGATGTCCTGATTGTGGTAAGACTTTCAAAAACTTATCAAATCACAACATCTGTCATAGTCGAGGTTCAGGGAAATATGCAGACCAACCTTCTATGGTTCAGAGGCAAGTGTGCCCTGATTGTGGCCGAGATTATGTGAACCTCGCAAATCACAGAATATGTCACGGAAGAGGGTCCAGACACAGGCAGACGTCTGGTCCACAACAGTCTGCTTCAAGGTCACCCGTGTTGCCACAGAGTCGAAGTCATTATCCAGATGATACGTCTCCTCCACAACCACAACTCCCCAGTAGACAACGGAGTCATCAGCAACGTCACCATCACGACCTTGAATCCCTGCTGTATGGTCGTATATCGGACGCGTCTCAAAGGTAACAGTAGGTTTATGTTTAACCACGAAATGCCTGCACTTTTAAATATCCAAATATCTTACACTCGTCTAAGGCTGCGCAATTCGCTATACAGAGTTGCGTCCCTTGTGCACGCCAGAAACCCATGATCGTGGGTTTGAATCCCAAATTATGTTTCTAGGTAAGTCAGCACCATTTTCGTGCTCGTGGGTATCACCGAAGTGGTAAACGTCTGAGACCTGCATCACTTTGGGCTTTCCTCCCACAATAACTGATACAGTTTCTCCCCATCTACAGGAACATAGAACTACAAAGGGACCAGATTAACGTGAATGTAGGATACAAAACGTTCCCCAGGGGGCCACAGCAGTAATAATAAGACAATTGGAGCTAACCTTAATTGACTTGAATTGCAAACACGCGAAAACTTGATTTGGAAACTTGTAGACATGGAAACCTGTAAAATACAAAAGCAAAATGACAAAATCTTTAAGAATTAGGTTGTCATGTGTGATATGAAACTTGTGTGCTCCCATACATTCAAGCCAGACATGTCCTCCGCCAGATCTAGTGGATAGAGCGTCTTTCTTGAGTTAAATTACACGTTTTGCCGAAGCTATTCTTCACACTGCCTCCTTAAAACTGGTTTTCAGAGAAAGATCACGAAGATCAGTGAGTAAGAATAGAAGACTTTGATCATTAATCTTATATTTTGACACGATCAATCCAATATCCTCTATGTCTGCTTTCTTGATTACACGATATTAACATTTTTTTATCAACAGAGATGAATCTGACACAAATGCGGCATCTACTGGTTCACCACGCAACATTGTCCGGGAGCATCGGAGTGGATGTATGGAGTTTGGAGCTTGCCGAATTTCGGTCAACAGGGACGCCGTCTGGGAAAGCAGCATGGCCTTCTTCAAGGATGTTGCTGTATCGAACAAGGCTAAACAGTTGATGGTATGAACAGATTGTCCTGGTCCAGAAATACTTTACATATCCAAATTAGGATTGTATAGTAAGTGTGTGACTGCAAAGTGAAATACCATAGAACATTTATTGTATGGTTAGGAGCGAGGTGGGGTCGCCTAGGTGTTAATGCATGCGCGTGTCACCTCGAAGGCCCGGGTTCGATTCCCCACATATATATGTACAATCTGTGAAGCCCTTCTGTTGTTCTTGCTGTCTCATTACTGGTATTTGCTAAGACCAACGTAAAACTATACTGTAGTATTGACAAGTGGGTTCTTGTGGTAGGTGGTATTTACTGATTCCGAGGGCAGGCATGAGGAAGGCGTCGACACCGGGGGACCAAGGCGAGAGTGTCTACGGCTTCTGTTGCAGTCCATGGTCTCCGATAGCAAGATGCTGCACGGTTAGTAATGAGTGGGTTGGGGTTAACGCTGCTTTTTGCAGTTTTGCAGTTATACCTTTTGTCAGCTTGATGTGAGGGGAAAGATCCAAATCATTCAGGTCTTAGCTGACCATAAGTTTCTACCACACAACTGGCGGTGCCTCACTCCCGTGTCCCCCGTCAGTACTTTCTCTAGTATTAGCATAATCTTACATGTAAAGTGTCAATTTTGTTTCGATGGGTTAAAAACTCAAATCGATTTCTTTTGTCCTTCGACGTGATAGTGCTGACATCTTACTGAAAGCGGTGTAAAATCATACTCACTTGCAGACACATATTTTTGAATATGCACATGCATTGTAAGGAATATATAAATCTATGACTATATCCTACTAATTCGATATATATTCATTCAAACAGGGGACGAAAACCAAGGATTTCTGATTCGACCCAGCATATCTGCATATCGGGAGAATCACTTCCGGGTCATGGGTGTCATGCTGGCCACTATAATTGCTCAAGGCGGACAATCCCCCGCCATATTTGCCCCTCCCGTTGTTGATGCAATATTGGATATCGATCAGTCGCCATCTGTGGATTATGTGCCGAACAGACGTAAGAGAGAATCTTTGACAAAGGTATGAAGTTACTGATAGTGCTATCTTTGTCTATAATATTCCCAACTGTTTGACAGTCAAGTAGTATATCGATACATATGTAGAAACCAATTTCAGTTAAATGATGACGATAGTAAAATCACTACATGTTGTCATGTGATGACTGTTAAGGACATGTAACTGAGAAATACTTACTCCGTCGGAATTCACGGATAGAAGTGGCCCCAAATAACCTTGTCTTAAGAGGTGGAGGAGAACTGGGGAGAGGGGGCTGTGCATTTTGTTACAGATATATTTTCAGCCATTGCTTCAGTTCAAACATTTTTATCTCTGAAAAGAAGAGGCGAATACAGCCAACATCCGAGGCGACATCCGAGGCAAAATTATTTTTCTCAAATATTTTCTGGAACAGTTTATTAAAAAAATGATCCTAGTACTCTCCAAGAATATACAGTAGTTGGTCCCTAGTATTGTATTCTTCTCTTCGTTACAGGTGTCGGAGGCTAAAGACGCGACGGAGCTGGAGGAAGCGCTACAGGAGTGTGACTGGAGAGACGACCTAGATGGCATCCCCTCTTATGTCACAATGGCCAATAGGGATGAGTTTCTCAGTGGGTGTGTCCACCACTTTGTCATACTACAGAGCAAACCAATGGTAGACCAGCTGATTCAAGGCCTGCGTCACTGCGGGGTGAGTACCCTACATGTCTTCTTCATGCCATAACTGTATATCATATTAGTAAAGAGGCCGTTACTGGCTGCACCTTGAGTGTCTTAAACATACAGGTATGGCATTGTCATAGGACTATGTTACACGCTTAAAGCGGAAGTACTTCCGGCGGAAGTCACTCTGTGGAGCGCCTATTCATATGTTGAACTGTAAATCTGTGCAACGATGAGTAAAAGATGCAAATCGTTCCACCTGACTCTGTCGAATTATTTCATTAAAATGGCAAAGGCTTCTTTTTGTATTTGTTTGCTCTTGTCATCTCCTGAAGATATTAGGTTCGTCGAGTGGTTTAAGCATTCGCCCGTTACTCCGAACACCTGGGTTGACGGATACACCATTGTTTGTTATTCCCGAGCCCTGGTGTGATATGGCTTCCATATTGCTAAAACAGTAATAAAAGCATTTCCACTCACTTGAGACATACTAACAGTCTATTACTATATTTTTTATTGATTGTCAGATATTAGACCTCATTAGAAGACACACGTTGCGAGATTTGCTGGAGTATAGATCGGACGTTGAAGTCACTTCAGAAAGGGTGATGGATCTGTTCAAACCAGTCCCCAGTTACCATGGAGACGAACATGCCATCTTTAACAACCTGCACCGATTCCTGCAGGCAGCTGAAGGTAAGGGTATAGTTGACTTGGATGGGTATCCAGGAACCAATGTTTGAATTACGTTTTGGGACAAATCAGTGAATCCTATAATATTGGGATGAAATCAGATCGGGGTATTTCATTTACTTGTTTGTTCTTTAGGTGCCCATGTAAATTGTATATTTCATTGGCACGAATATATCTTGAATGAGCCAATTTAACCGAATGGTCCAAGGCATTAAAATATAAATTTTAAAACTTGACTGCATATCTTTGATGGAATGTTATGATAGGCAATCTGTACTATTCACAGCTAGTGAGTTATTACAAGGCTAGTCTTTTTGTGTATCACATCCCCGCGGAAACATTCGGCATGGTAAGATTTACATTGCATTTATAATATTTTTAACTGAATCAATAATTCACTGAAAAATGTCGAAATTAGTTGATTATTATCACTAAGCGGTACGGTCGCCGCGGAAACGCGTGACGTCATCTGTTGGTTGATGACGTCATTCCAGAGCGTCCACATTTCTTCTTCACACTCAGTTTACTTCAGAAGAACGATTAATACAAAAACAAGGAACAACATTTGTGTTTTCAATGTCGAATAACACTATATATGTTGTTTTAAATTTATTGGTGCTATTGAGTATACGATGTCCCGAATTGTAACATTTGACATGATATCCACTGAAAACTTTTGAACGTAACTCTCAGCCAAAAAGCAGTTCCCGCCATTCAGCGGCATTAATGAAAACACTATTCCATTTGACTTGTACTTACATTGTTAACGAATTACAGGAAAAGGTCTTCTTTCAATAGAATGTGTGACTATGCTGATTGTGAAAGAAAATAATTCCTTAACAAAACTGATAACTTTGGACGATTTCATTATTATTTCACCACTCGTGGTTTGTTATACGGGTAATATTAGCCCAATCCATTTCGTTTGTATCTCTTTTACCAAAGGCTGAGTCTATATGATGACATATTACCTGTCATTTCATACGGTAAACCAAAAAAAATATTACAATATCAACACAATGTTATTGTCAGAATTTCAGAAAAATGTACAATGTAAGTAGATAACGACAACGAAATTCCATGTATAGTCTGAAGAGTTTTAATCTTTGAGGGGTTTAAGGTACAATCTACTGCTCCAAATCATACCTGTTCAGCGATAACTGAACTGCAAACGTATCGCCGTCGCTTTGCGAAATTATGAAAGTGGTAGCTTTGCGGAATTATGAAAGTGGTAACTTTGCGGAATTCCAAAGGGATAAGTTTGCGGAATTATAAGAGCGGTACGTGTGTAGAGTGATAGAAGTGCTATGTTTGCGGAATTATAAAGGTGGTGACTTGGTGAAATTATAAAAGCGGTAAGTTGGCGGAATTATATAATCGGTATGTTTGCGGAAATATGAAAAATGATAACTTTACGGAATTGTGAAAGTGGAAAGTTTGCAGTGCAGAATATTAAAGTGGTAAAATCGCGGATCTACCGTTTTGGTGCCGTCAAAAAGGAGGTAAGTAATGTAAAGCGGTAGTGTATGTTAACATATGTTTATTACATAACGACATTTACGTATATAGTATTGATAGTTTAATTCTTGTCATGAAAGTTTTTAGTTGCATGCCACGATCTGTTTTAGTACATTACGTTTTTTCTCTAGAGGGCCGCTTGTGTGACGTCCTCGGGGAGGGCCGATGTTTGACCCGCAACCAGACCGAGTTCGCACGGAGGATGACTCCAGGTAGACTGCTGACGTTTGTGACCGGATGTAGTAGAGAGCCAGCTGGCGGGTTCACGCCCCGACCCAGCATTGTGTTTAACTACAGTGCCACCTGGCGGCTGCCATCAGCCTCCACGTGCAGTAACCAGATCCAGCTCACAGTGCACCCCGACTTGCTGGAGTTCCAAAGCTTTTGTCATACGATGATGACGTCAATGATGAATGGAGAGACCTTTAGCACTGCCTGAGTTACGTGTAGTCATCATGTATCTTCTAATGGAAGATAAGAGGATAACAAGAAGTAACTCATGTGATAGATTCCGGATTCAGCAGAAGTATAGAGTATCCTCAACTTTGTACTCCACTATCAAACACGACACACCTAAGATTTCACTCCTTGTACCATGGACCTTTTTCACTCAACGTGGTGACCATGGATATAGTTACATCTCTGTCGTCTCTGTTCGGGACCTCTTGTCAAAACTGAAAGCGAATTGCAGCAGAAACAAATATGTGAACTTCATCATTGATAACATCTATGTGAAGTTTGGGGATAAAACATTTAGGTCTGAGTTAGGCTTCCCCATGGACAGTAATCTCCCCACCGTATGCTGATCTGTTTCTTTATGCATACGAACCGGAAGTTCTCCTCGGATTGACGAAATGAAAACAAGTGAATTTAGTCAAGAAGTAAACCTTAAACTTCAGGATATCGATGATCTGATATCGTTCAATAATGGTCAAATAGCAAATTCCCTTCCACTGATTTACCAACTAGAAATAAGGGAGACCAGTGAGACCGCACTGTATCAAATTTAGTATAACGATTCAGAGTGAAATCTTTTCACAAGACTGTATGACAAGTAAGATGACTTCAGTGTTCCAAAAGTCAACAATGTCGAGCAACACTCCAGCAGCACAGGTCTTTGGTGTCTACTTTAGTCAATTATTGAGATACAGTCGAACATGTTGCTTCTGTAACAGTGCTAAAATTTCTATATTTTATTCAACTTTTTGTGAAATTCGCCTTCAATTCATAAATTGTCAGTTAACCATTTAAGACCTGTCGGTACATACTAGCGATTCAAAATTGTAAAACAACATCTGGCACTTAAGATTTACGCCGCCACAATCAGGTCGGTGGGCGAAACTTTAATTACATGTTGAATAACAACTGGTAGTGGTCAGCGCATTTTGGCACTTACCAGTGTACCGTTATCAGCTATTTAGCGGCAACTGACCAAACTAGAAAATTGAAAACGCGAAACCAAACACAAGCTGAGTGATTCTATCGGCATTTATAATCTTCTATTACTCAACTTTCCAAACTGACCGTCTGCTTTGGCTATTAACAGACCAAAACCATCATACAAAATTGTATAACATGTCCAGTCTTTATTAGTCCAAAGTCTCAAATTTCAAACTGGACATGCACGTGTAGACTTGCCTTCAGATTAACGAAGGAGGTCTCAGGTATAAATATAGGGGGAAATCGACTGTTTGTCATTCCTGCTTTGCCTGAGAACCTCTCTCTGTTTGTCTTTGAAGGTAAGTCACTTTTACTTGTTACTTTGCCATTTAGGTTAAACTTTGCTTAAAATTGTCTTTAATTTTGTATGAATATCTTGCTTGAACAATGAACTTATATTCTATGTATTCGAAATGCCGTTCGAATCTAAGCTGCATATTATTCAAGTATTACCAACACAAATTAACTACAGTAATTTATATGCGTGCGTCTCATGTAGAAATATTACTATTTCACAATCAGCGCTCGTATCCCACATGTTTATTTATTGGTTTAAAACTACTAGGCCAATTATTATTAATCACAGGTGTCGTGAATGCTTTATAATTATCATGTTTCAATGTTAAAAGTTTGCATTATAATAATGTATGAATTATTTGTCCGTGTATCGGTAGGACCAGTATTCATATGTACGTCGTGTTATTTACCTTATTGTATGTTGTATCGTTAGTAGAGTGGTTTTATAATGCAACAACGTTAAATGCGTCAATATGCATTAACATGATCGAGTTACTCGATATAATTTACGTTATGTATATTTATTTGCGTTCTTATGCCTGATAAATACGGTTCAAGAATATAACTTATGTCCGATGTTCATGCATCAAATATATTCTTTATATACAAAACCAAATCAGTGCAAGTACAGCAAAGTATATTATTCTTATCTGTAGCCCAAAGTATATTTCTTATTAGGTAACTACTTTGTGAGGGCATATCACTAGACTACAATACTTGAACGTAGCTTTTTGATCTAGATAAATGCACGCAAATTAAGCAATGCCTAATACATTTATGTTTTCCAAATTATACATATTATTTCCATTCGGTAAGATGAATTGACGCTGTATAGAATATCTCAGATACTATACTTTTAGCATAATTTGGACGCTACAGATAACGTAGTAGTTTTATGTTGTAGAATAGTTATAATGAAACAGGCTTTCCTATAGCAGTGTTTATATCCATTTCTAAATTACAGTTCACAAGCAATTTCTCTGTTTGGCGAAATCTCAAATAAGGTCCATAAACATTCACAATAGAATATACGTTCACTTATAATCAGTTTTAATTCATACATATTTCAAGTTTCAAGTACAGTATTCATTCATGTGTGATTTGTATAAGCATGCCCGCATAGCGCGGCATGCACAGGCGGCACCGCTCATTGTTATATAACGGCGCACTCACCAGCGCTTGGCACCAGCGCTTGGCACCAGCGCTTGGCAGCATCCTCCTCCTCCTCCTCATCATCATCACCACCATCAATCTCATCTTCCTCTGCTGAAGCTGATTGGAGTGAAATGGCAGCTCCACATGTCAAACTCCGGCCGTTCACTGGGCAAGAAGAGGCAACGTCCTAGTGGCAGGATTTTCAAGATTTTGTTGCATTGTTCAATTACAATGCTGACAAACAATGTCGCCTATTTCCATTCTATTTAGAAGCAGCGGCCAAGGTCTTGCACCAGGACTTGGCTGAAGAAACAAAGAGGGACGCCAAACTGCTGGAAGCAGCCTTCAAATCAAGGCTTGGGAAGCCAAAGGCTTTCGACGTGAGCCTTTTGCAGATGGCACAGACTTCAGATGAGACAATTCCTGGTTTCATCTGCAGAGTCGAGAAGGCCACCCGCAACCAGGACCTCCCACCTTCAGTCATCATGGCAGTGGCTGTCAATGGACTTCGACAATGGGTTGTCAACAAAGAACCCACTACCTTGGAAGAAGTCCGACACCATGCTGTGCTGGCTGAGAAGTCTCAGACAGGGTCCAAGGCATCAGATGTCAACATGGCGGCCAAGGTAGAGCAACTGTCTGATTTAGTTGCAACTCTGATAACTAAATCGGAAGCCCCAACCGTTGAAGTTGCAGCTGTGCCAGCAGCCAGGCATCAGCAACAACACAATCAACAACAACAACAACAGCAACAACGATTCCAGTCGTTACCAGGGCAACATCACCCTCAACAACAACTTTCACAAAGATGAAGCCATTTTTCAAGTCAGCAGCCCTTGTTGCCACCATCCTACCCACAACAAGGCTACCAACGGCAGTACCGGAACAACTTCTACCAGAGGCGTCCTTCCTACCAGCAACATGGCTACCAACAGCAACCACAGAACAATTACTACCAGAGTCAGCAGCAGAGGTGCCGGGGATGTGGTATGTACTGTTCAGATCGATTTTCCTGCCCACACTTTAATACTATATGTACATATTGCAACATAGTAGGACACGACTCCAAAGTTCGCATGAGGGCACATCATTCACAGAATGGAGGTCCTAGACAATGAGGACTCGCGCCTGATTCTCAGACCTCTGAGGTCAGGCACAAGAAACCATTGGTCTCACTTGTGGCTCCCTTGCTAAAGAACACTGTTCTGGTCAGGGTGAAGCAAGCGAAGAAATCAGCACTTGTTGACACAGGAGCTAGTGTATCCTGTGTGAACATGAGCTTCCTACAGAGGGTAGGTTATACCAATCAAAATCTGCACTTGTCGGATCTGTCTGAAATAGTTGGCGTAGGCGGTGAAAGACACAAAGTGCTAGGCTCCATTACCTTAGAAATCACAATTGGTCATCTCACCTTTTCTCAGCCCTGCTACGTTTTTGAAAAACATCATCATTCCCTTATCTTAGGCATGGACTTTCTTGAACCAAACAAAGCCCTTGTTTCCTTAGCAGACAAAATTCTTATCATTCAAGAAGGTCTTGTCTCAGTACCATTGATAGAAACTAGTGCAGGCTATGCTAGATGTAAGGAGCCAGTTGTCATTCCACCTCATTGTCAAGTTGACATTCCTGTCCATATTTCCCGTTGTAGGCCAGGCACAGTTCTCCTTTTAGAACCAGTTCCCGAACTCTCTAGAACTAACATTCAAGGTGGTAGATGTCTGGTCACCAATTCCAAAAAGGCAGTTTATATGCGGTTGCTAAATCCTAGCGACTTAAAAATTAATTTGAATACACAACGTATACTTGCCATTGCATCAGAAGTTGATCCTTTAAGTGTCTCTATTCTCCTGGATAAACCCGACTCTGACACAAGGTCACCTCAGGGCAGCTTTAGGTCACCCCAGGTCAATGTGTCTACAGTCTCTCAGGGCAGAAACAGGGCACCCAACTCAAATGATAGGTCACCTCAGGAACACTTTAGGTCATCCACACATACTCCCAGGTCACACGAAGACAACTTTCAATCCCCTCCCTGCACACAAACACCGCCTCCTGACCTCAAATTTGATCTTTGAGAATCAGACCTCACATTTGACCAAAAACAACAACTCCTTACCTTTCTCAAATCACAACATTCTGCCTTTGCTCAAAACTGGCCTGAGTTAGGTAAGACACATCTATACAAACATAAAATAGAGACAGGTGATGCTAGACCAGTTAGGCTTCCCTTTTACAGACAAAGTGCTGAGGTTAGGAAAGTATGTTCACGCCAAATTAAAGAAATGCTAGATGCCAAAATCATTCGACCCAGTTCTTCTGAATGGCACTCTCCTGTAGTAATGGTAAAAAAGAGAGACAACACCTATCGTTTTGCTGTAGATTACAGCGTCTTAAGCTGTCACAAAACCTATATTTTTTCCCCTAATTCGGTTTGAAGATGTTATTGATGCTGTTGGTGAAAGTCATGCTAAAGTCTTTAGTGTCCTTGGTTGTGCTAGTGGGTTTTGGCAGATTCCACTGCATGCAGCTACAAAACATAAATCAGCGTTCATTACGCCCGATGGTGTTTTTGAAGGGAATCGTCTCCCTTTTGGCTTGAAAAACGCTCCAATGGCCTTCCCAAAACACTATTTCTGAAGCCCTAAAAGAGATGAATTGGAAATATATCCTAATACATGTTGACGATATTATCGTCTTTTTTAAATCATTTTCCGAACATTTAACACATTTGAAATGCGTTTTCGAAAAGATCAAACAAGCAGGCTTGACCCTCAAACCCAGCAAATGCAAGTTTGCAGCAAAACAAGTTCAGTATCTAGGGCACATCTTCAACAAAAATGGCATTGAAGTGGACAAATCTAAAATAGAAGCAGTCATGCAAATTCCCCAACCAAAGAATGTCCATGATGTTCGCCACTTTCTCGGTCTTTGCAGCTATTACAGGAAATTTGTTCCAAATTTCTCAGGCATAGCATCACCTCTCTATGAAACTCTAAAGAAAGATGTACTTTACTACACTAAAACAAGCTTTAACATCTGCTCCAGTCCTTGCATATCCAGACCCTACAAAACCTTTTATTCTCACAACAGATGCTTCACAAACATCACTAGGCTATATTCTAGGTCAGAAAGGCTCAGATGGTAAAGAGCATGTCATCTGTCATGGCGGCAGGTCACTTCATTCCACAGAAAGAAATTGGGGTGTTACACAACTAGAATGTTTGGCAGTTGTAGAAGGGATCAAGGTATTTAGAGTGTATTTGGCTGGGAACAAATTCCAAGTTTACACAGACCACAAAGCTCTCACATGGCTAAAAAGTGTTAAACATGAAACTGGTCGTGTTGGACGATAGTCTATTATGCTCCAAGATTATGATTTCGAAATTGTGCACAAACCTGGGAAAGCCAATACAAATGCAGATGCATTATCTCGAACTAAATACCCTGAACCTAAAACTGCACCAGTTACAGATGACATACCTTCACCACCCTTACCATCTCGACAGACATATGCACAAGTAGTTGCATGTCCTGCCCCTCCTATAAACAAAACTATACCCATCCCAAACTCCTCCTCCATGTCAACCTCCAGAGAGACTTATCAGGATATGTATAGCAACAGGCCTCTGACCTCCCAAGTCACATCCACATTATCCCCTCTACCATCTGACCCCTCATCTGATTCAGACCTGTCCTCAGACCCTCCAGTTCCATTAGCTGTTGATTTCTACTATGCTAACGAAACTGTGGCATCTGGTCCCACTGTAATGTTTGCAGGCTATGACATTGATGATGAGCACTTTGATGAACAGCAATACAATTCTCCAGACCTACGACCAATCATTGACTACCTTTCAAATGGTGAAATTCCTCCCAGTTACACTGATGCCCAAGTCAAAGGTCTTGTTGGTCGTTCACATAAATATGTCATTAAAGACAACATCATCTATCATTTGTATCAGCCCAAATTTAGGGGTTCAAAGACCCACAGACCTCCACAAATCACTCAAGTTGTTGTCCCCCTTAGCAAACATAAGGACCTGCTTTATGCTTATCATGATTCCAAAGTAGGTGGCTGTCATCTTGGTAGAGATTCCACTTTTCAGGCTCTCATTTCCAAATATCACTGGCCTGGCATGTACCAAGACATTGAAAACTACATTAAGTCCTGTGAAGTGTGTCAGAAGATTAAGTCCCAGTCCCATGGTAGACATGCTCCTCTGGTTCCAATGCCAATTGGAGATACATTCTCTCGTCTCCACATAGACATCTTAGGTCCACTGCCTGAAACTAAAGATGGTTTCAAATATGTTCTACTTGTAGTTGATTCCTTTACTCGTTGGACTGAAGGCTTTGCAATAAAAACTCAGGATGCCACTGAGGTTGCTAATGTTCTCTTTAATCAGGTCATTACTCGCTTTGGTGGCCCAAAAACCCTTCTTTCCGACAGAGGTCGTCAGTTCACTTCAAAGCTTGTCAATGCTCTTTGTGAACTACTTGAAATTAAGCATCATCTGACCTCCTCATATCACCCCGAGACAAATGGCATGTGTGAGAGACGCAACAGAACTATTGAACAAGCCCTTAGAGCTTATTGTCCTCAAGATCAGTCCAACTGGGCAGACCTCATTCCATGTGTAATGATGGCAATGTGAAGCACACCATGTGCCTCTACAGGGTACACACCATTTTACCTCATCTTTGGCACAAAGATGCATCTCCCCATTGACACTGCCCTTCTTCCCAAACCAACTCTTGGCAAAACTGCAGAAAGTCATCTTAAATCTCTTCTTGAGAATCTAAAGATAGCAAAAGCAATTGCCAAAGATAACATGGAAATTTCTCAGGATGTCAACAAAGAACGCACGGACCTCAAAGTAAAAGAACCATCATATGCTGTAGGTGATCTTGTATTATTGCAGAATTCACATGTTCTCCCAGGCCAGTCCCCAAAACTTGCCGTGAAATGGTTAGGTCCCTACACTATCCTAGAATTAGGTCCAAATCACACATACAAAATTCAAAACACAGAAACGAACAAACCACACAAAGCCTTCATCCATGCAAACAGATTGAAACCTCACATTGCCCGCACACATCCCAACAATAGACTCCCAGATCATGTCCAAAACCCGAGATGTCAAACTCCAGTTCCAAGCAATGATGTTGAGGCACATCCTGACACACAGATGGTCCAGTCACAGCCATATATATCTGATCAAAGCAGGACACCATCTACATCTCAGTCAGGTACCGGCTTCTCACAGCAGCCAGACACCACATCTCAAGATGACCAAACATATCCTGTTGACAAGATTCTCGAATGCAAAGTTGTCAATGGCACCAAACACTATCACATTAAATGGTTAGGTTACTCCGAAACCACATGGGAACCATCCTGCAATCTCAGTCGGGACCTAATCCAACACTTCCATACATCTAGAACCATGTCCGGAAAAAGGCGCAAAAATGGGCGAAAATACTTTAAATAATACACCAAGGTTTCATCAGCTCCCACCTATCTTTGAGAAGTTTCTAACTGTTGCCTTAGATGATGAATGACCACCCCTTCTTACAGTTACGTCGTTTCTGTGTCTCAATAGTGCTAGGTTGTTCAGATGTTGCTGGCCAGAACATCATGCTCAACCAGGTCATCTCATCTAATGGTCCCATGTTCTCTTTCGTTTCTCAAAGGTTCATCATGGAGTCTGATTATCCTGTGGCTGCTCTCGTTTAGCGCCCCTTCTGTCCTCGCTTCCGGTCCAGTTCAATGTCTTAATTATAGGGTTGTGTTTCAACCATCATCTCAAATCAATTTTGATACCGATTACTGGATACACGCATACGAGGTGTAGCTTCCACATGTACCAGGCATCCCAACCATGAGTGGATGTCTTCACAGTAACAGAACCTGTGTCCTACTTCACCAAATTCAAATGCATCTAAATGTAATTAAAACTAGATGCGTTGCCCAGCTAAATGAAACTAGACAACAAATTATTAAGCTAATTCCAGCATCAAAAATACCTTCATCATCTAGATCTAAACGCGCTATTCTTAGTTTTGTCGGGTCTCTCTCTAAAACATTGTTTGGTACTGCTACTACCAGTGATGTAAACCTTCTCGCCAAACATATTAATGCTCTCACAAGACATGATATAAACCTTGCAAACACCATCCAACAACACTCTGCCCATCTCTCCTCCTTTATGAAGCTTGTCGACTCTAGATTTAAGAATGCACTTAAAGGTGTCAAAGCTAATCATGATGCAATTACATTTACAGCTATTGCTATGGAAAACAATGTCAAAACAATCCAGTCTACATTTACTGCTCTTACCGGCCTTTCGATTGATCAAATCCAACATGCTTCCATTATAGAACACCAGTTGGAAGAACTAAAGTTAGGAATCTTAGACTTAGCCAAAAATAAGTTATCACCATTGCTGGTAGCACCAGAAATTTTAGAACAAACAATTCATCACCTGTCCGCAGTTTTATCTAATAAATATCCCTACATATTATTATTCCCATGCTAAATTTATCTTTGTCCGTACTAAGTCCCATATCTATATCTCAGTTAAATTTCCACTCTCTTCATTGGCTAAACCCCTTTAAATGTATAAAGTTATCTCTTTACCTTTGCCAATCAATAGCACTTCACCACATTCTACCCAATTGTTAGACACTCCTACCTATTTTGCGTTGTCTGTTGATTCCCAGCACCATATCAATATTGATAGCTCAATGCTTGCCCTCTGTACAGGTGATGAATCTCATTTGCTATGTCCAGTTAGGCTTTCTCTCAATTCCATTACTAAATCTTCTTGTCTTTTGGCACTCTTTCAAAACAATAAACAGCAAGTTAAGGCACTTTGTAACTTCCGCTATGTAACCAGACCTCAACCGCCTACACTCATCTCTGTGGGTTCTTCAAATGTTTTTGTCTACAGAGTTCCATTCCTGACCCTTACTTGTCCTGGCACTCACCGTATGATTCCTGGTTGTCAATTTTGTCTTATTGCAACTCCCTGCTATTGCTCTCTCTCAACTGAAGATATATTTTACCCAGCCTCCTTCAGTTCTTGTCATTATTCCACCTCCCACATCACCCATCTCCATCCTGTCAATCTAGCCTTACTACAACATTTCTTTGATGGACTCTGCCCTCTCCAGTATAGCTGGGGATACCAATTTTAGAAAATGAATTAATTAATATTAATATTTTCCCATGCCATTTCCAATGTTTTGGCTGATGACAATCAAGCCCACCTCAGTTTAAAACGTGTTGCAGAGAGTGCTAAAAAGGATCAAACAATCTTTCAAACAATTGCTGAGCCACTGCTTGATGGTCAAATCAGTCTTCCTCCAAGTTCCTGGCTTGATACGAATGCTATTCTAGCCTTAAGCACCTCAATTGCATCAGCTGTGTCTATAATTTTGGTTGTTTGGATGTTTTTCAAAATTCGAACTCTATCTGCAGCACTCATGTTAGTCACTCGCGTTGTCCCCACTAAAGCAGTGCAACCACCAGCTCTTAATTATAATGATCATGCCACTGCTAGTACTCCACCCACGGACTTTGTCATCACAGATCTTGCTGACTACCATGTCTCAATCCTTCTCGGTTTTATCACACTTTTAATTGCCTCCATCTTGCTTATACTCATCCTTCAAAATGGCCTTGTTTTAGAACTTACTACCGGTCCTGAATGCGTCACTGTCCCTTTTTTGTCTTTGATTCTGTGCCCTGCCTACTGGGACATCCAGGCCCCATGTACAGTAGACAACCTTTGTGTTTCAGGATACATCTTTCCCACTCAGTTGATTGGACAGGCTTCATAGTAACAAATAAACTTACTAGCACATCCCTTACCGTTCCCTCAACCATTCAAATATCATTCTTTACAGCTCAAAAGCTGCAGCGACTCTTTAAACAGCCATTCACTGCCTATGTCCATCTAGTTCACAATGGATATTATAAGGTAGTGGACCCGACATCACTTCTACCTCAATTTTAGTTGTTGCAATATGTATTTCTATATTTATTGAATGTACATATTAGATTTGGGCATTCTGAACAGTACGTATCATTGTTGTCATGTTCTTGGATGTGATCATATCTTATGTTTGTACACTTAGACTTTAATAACCATTATTTTACCTGATGTTGCTTCAAGCTTTTGAGGTCAAAAGCTCCACGACGTCCAGGGATATTGTAACAGTGCTAAAATTTCTATATTTTATTCAACTTTTTTGTGAAATTCGCCTTCAATTCATAAAATACAAAATTGTATAACAACATCTGGCACTTAAGATTTACGCCGCCGCAATCAGGTTGGTGGGCGAAACTTTAATTACATGTTGAATAACAACTGGTAGTGGTCAGCGCTTTTGGCACTTACCAGTGTACCGTTATCAGCTATTTAGCGGCAACTGACCAAACTAGAAAATTGAAAACGCGAAACCAAACACAAGCTGAGTGATTCTATCGGCATTTATAATCTTCTATTACTCAACTTTCCAAACTGACCGTCTGCTTTGGCTATTAACAGACCAAAACCATCATACAAAATTGTATAACATGTCCAGTCTTTATTAGTCCAAAGTCTCAAATTTCAAACTGGACATGCACGTGTAGACTTGCCTTCAGATTAACAAAGGAGGTCTCAGGTATAAATATAGGGGGAAATCGACTGTTAGTCATTCCTGCTTTGCCTGAGAACCTCTCTCTGTTTGTCTTTGAAGGTAAGTCACTTTTACTTGTTACTTTGCCATTTAGGTTAAACTTTGCTTAAAATTGTCTTTAATTTTGTATGATTATCTTGCTTGAACAATGAACTTATATTCTATGTATTCGAAATGCCGTTCGAATCTAAGCTGCATATTATTCAAGTATTACCGACACAAATTAACTACAGTAATTTATATGAGTGCGTCTCATGTAGAAATATTACTATTTCACAATCAGCGCTCGTATCCCACATGTTTATTTATTGGTTTAAAACTACTAGGCAAATGATTATTAATCACAGGTGTCGTGGATGCTTTATAATTATCATGTTTCAATGTTAAAAGTTTGCATTATATAATGTATGAATTATTTGTCTGTGTATCGGTAGGATCAGTATTCATATGTATGTCGTGTTATTTACCTTATTGTATGTTGTATCGTTAGTAGAGTGGTTTTATAATGCAACAACGTTAAATGCGTCAATATGCATTAACATGATCCAGTTACTCGATATAATTTACGTTATGTATATTTATTTGCGTTTTTATGCCTGATAAATACGGTTCAAGAATATGACTTATGTCCGATGTTCATGCATCAAATATATTCTTTATATACAAAACCAAATCAGTGCAAGTACAGCAAAGTATATTATTCTTACCTGTTGCCCAAAGTATATTTCTTATTAGGTAACTACTTTGTGAGGGCATATCACTAGACTACAATACTTGAACGTAGCTTTTTGTTCTAGATAAATGCACGCAAATTAAGCAATGCCTAATACATTTATGTTTTCCAAATTATGCATATTATTTCCATTCGGTAAGATGAATTGACGATGTATAGAATATCTCAGATACTATACTTTTAGCATAATTTGGACGCTACAGATAACGTAGTAGTTTTATGTTGTAGAATAGTTATAATGAAACAGGCTTTCCTATAGCAGTGTTTATATCCATATCTAAATTACAGTTCACAAGCAATTTCTCTGTTTGGCAAAATCTCAAATAAGGTTCATAAACATTCACAATAGAATATACGTTCACTAATAATCAGTTTTAATTCATACATATTTCAAGTTTCAAGTACGGTATTCATTCATGTGTGATTTGTATAAGCTCGGCCCGCATGGCGCGGCATGCACAGGCGGCACCGGGGCGGTCGGGTAGCCTAGTGGTTAAAGTGTTCGCTCGTCACGCTGAAGACCCGGGTTCGATTCCCGACATGGGTACAATGTGTGAAGCCCATTTCCGGTGTCCCCCGCCGTGATATTGCTGGAATATTGCTAAAAGCGGCGTAAAACCATACTCACTCACTCACTCACAGGCGGGACCGCTCATTGTTATATAACGGCGCAATCACCAGCGCTTGGCAGTGACGTCACGTACCGTATTTAACCATTTTGCGCATAGCTGTTATCTGAATTTAGTATAGTGTATTCAGTCATTTAATGCAGGTCCCATTATTATTTACCGTATTAAATCTTGTATTCGCTATTTAACTCTGAAACATCTCAATCAACTATAGTTCATGGCGTCACATGTACCGTATTTAACGTAAAATAAGTTATTAGACATGTCATTGTTCATTCAAGAAAGGTGTTGTTATAATCTTTCATATGAATGCTTTTTGTAAACTTTGTTCAGATGTTATTTATGAGTACCTTAAATACATATCAAACATTATGAGTAATTATCAATGAGTAATTTAATGTGAATTGATTATAATGTCTACATTATATCAAATGTTCACTGCTATGATATAAATGAATATCCAATGAGTTGAGCTTACACTTTACACTTTGTTATTATTTTACAAATGGTATTTTAATTATAAATGTGTTACGTAATCTTATGCAATGTTATATTAAGCTGTTACTTAAATAGGTACTGAGACGTCTCTGAAGTTAATGCATTGTTCTCAAAGTGAAAGCACATAACAAGCAATTGTTTATTAACTCATGCCTATTATATAACACAGAATATCTTGACAGTTTTTGTATCACTGCTTAATTATTTGTCTGATTATGTCTTTGTGTTTGATGATGAAGGAGATTGTCAGATTATGTCTATATGCTTGATGATGATGAAAACATTCAATAAAGAATTCCTGCTTTGCCTGAGAACCTCTCTCTGTTTGTCTTTATACCCTTTATATATTTTATATTCAAACTTTAACATATTATCCCGACATCACATTGTTTCGTCAATCGAGGATTGCAATCTCAAAATTTTAATTTTGTTTTATTTAATTGAGCTATTGGATGGTTTCGCTTACATTTCATTTTGTTTTCACTGGAGCCTTTTATACAATTTTTAGCTCACCTGATTGTCATGGCCTGCTCGTCCATCGACACTGGACCAACGAAACTGAAACTCCACATGCTTCTTCCCACCAATGATTGTTAAACTGAATTTGTTCAAAAGGTTCGAATCCGTTTGTCTATAAATCCGCCTAGGCAGCCATTTTGCAAAAAGCTGTTTATGGCCATTACTGAGCCACTTTTGTACTAAACGTAACGGAATTTGGTATTTTTCTTTGATTCACAAACACATACACATGATAAAGTCGGAAAATGGACTCTGCGTTTAGCAGAGATTTCGCATGATTATGGAAATGTGTTTTGTTGCTGTTTTTAATTTGTTGGTTGGTTGATTGTATAACGCCGCACTCCAATATTCCAGCTATATGACGGCTTTAATTTGTTGAGGGATATTTAATATTTTTTAATATTTTGATCTTGTTTTGACAATGCTCTTTGAATCTCTCTCAAACTGAATATAGACACTGTAAACATCTGCTCCGTTATCCAGACTGAGGGAACTGAACGTGTGAAGCCAATTTCTGGTGTCCCCTGTCGTGATATTGCTGGAATATTGCTACAAGCAGCGTAAAACCATACTCACTCACTCCTCATCAACTGACAGCAACTTCTGTCAAATTAGCTACAGTGGCATTATTTTCGTCTTTCTTTTCAAGTTTGATTAAAACGTGTATAATGTTATTTAAAAGTGGTGTGCTTGTTGTTTATATAAAATAAACCAATTTATTCCAGAAAATGCGGGTTTATAAAGAATGGTTTGCATCAGCTTACAAACACAAAATACATGTCTATGAGTCGATTTGAGTCGACGTAGACTTCAGCTGTTTCAATGATTAATTTAAAATCCTCAAAGCTGTATTTGCACTTTTAGGATTTTATGTTTTCTTTTTCAATTTCTTTACTGCTGCTGACCCTATAGCCAGCACCTATTATAAGTCACCTGAAATAGAAGATTGCAGTCAGAAAATTTAATTACTTTCTTAACTTATTTGCATGGTATATTTAAACAGCCTTCTGATCTGAAGCAAACGCGAATAAACAGTCTTATATCAAAACAGTGTTTGTTGTTGGACGCCGAACTCAGCAATATTCCAGCTATGTGACGGCCTATCGACTCTGTTTCAACAAGACAACACAAGGCACCATACAACATTTTGCCTTGGCCAGCACAACCACCAGATTTATCACCTATAGATCTCTTGGAGGATCACATTGACCGTCAAATTAGAGCACGACTAGATCACCGTTAACACAAGGATCAGTTGGCACAGGAGTTTTGAGAGGAGTGGTGTTGAATCACATTTGATGATCAGACGCATCAAATCTTCTCATGGTCGAGTTGGCACATTGGTTCCCGTGGTATACACAATACTGACTGCCAACTGTGACATTCTGAAGGATTTAAAGTTTTATGTGCTGAGTGAGTGAGTGAGTGAGAGTGAGTTGGGTTCAGCGTCGCTTTTAACAGTATTCCAGCTATATCACGGTGTGTTAGTTTAATGTGGGAGGAAATCCCAAAGTGATGCAGCGTCCATTAAATGGCCGAGAGTGTGCAGGTGCTTAGTGGTAGTTAAGATACACGGAAAGCTACCGTTGCCATGGCAACTACTATGCTGCCAAAGCAGCTACCGTTGCCAGACCCTAGATAGCATAGTTGGCAACTACCGTTGCTGGCCAAAAGTAAACGATCCTTGTTTGGCACAATCAGTAAACCATTGTGGCAGCTACCACCGCAGGCTTGACGACTACCGCCGGAAGTATAACCCTGGAAGGTACTAGCTGAAATGCAGTAGCCTTAAACTCGAGTAGTGATTTGGAAGGGATTAGACCGAAACGCGCGTGTACTTGAAGAGAGCTGGTGCGCCAATGGCTGACCATAGAACCATGGAACAAAGGAGGGATGACGCTTGTGGTCCCCGGACAGGATGCAGGGCGCAGGGTGCAGGGCGCAGGGCGCAGGGTGTAGGGCGCAGGGTGCAGGGCGCAGGGTCCTATCCCTTGTGGTTTGATTTCACTGTGGCCAGGATTGCTGTCATTTTTGGCAGTGTAAATAAATTCATCCTTCTTATCTGTTGGTCCTGTTAAATGTACACATAGTTTTAATAACGTGAGAATGAGCCACAGCAGAAGATTTGTTTATTAAGATTCGGCAAGTTCATTATTAACTCACCAAATTATTTATTCATTTGACTTTTCTCTGATATGGGAGAATGAGGCCATACATAATGTGATTCAGTGTTGAATATTCTAATGTAAAATGTTCACGTCATTCAAATTGTTGTTCATATAACAAGACAACCATGAACAATTTAGAACAATTTAAAATATACCACTAAAGAATTTATCATGCATAAAATACCTTAAAATACCTTTCACAGCATTAGCACCGATTTCTTTAGAAATATTTCCTTTGCCATGTTTTAACGTTTTCTTTCTTGTGGACTGCATCACTGAAGATGGCAAGTGGCCGTAGAAATCCCTTTTCTTTATGGCTATTGTGTTATCAGAGGAGAAGGAGAAGAGGAGGAGAAAGAGACCCAGAAACTTGTTTTTAATTGATGTTGGCAAAGTACTTTGATTATTTGGTGCCACTTGTAGGATCCAAATTTAACCAGTATTTGAACACCACGATAAACCCATCTTATATGGAGCTTTATAACTGGGCGCGAGAACAGAACGTGACGCTCTAGCTGGTCACAAGCTGTCAATTCAATTCACTCTTTCGTTTCAGGTCGGCACAGTACATGGTTTGTTTTCAGAGCGAGATGAGTAGAATTGATTTTCAGTATTGCAATTCAAAACCCATACCAAAATCAATTCCATACATTATACCGTGCGTGTCAGTACATCAATATTTCAGATATCTTTCTAGGAAAAGCTCTAGCTTCTTTCTTTTTCTTTTCCTGGAACAGGCTCCAGAGTTTGATCACGTGACCTATAATGTATTGATCTACTTGCTGTAGTCATGGTATTTCGTTTTGTTACCAGTGTAGACAAGTTGTCATTGTGTACTAAACGTGGACGTGTTGTGTCTACAGCGATATACGTCAACAAGGAACGGTATACCAAGCAGTACTCTTTCCTGGAGGTCTCCGTTGTGTCACAGTGGCATACGGATACAGAATACTAGCAGTACTCGTCCCTGGAGGTTCCCGTTGTGTCTTGAGCGCCATACGAGGTAGTACTAATTCCTACAGGTACATAATGTGTCTACAGTGATCTGTACGAGGTAGTACTAATTCCTACAGGTACATTATGTGTCTACAGTGATCTGTACGAGGTAGTACTTATTCCTACAGGTACACAATGAGTCTATAGTGATCTGTACGAGGTAGTACTAATTCCTACAGGTACACAATGAGTCTCTAGTGATCTGTACGAGGTAGTACTAATTCCTACAGGTACATTATGTGTCTACAGTGATCTGTTCGAGGTAGTACTAATTCCTACAGGTACATAATGTGTCTACAGTGATCTGTACGACGTAGTACTAATTCCTATAGGTACATTATGTGTGTATAGTGATCTGTTCGAGGTAGTACTAATTCCTACAGGTACATAATGTGTCTACAGTGATCTGTACGACGTAGTACTAATTCCTACAGGTACATTATATGTCTACAGTGATCTGTACGAGGTAGTACTAATTCCTACAGGTACATAATGTGTCTACAGTGATCTGTTCGAGGTAGTACTAATTCCTACAGGTACATAATGTGTCTACAGTTATCTGACGAGGTAGTACTAATTCCTACAGGTACACAATGTGTTAAGATGAGAAGAAAAAAGTCCACGCACGTACATTTAACGTAGCCGAATTGTGTGCAGAGCGAGATCCTTTTGAGGTTCTAAAGTTTTTACCTGTGTTACTGTGTATTAGAAACTTGTAATTTGAACTATTTCAAGGGGTTCATCTGGGTAACTCCGATGCGACCCTAGTTCCAAAAACTATTTGTGACCCACCGGGAAAAAAAGGACCTAATGGTTGCTAGGATACAATTGTGCAATGATGTCACAAAGACGTTTGAAGTCAACTTACATCAGTGAAGATCGCCATGTGTGCTGACTGTACAAACATTTATTATATACGTCAGTGTGAAAGACTGAGTTTTCCTGAAGGTGAGACAAGTGACATTTTCATTGCAGTGAACTTAACACTTGAAATTTCACTGCAATCAAAGTAACACTTTGACTGAACTATTGTCATACAAGAGTTACTTCCCCCTAATTGTCTCCCTTTTCCGTAAGCCCGTACACAAACTGTTGACGTCCCCTTAACGTTAGTTCCACGTTGACAAGGCAAAATAATGACAGATGGTCATACATGGGGTAATATCACTTCTTGTCGTTTGTTATTCTCTAGAAAGTGTTTCATTATAAACTGTAAATTTTTCATTTAACTCGTCAATCGAAACTGTTCGTTTCGCAAAGAGCAATTTTTGATACTTGTAGCGTGTAGAATTACGTTTCAAGGTTTTACATTTGTAATGAAAAGATTTAATTTTCGGGAGACAACTACACATAAAGCATATGATAAATAGGATATTCCACAAGTCTCGTGAAATATCATGTTTCTCTAACCTACTTCAAGGGATTCATCTGGATAAATCCGATACGACCATAATTCCAAACATATTTGTGATCCACCAGTAGAAAAGGGACCTTATGGTTGCTTGGATACATTTATGCAATGACGTCATAAAGACGTTTTTTGTCAACGATCAGTGAAATCGCCATGTGTACGGACTGTACAAACATATCTTATTTTTTTCTCGTTAGTGCATAATGTAATACAAACATGAGTTCAAAACCTTTCAGCATACATGTTTACTTTCAGTTCATCAGACATTTTGCCAAAAAAACTGCAATTATTACATAAACAGTTAAAAGTCGGAAAATGAGTCCAAATGTTTGATGTCACAAACAAGGTCCCTTATTCCTGGTGGGTCACATTTGTTGTGGCCCCCGGCTGTCAACAGGATATGATATTTACAAAACGCAAACACACTCCGCTCTGTTTATGAGAACACAGTGTGTATATAAAGCCTTGTTTACATTACAGTGTTGAGCGTAACTAGGAGCAACGTCCATCATGCGTACTGTGACGAAACAAAGATGCCCTGATTGTGGCCGAGATTTTGTAAACCTCGCAAATCACAACATCTGTCATGGAAGAGGGACCAGACACAGGCAGACGTCTGATCCACCGCAGTCTGCTTCAAGGTCACCCGCGCAGCCACGGACCAACGTTGACTATCGTCAGAGGAACGCAAATCCCACGCCCAATCAACCTCTGTACACACGATATGGTACAACTAATTACTGGGATACGCCACCCCCAACGCCCTCTTCCCCCCAGAGAGAGCGACAGACACCATCCTCAGTCACTCTTCTCTACCCGTCCATTCAGACGGTGCCCCAGGGCCGCGGGAATACTCATCACCAACCACCCACTACTCAGCCACAGAGTCGACAACAACCACAACCACAACCACAACTCCCCAGTAGACAACGGAGTCATCAGCAACGTAACCATCACGACCTTGAATCCCTGCTGTATGGTCGTATATCGGACGCGTCTCAAAGGCAACAGTAAGTTTATGTTTAACCACGTAATGCCTCCACTTTTAAATATCCAAATATCTTACACTCGTCTAAGGCGGCGCAATTCGCTATACAGAGTTGCGTTCCTTGTGCACGCCAGAAACCCATGATCGTGGGTTTGAATCCCTAATTATGTTTCTAGGTATGTCAGCACCATTTTCGTGCTCATGGGTATCACCGAAGTGGTAAACGTCTGAGACCTGCATCACTTTGGGCTTTCCTCCAACAAAAACTGACACAGTTTCTCCCCATCGACAGAAACATAGAACTACAAAGGGACCAGATTAACGTGAATGTAGGATACAGAACGTTCCCCAAGGGACCACACCCGTAATAATAAGATAATTGGAGCTAACCTTAATTGACTTGAATTGCAAACACGCGAAAACTTGATTTGGAAACTTGTAGACATGGAAACCTGTAAATCACAAAAGCAATATGACAAAATCTTAAAGAATTAGGTTGTCATGTGTGATATGAAACTTGTGTGCTCCCATAGATTCAAGCCAGACATGTCCACCGCCAGATCTAGTGGATAGAGCGTCTTTCTTGAGTTAAATTACACGTTTTGCCGAAGCTATTCTTCACACTGCCTCCTTAAAACTGGTTTTCAGAGAAAGATCGCGAAGATCAGTGAGTAAGAATAGAATACTTTGATCATTAATCTTATATTTTGACACGATCAATCCAATATCCTCTATGTCTGCTTTCTTGATTACACGATATTAACATTTTTTTATCAACAGAGATGAATCTGACACAAATGCGGCATCTACTGGTTCACCACGCAACATTGTCCGGGAGCATCGGATAGTAAGTGTGTGACTGCAATGTGAAATACCATAGCACATTTATTGTATAGTTAGGGGCGAGGTGGGGTTGCCTTGGTGTTAATGCATGCGCGTGTCACCTCAAAGGCCCGGGTTCGATTCCCCACATATATATGTACAATGCGTGAAGCCCTTCTGTTGTTCTTGCTGTCTCATTACTGGTATTTGCTACGACCAACGTAAAACTATACTGTAGCATTGACAACTGGGTTCTTGTGGTAGGTGGTTTTCACTGATTCCGAGGACAGGCATGAGGAAGGCGTCGACACAGGGAGACCAAGGCGAGAGTATCTACGGCTGCTGTTGCAGTCCATCGTCTCCGACAGCAAGATGCTGCACGGTTAGTAATGAGTGAGTGAGTGAGTGAGTGAGTTGGGTTTAACGCCGCTTTGAGCAGTATTTCAGTTATATCACGGCGTGTCAGCTTAATGTGGGAGGAAAGCCCGAAGTGATACAGGCCTCAGACGTTTACCACTTTCGTGAAACCCACGAGCACGGGTATGGTGCTGACAAACCTAGAAACATAATCGGGGCGAACCGGGATTCGAACCCACAATCATAGGTTTCTGGCGTGCTCAAGGGACGCAACTCTGCACAGCGAATTGCGGCGCCTTAGACGACTGGGCCACCCTTGCCCCCGGTTAGTAATGAGTGGGTTGGGGTTAACGCCGCTTTTTGCAGTTTTGCAGTTATATCTTTTGTCAGCTTGATGTGAGAGGAAAGACCCAAGCCATTCAGGTCTTAGCTGACCATAAGTTTCTACCACACAATTGGCGGTGCCTCACTCCCATGTCCCCCGTTAGTACTTTCTCTAGTATTAGTATAATCTGACATGTAAGGTGTCAATTTTGTTTCGATGGGTTAAAAACTCAAATCGATTTCTTTTGTCCTTCGACGTGATGGTGCTGACATCTTACTGAAAGCGGTGTAAATTCATACTCACTTGCAGACACATATTTTTGAATACGCACATGCATTGTAAGGAATATATAAATATATGACTATATCCTACTTATTTCGACATATATTCATTCAAACAGGGGACGAAAACCAAGGATTTCTGATTCGACCCCACATATTTTCATATCTGAAGAATCACTTCCGGGTCATGGGTGTCATGCTGGCCACTATAATTGCTCAAGGCGGACAATCCCCCGCCATATTTGCCCCTCCCGTTGTTGATGCAATATTGGATATCGATCAGTCGCTATCTGTGGATTATGTGCCGAACAGACGTAAGAGAGAATCTTTGACAAAGGTATGAAGTTACTGATAGTGCTATCTTTGTCTATAATATTCCCAACTGTTTGACAGTCAAGTAGTATATCTATACATATGTAGAAACCAATTTCAGTTAAATGATGACGATAGTAAAATCACTACATGTTGTCATGTGATGACTGTTAAGGACATGTAACTGAGAAATACTTACTCCGTCGGAATTCACGGATAGAAGTGGCCCCAAATACCCTTGTCTTAAGAGGCGGAAGGGAACTGGGGAGAGCGGACCGTGCATTTTGTAACAGATATATTTTCAGCCATTGCTTCAGTTCAAACATTTTTATCTCTGAAAAGAAGAGGCGAACACAGCCAACATCTGAGGCGACATCCGAGGCAAAATTATTTTTTTCAAATATTTTCTGGAACAGTTTATTAAAAAGATTTATCCTAGTACTCTCCAAGAATATACAGTAGTTGGTCCCTAGTATTGTATTCTTCTGTTGGTTACAGGTGTCGGAGGCTCGAGACGCGACGGAGCTGGAGGAAGCGCTACAGGAGTGTAACTGGAGAGACGACCTAGATGGCATCCCCTCTTATGTCACTATGGCCAATAGGGATGAGTTTCTCTATGGGTGTGTCCACCACTTTGTCATACTACAGAGCAAACCAATGATAGACCAGCTTATTCAAGGCCTGCGTCACTGCGGGCTGAGTACCCTACATGTCTTCTCCAGGCCATAACTGTATATCATATTAGTAAAGAGGCCGTTACTGGCTGCACCTCGAGTGATCTTAAACATACAGGTATGGCATTGTCATAGGACTATGTTACACGCTTAAAGCGGAAGTACTTCCGGCGGAAGTCACTCTGTGGAGCGCCTATTGATATGTTGAACTGTAAATCTATACAACGATGAGTAAAAGATGCAATCATTCCACCTGGCTCTGTCGAATTATTTCTGACAGGGCATTAAAATGGCAAAGACTTCTTTTTGTATTTGTTTGCTCTTGTCATCTCCTGAAGATATTAGGTTCGTCGAGTGGTTTAAGCATTCGCCCGTTACTCCGAACACCCGGGTTCGACGGATACACCATTGTTTGTTATTCCCGAGCCCTGGTGTGATATGGCTTCTATATTGTTAAAAGAGCAATAGAAGCATTTCCACTCACTTCTGACATACTAACAGTCTATTACTGTATTTTTTTATTGATTGTCAGATATTAGACCTCATTAGAAGACACACGTTGCGAGATTTGCTGGAGTATAGATCGGACGTTGAAGTCACTTCAGAAAGGGTGATGGATCTGTTGAAACCAGTTCCCAGTTACCATGGAGACGAACAGGCCATCTTTAACAACCTGCACCGATTCCTGCAGGCAGCTGAAGGTAAGGGTATAGCTGACTTGGATGGGTATCCAAGAACCAATGTTTGAATTACGTTTTGGGACAAATTAGTGAATGCTTTAATATTGGGATGAAATCAGATCGCCGAATTTCACTTACTTCAAGTAAGTAACGTGTTTGTTCTTTCGGTGCCTATGTAAATTTAGTCGAATGATCCAAGGCATTAAAATGTTAATTATAAAAACTCGACTGCATATCTTTGATGGAATGTTATTATAGGATATCTGTACTATTCACGGCTAGTGAGTTATTCCAAGGCTAGTCTTTTTCTGTATCACATCCCCGCGACTACGTAGCAGTCGGCGAGTAAGATTTACATTGCATTTATAATATTTTTAACTGAATCAATAATTCACTGAAAAATGTTGAAATTAGTTGATTATTATTACTAACGGTGCGGTCACGGAAGTGTATGACGTCATCTGTTGGTTGATGACGTCATTCCAGAGCGTCCACATTTCTTCTTCACACTCAGTTTACTTCAGAAGTACGATTAATACAAAAACAAGGAACAACATTTGTGTTTTCAATGTCGAATAACACTATATATGTTTTGTTTAATTTATGGGTGCTATTGAGTATACGATGTCCCGAATTGTAACATTTGACATGATATCCACTGAAATCTGAAAAGTTAACTCTTGAGCGTAACCCTCACCCAAAAAGCAGTTCCCGCCATTCAGCGGCATTAATGAAAACACTATTCCATTTGGCTTGTACTTACGTTGATAACAAATTACAGGAATACATCTTCTTTCAAAAGAATGTATGACTTTGCTGATTGTGAAAGAAAATAATTCCTTAACAAAACTGATCAATTTGGACGATTTCATGATTATTTCACCACTCGTGGTTTGTTGTATGGGGAATATTAGCCCAATCCATTTCGTTTGTATCTCTTTTACCAAAGGCTGAGTCTATATGATGACATATTACCTGTCATTTCATACGGTAAACTAAAAAAAATATTACAATACCAACACAATGTCATTGTCAGAATTTCAGAAAAATGTACGATGTAGGTAGATAACGACAACGAAATTCCATGTATGGTCTGAACAGTTTTAATCTTTGAGGGGTTTAAGGTACAATCTACTGCTCCAAATCATACCTGTTCAGCGATAACTGAACTGCAAACGTATCGCCGTCGCTTTGCGAAATTATGAAAGTGGTAGCTTTGCGGAATTATGAAAGTGGTAACTTTGCGGAATTCCAAAGGGATAAGTTTGCAGAATTATAAGAGCGGTACGTGTGTAGAGTGATAGAAGTGCTATGTTTGCGGAATTATAAAGGTGGTGACTTGGTGAAATTATAAAAGCGGTAAGTTGGCGGAATTATATAATCGGTATGTTTGCGGAAATATGAAAAATGATAACTTTACGGAATTGTGAAAGTCGAAAGTTTGCAGAATATTAAAGTGGTAAAATCGCGGATCTACCGTTTTGGTGCCGTCAAAAAAGAGGTAAGTTATGTAAAGCGGTAGTGTATGTTAACATATGTATATTACATAACGACATTTACGTATATAGTATTGATAGTTTAATTCTAGTCATGAAAGTTTTTAGTTGCATGCCACGATCTGTTTTAGTACATTACGTTTTTTCTCTAGAGGGCCGCTTGTGTGACGTCCTTGGGGAGAGCCGACGTTTGACCCGCAACCAGACCGAGTTCGCACGGAGGATGACTCCAGGTAGACTGCTGACGTTTGTGACCGGATGTAGTAGAGAGCCAGACGGCGGGTTCACGCCCCGACCCAGCATTGTGTTTAACTACAGTGCCACCTGGCGGCTGCCATCAGCCTCCACGTGCAGTAACCAGATCCAGCTCACAGTGCACCCCAACTTGCTGGAGTTCCAAAGCTTTTGTCATACGATGATGACGTCAATGATGAATGGAGAGACCTTTAGCACTGCCTGAGTTACGTGTAGTCATCATGTATCTTCTAATGGAAGATAAGAGGATAACAAGAACTAACTCATGTGATAGATTCCGGATTCAGCAGAAGTATAGAGTATCCTCAACTTTGTACTCCACTATCAAACACGACACACCTAAGATTTCACTCTTTGTACCATGGACCTTTTTGACTAAACGTGGTGACCATGGATATAGTTACATCTCTGTCGTCTCTGTTCGGGACCTCTTGTCAAAACTGAAAGCGAATTGCAGCAGAAACAAATATGTGAATTTCCTCATTGATAACATCTATGTAAAGTTTGGGGATAAAACATTTAGGTCTGAGTTAGGCTTCCCCATGGACAGTAATCTCCCCACCGCATGCTGATCTGTTTCTTTATGCATACGAACCGGAAGTTCTCCTCGTATTGGCGAAATGAAAACAAGTGAATTTAGTCAAGAAGTTAAACTTAAACTTCAGGATATCGATGATCTGATATCGTTCAATAATGGTAAAATAGCAAATTCCCTTCCACTGATTTACCAACTAGAAATAAGGGAGACCAGTGAGACCACACTGTATCATATTTAGTATAACGATTCAGAGTGAAATCTTTTCACAAGACTGTATGACAAGAAAGATGACTTCAGTGTTCCAAAAGTCAACAATGTTGAGCAACACTCCAGCAGCACAGGTCTTTGGTGTCTACTTTAGTCAATTATTGAGATACAGTCGAACATGTTGCTTCTGTAACAGTGCTAAAATTTCTATATTTTATTCAACTTTTTGTGAAATTCGCCTTCAATTCATAAATTGTCAGTTAACCATTTAAGACCTGTCGGTACATACTAGCGATACAAAATTGTAAAACAACATCTGGCACTTAAGATTTACGCCGCCACAATCAGGTCGTTGGGCGAAACTTTAATTACATGTTGAATAACAACTGGTAGTAGTCAGCGCTTTTGGCACTTACCAGTGTACCGTTATCAGCTATTTAGCGGCAACTGACCAAACTAGAAAATTGAAAACGTGAAACCAAACACGAGCTGAGTGATTCTATCGGCATTTATAATCTTCTATCACTCAACTTTCCAAACTGACCGTCTGCTTTGGCTATTAACAGACCAAAACCATCATACAAAATTGTATAACATGTCCAGTCTTTATTAGTCCAAAGTCTCAAATTTCAAACTGGACATGCACGTGTAGACTTGCCTTCAGATTAACAAAGGAGGTCTCAGGTATAAATATAGGGGGAAATCGACTGTTAGTCATTCCTGCTTTGCCTGAGAACCTCTCTCTGTTTGTCTTTGAAGGTAAGTCACTTTTACTTGTTACTTTGCCATTTAGGTTAAACTTTGCTTAAAATTGTCTTTAATTTTGTATGAATATCCTGCTTGAACAATGAACTTATATTCTATGTATTCGAAATGCCGTTCGAATCTAAGCTGCATATTATTCAAGTATTACCGACACAAATTAACTACAGTAATTTATATGCGTGCGTCTCATGTAGAAATATTACTATTTCACAATCAGCGCTCGTATCCCACATGTTTATTTATTGGTTTAAAACTACTAGGCAAATGATTATTAATCACAGGTGTTGTGGATGCTTTATAATTATCATGTTTCAATGTTAAAAGTTTGCATTATAATAATGTATGAATTATTTGTCCGTGTATCGGTAGGACCAGTATTCATATGTATGTCGTGTTATTTACCTTATTGTATGTTGTATCGTTAGTAGAGTTGTTTTATAATGCAACAACGTTAAATGCGTCAATATGCATTAACATGATCCAGTTACTCGATATAATTTACATTATGTATATTTATTTGCGTTCTTATGCCTGATAAATACGGTTCAAGAATATAACTTATGTCCGATGTTCATGCATCAAATATATTCTTTATATACAAAACCAAATTAGTGCAAGTACAGCAAAGTATATTATTCTTATCTGTAGCCCAAAGTATATTTCTTATTAGGTAACTACTTTGTGAGGGCATATCACTAGACTACAATACTTGGACGTAGCTTTTTGCTCTAGATAAATGCACGCAAATTAAGCAATGCCTAATACATTTATGTTTTCCAAATTATGCATATTATTTCCATTCGGTAAGATGAATGGACGCTGTATAGAATATCTCAGATACTATACTTTTAGCATAATTTGGACGCTACAGATAGCGTAGTAGTTTTATGTTGCAGAATAGTTATAATGAAACAGGCTTTCCTATAGCAGTGTTTATATCCATTTCTAAATTACAGTTCACAAGCAATTTCTCTGTTTGGCGAAATCTCAAATAAGGTTCATAAACATTCACAATAGAATATACGTTCACTAATAATCAGTTTTAATTCATACATATTTCAAGTTTCAAGTACGGTATTCATTCATGTGTGATTTGTGTAAGCTCGGCCCGCAG